GATCCACTCGCGTTCCTCGGCTCCCTCGATTTCGATGCGCTCAAGGAAGCGAGCGAGGGTTGGCGAGAAGTCGTCAAGTTGGATGTTAGTGAACAGCATTCCATGTAAAAGAACGAATAGTTCAGGTGCGCGGGCGTCAGGTTGCGATCGCCGTGATTGCGCAGTTGACGACCAGATGGGAAGAATGGACTCCCGAGAGGTTGAGAATGTGTGGAGGGTGGTCATACTACGGAGAACAACTGATGAGAAATGATGCAGAGAGAGTCGACGGGAAAACAAACCTCTTGACAAAATGATACACGGCACGTAGTTCCTCGTTGTCGACCTCACGACTTAACAAACCGAGATGGTGGTGCAACTTGCCTGCACCAGGGGTATCCGCAAGGCCTTGAGCGTACCATCCCTTTGCGATACTTCGCCAGCGCTCCTTCTCTGGCTCGATATCCATCATTCGCGCGGCGACAACGCCAATGCTCGGGCTCGGCGAATTGTCTACTCGTGCAGCGGGACGATCAGAAGATGATTTGATGCTCATCTGCGACTTGCTCTTGGCTGTCACAGGTTCGTCATCTGCGGATGCCGCGGCCGCTTTAGACACAGCGTCTGTAGTTAGTGCCGAGCCTTTCAATTGGTTATTAGTAACCATCGCAGCCACGGCCATGCGATAGCGCGCAAGATCGCCAAGAGCCTCGAGCCAGCCGGATCGGAACGAACGTAGAGTCGGCTCTTCGAGAAGGCCGGTGTAGAAGGTATAGGCGTAATATATAAAGTCTTGAAGATGTTCAAGAGCAAGGGGTGAAGAAAACGAGGCACGCCTCAAGGCCTCTAGGAGTTTGTGGAATGCGTGGGTCCATAGGCGAATGATGATATTGTACTTGCTTGGGATTACCCGGAGGGAAGCCGGAACGCTCGGTGCGAGGGAGATCTCCATCAGATTATGCATCATCTCAGCGAGTCTGCACACATTCAATCAATGATATCATGATGAAAACCGGAGAACCACTTACCGTTTATGGTCTGAGATCAGCTTCGTCCATTTTTGTTGTTGAAGGTCTTCGTCGCTAACTTCGCGACCTCGTCCTTTGAGAACAACGCGACCTTCATCTACGAGATCATCGGAATCTTCATTTAAGATCTTTGTTTCTAGGGTGGATATGTTGCGGTACAGTTTTTTAAGCTGAACGGCGAATGCATTATTGCTTGCATCCTCGCGAGGCTTGCTATCGAATAATGCGGAAGATGCAGATGAGTTATCCGTCGTTCCAGAAGAAAGGGTGAAGCTCGACGTCAACGAATGAGCATACGAGGAAGTCGAGGACGCGGAAACATAGTCTCCTGATGATTTAGGTGTAGGTGGAGGCCGGCCACCAGTTGATGATGGACGGGCAAGAACCGAGACCGCAAATCTTACAGGATCATCCTTCCTGTGGTCGAACAATTGACGGGTTGCTGGCGGCTCCCTCTGATGGGAAGTGGGGGGGTTGCGCGGCGGGGATGAACTGCTTGTTACATCGGAAATTGATTCAGGCTCAGTTGTCCGTCTCATGGGAATGGGATCTGTGTTGGGATTGAATAATTTTCCCTGCTGGGCCTGCTTGATGTGATGGTGGGGACGAGGGGACGTAGATATCTTGAGGCGCCGTGAGAAATCATCTGGGTCCGCCTCTGGACGGGAGACGATAACATGGGGTGCGAGGTGAGTCTTACGTGGAGATGTCGCTGCGGCAGAGCTGCGGGGAGGGACGGGTGGCGGATTAGGATTTGGAGGTTGCAAACGAGAAGCGGATGGAGATGAGGGCGTTCGCTCAGGGCGTTCACGGGAACGAGTTGCACTAGGTGAGTTGAATAAACAATATAAAATTTAGAAGATGAGTTACGTAGGAAAGAAATAAAACATACACGGCATTTCTTCTCTGGAAGGCAACCATACGCTCTGCAAAATCTGTTGGTTGAGCGGGATCACGGTCCCTTGGCCTCCTTGAAGGCTTTGGCTCATGGTTTGAATCCATGACCTGTAGCAGCTCGAAAAGATAAAAGTGCTGCTACTATGAAAACGAAGATATACTTCTAGTACGACTGCGAGATGAGTGGACGGAACGCAAGAGCAAACGCTGTGGGCATACCGTTCCTTGTCCACTGCGCATTTCGAGAATCCGCAGTCGTTTGGCTGCGCCGATCAAGATCTATCCAAATTTAGCCTCACTTTGTCAACTTCTACTTTTGATAAAAACATTTTGTCAAATTCAAGCACCAATTGCAAGCTAAGTAGTATCACTCAAGTGGCTGCTAATTGAGACTTTGGAGTGGGGGATGAGCAGTTGTGTAGCACCGCAGCTTAATCGGAATGATTCAGCCAGTCCTTCGGGCGTAGTATGGCCTTGCTCGCGACACGCAAGCACACAGTCGCGGATACACCACCCCAACGTTGCAAGTCTGCTGCCGAACACGATGAAACAGCAGTCGCAGTGACTGTACTCGCACAGCTGCTAGCTACCATCCAAACCGATGACCGGCTACCGGCACAGTCAATTGCCTCTATCTACTTCGCCACAAGTGGCGGTCATCAAGTACTGACGGTAGAGCAATTTTGCGGTCAGCTGCGGAGATAACGTGCTCGCTGTCGTGTAGAATGGATCCCAACGCCGCGGCTCGCAGAGGTTTCCAACCCACCCACGCTCGAGGTTGCTAATTTGCTTGTTGAAAATCAGCCTACAGCTTAGTATGCACCCCAGCAATCCCTTTGGTGCCCGAATTACACGTATGGAAGGGGTGCTTTCTTACTATGATCCTGTGCAAGGCTCACTCAGTTCTCGCTGGCAATTATACTGATTACGGCGCTTTTACATGGTTATATATTTCAACGTAACGAAATCCTTTCCTATATGTTACGATATGTGACGATATCTTCTTCTCACCAATTCTCTGATCGGGCCGCCGCCGCCCGCCTGTCAAGCCTGGTTTCTTCACAGATACAATAAGCCTTCCCCTACAAGCAAGTCCTTCTTCCCTGAGTGTTCCATTACCAGGAGTGGTGACCTCCGCTGACGATAATACTGCGAATTTTACAGTTAACTTTACTTCCAGGTAAGGAAATACAACGTACTCGCTACCCGTGCAGAATGTCGATGCATCAGATGCCAGCCACGTCACTACACCGCGCAACTCGTCGGGACGTCCGAGCCGACCCAGAGGGTTCATGCCAGACCACACATCGAAGAGGTGCGGTTGTTTGTCCAAATATGCCGCAGTCATACTATCACAACCATCATGATTTAGTATTGCAGTGTAACTCATCGCGAGACAAACCTGGTGTAGATATGTCCTGGAGACAGCGAGTTGACGCGAATCTTCTTTTCGCCAAGCTCGCAAGCCATGCTACGAGCCATCTGCAGGACAGCTGCTTTGGAGCTGTTGTACGATACCCAGGCGTGGCCCTATACAGGGTCAGTATACAAACATGGCCATGCCAGTTTTTGGGAGATGCGCACTCTGTTAGTGATACTGCCTGACATTGACGCGATAAGAATGATGCTGCCACCGCGTCCGAAGCGCGACATTTGCCTGCCAGCAGCCTGCGCAGTGAAGAGGACGCCATTGGTGTTGACATCCAGGACCTTCAAATCGGGATTAATTTCAAAAAATTATCGGTGGCAAGCAATCCATCAACAACCACCCACCTCTCTGTAATCCTGTGCCGGGTATTCCAGGCAGTCTGTGTGTGACCTGAGAATACCAGCCGCAGCGACGCAAAAGTCCATTCTTCCTCCTTATCACCAATCTCCTCCGCCCTCTTCCAAAGCGCCTGCTGATCAGTGACGTTCGCGCTGAGATACTCCAGCCGCGAGTTATTCCCTAGCTTCACGACGTAATCTCTACTTGCGATCCATTCATCCGATGGCTTTTCTGGAAGATCAAAGCAGTACACGACACGTGCACCAGCTTCGCAACATGCAAGAGCCATCTCCAGGCCAAGGCCCCTATTTCCGCCAGAGACAAGCCCAACACGATCGGTTAGCGCGAACTCATCGAAGATCTTGGGTTTTGGTGCGATAGATGGGTCTGCAGCAGCCTCAAGGGCAGCCTCGATACCGAGTTTACCGAGAGGAGATGCAGATTGAGCTGGGAATTTGGGACTATGGGAAATTCAGCATACTAATAGCCACAACATTCCTAGATAGATAGATCGAAATAAACATTCGACACGGCTTACCTGGACATGGCTTGGAGGATAGATGATTGCGACAAGATTGTCCCAGCAACGATCACGTATGAGGAATCTTTATACTGCACGGATCTCCATCCCCGTAAGGCCCTTCTGTGAGCTCACCTGACCATAGTCAAGGCAAGATGCGGCATATCAATAACGAAATTAGCACTGCATTCTGAATTTCTCAGTGACCACATAAGCATGAAGTGTTAATTTGCAGATCGAAGTAGTCTTCCCATAGCAGATAAAGACACATGAGAATCAGAATACCCGCGTTATCGGCCCGATCTGATAGTAAGGCTAAGGTTCTAGATTGCGAGAGGGGATTAGGGACGGCCATCATTGATGGCATTGCCTCCTACATCTGATATCATATGACATTGGATCCCGAGGCGTACAAGCTAGCGTGCTACATAAAAGAGAAGTCTCTGCGTGCAGTACTATAACTAGAAAGGACGGAGCTTGTTCGTGTATGTGGAGCGACATAATACTAGTGAGACCTATGAAGTATGGTCAGTGCGACTGCAGTGAATCTAGATTATGAATGATACGCACTTCAGCACATCATGATACAATAACAAAGGGCTGCGAAAGCATCAATGGATTAACTTAAGTGACGAATGAGAGAGAGACACCTAGATAACAAGTACAAGGGTTACACAAGTATCAATAGATTAACTTCGGTGACGAAGGCAAAAGAGAGCATAGGCATCGAGAAACAAGTACTTAGCCTCACTAGCAAGTTACGATATAACATCAAATTTGACGTCCAAATGTCTTCTGTGCGTTGGCGTCAAGTTTTTGGTACGCCAACGAACCATGGCATGACAAGAGCATTTGCGCGTCTGAGGAGATTGACACCGAACCAAGACGACAACGCCTCCCCGTCCCACTGGTCTGTCATACGTATTATCTTGTCGTCATCATCCAAATCTACGACAATGATAGACCCAATTCGCTAATAAGAAGTGAGCGAAGAACGTTCTTAGAAGTTAGTCAGCACTACATACCTTCTTGGTTCCTATGTACCGGAAAGTATACTCTTGCGTTTGCGAGTAGATAAGACGTTTCGGTAAGCGCGTGAACGACATGACCCGACTCGAGATCGTCTCTGATTTTGAAACAATCCTTGGCTGAAGAAGTCCTATGAGACTCTGACATTTCAGTTGAGAATACGATTACTCGCCATGGCAAACCACTGCGTGATCGAGTCAAATAAGCCTGAGCAGTCTATCATGACCAAAAGAGTCGCACCTGGGGAGCATATTGCCCATAGCCCTCGCATTTAACCAAAGGATCCTACCAGAATGAGGGAATCGCGGAGCTGAATAATGGTATGAAACTGACCTCAAAAACTGCATCGGGCCTCCAAGTTCTTTCAAAAATCTCTTCTGACGGCCGACAACAATAGAGCTCCTTCAGATCAGCCATGATGCGATCCCGAATCGTGTCGTCCATGGGTGGGCTGGGCTTTCCAGGAGACGTAATAACTTGATCGTCATTCTCAGATACAGGCGCTCCAGAGTAGTGGGCACCCCCAGCAGCGGAGTAGATGATGTCTGGAATTGGAAGAGGTATCTGCAATGTTGGGCGGTGGTATATCATCGTGGGTGATGCTGAATCACTGCTTTTGAGTGAAACATCGTGTACGGAGGGTGTGTCCTGTGAGGTGGTCATTTATGAAGCTTCGTACGAGTCTACAGGTTCAAACGTTCAAGCACAAGCTCAAGCGCTCAAGGTTCAAGTGAACGTGGATCAACTCCACACCTAAACCAATATGGAGAAACCTACAAGATAAGATAAGATAACAGTGGCAGTGCATAGTTTAGACGACTCCGCGCAAACTCTGTTGGTGTACAAATACACAAGTGGAAATCAAATGAGAACTCAAATCAGCTCTACCATGCCGTATATCCACCGTCGACAACAATGCTGAGAAACATTCACGTCAATGTTTACGTCTCGAACCAAAGATTCTACGCACTTGCTTCCCGTGCAAAAGCTCGATGCATCGGATGCCAGCCACGTCATAATTCCACGCAGTTCGCGAGGCTTGCCAAGTCTATTCATGAAGCTTTGCTCTGACCATATAGCTTGGAATTCTGGTCGCGCAGAAATTATTGCTGTCGTCATACTGCAAACTTATGCGTCAGAGGATTTTGGAAGTTCAACACAACACGGAACGAACGGTGTCTCAATAAAACCTGGTGATAGCGAGTTCACCCTAATGTTCTTTTGTGCAAGTTCACATGCCATGACGCGGGCCATCTGTATCACTGCGGCCTTGCTAGTATTGTAGGGAAGTACTGGCGTGTGCTATGAGTGTAGTCAAGTGCATGTACTAAACTAGAAGAGCTGAACTATAGTTACCTTCAGAGCAACACTGCCAGCGATGGAGGCCAGGAGGATAATGCTTCCCGGTATCTGGAACCGATCCATTTGCTTTGCAGCAGCTTGAGCAGCGAAGAACACTCCTTTGAGATTTACAGCATAAACCTCTCATGGAGTTATGCTATGTTCTTGCGATAAGATACAGAAGATCGACACACCTCTTCGAGGTCTTCTTCTGTATACTCCAAGCAAGGCCGCGCGGCTCCAGAAATTCCTGCTGCTGTAACGCAAACATCCATCCTCCCCTCCTTTGTTGCAATTTCTTCTACTGTTTTGAGCAGCCTTTTCTGATCGCGAACGTCAGTAGTCACATATTCGAGTCTTCCTGCACCCCCAAGTTTTGCTATGCTCTGGCGAGCAGCGTTCCAATCTTCACCCGGCTTTTCCGGGAGATCTAAACAGTATACTGCACGTGAACCAGCCATAGAGAACGCCAATGCGGCCTCGAGTCCAAGACCACGGTTGCCTTCGGTGACAATCGCAACCCGGTCTGTTAACGCAAAATCTCCCAAGCCGTCTCTTTGGATTGCGGGCGTAGAGTGCAAGGAGGCTAAGCTGACTCCATTCTTGTGGATAGATGATATCTGTGAGCGCCGCAAGATTGCTAGGCTGGTGCGACTGGCGATGGGTGTGAGCATGTTAGCTGTCACTTATCAGCACTTATCGTGGATACAGGATCAGATGAGCCATCCCTTGCGCGTATTATAGGCGAGTAATAGCGCTACACGGCATACCCTTGATTTTGTGCATCTGATGTCTAAATTCAGATTTGTTAGCCCAATCTTCATATATCACATGATATAAAATACAAGGCCTCCGGTTGTCGCACAAGAGTCACGGTGTCAATCATAATATATATATTAATAGAGAGAGTCATGGCAAAGGCTGTCCAAGTAAGACGCGATGCATACATACATGAGCATGAGACGTACTATTTTTGGGAATGTGCGAGCTTCAGCGGGCCCGACGAGATTGTAACTACCTTTCTTCTTGCGATGGGCACTCCCGGTATGTACTCAAATGGAAGTATGATTGGAAACGGATTACAAGACCACTAGAATGAAGATGGTCATGCAGATTGAAAACAGTATGATATGATTGAATTGTAAACTTCCTGACATTACATGATATATACCCTTGCTCGATCAACGAACATTTCCACAAACTAATCAACAATGTATGACCTAAAGATGTTAGATGGTGTGCGGTGTCTCCTTCCCGCTCTCTCCTAACCAGCATTAGCATTACCTTGCCACAAGCCGTATGCCTTCCCGGGTGTTGTTTGCCAGAGCCGAATCGTACCTGTGACGTTATACTTGTCAATATTGTCCGGGCCATTTTGTTCGAACGAGCCTTACCGTCCTCTGAAAAGTGATGTAATTGAGGCCTTATCAGATAAGAATGCCCGCAGTTAGGAGGAGGAAAACGCACCGCTGCCGCTTGCATATACTTCACCGTCAGGGCTAAACTCGACGCAGTGGACGGGTCCGTGATGGCCCTTCAAGATCTCCCTCTCCTCCCCATCCATTCCATGGACCCTGACCCACTCATCACCAAGATTGCCTGTGACAAAGCGGTCTTGAAGGATAGGGTGGACGGATGCGGATGATGGCGAGTACGCTAGGTTGAGACTATGTGTTGGAGTACCACTAGGTAAAGCAGGTATAAATGCGACAGTTTTTCCCGATGTCACGACCAGACGCTTGGTTTGCGGCGATAGTTCCATCGAGGTTATAGGATTAGGGAATGTCATAGTTGTTGTAAGTTTTCGTGTGCGCAGGTCCCACCATCTGTACAACATTATCGTCAGTGGCATTCGGCTATGGCGAGTTATTACAACAAACTTGATGATACCATCTTCGCCAGCCGATACACCGGTATGTTCTCCAACCCAAACTACGCTCTTCACAGTTCCATCATGGGATGGTAGGCCAACATCGCCAAGGAAGTCCGCCTCCACGTCTGGCCGTGCAAGGTCAAATATTCTGACCTTCTTCTCTTGGCCACCAGTAAGAAGGTGAGAACACGTCGGAGAGATTGCCACAGTTCGAACAATATGATTGTGAGGAAATGAGTGCAACACATCTCCTGAATATGTGTCCCAGATTTTTCTTGGTTTTAATTATGATTAGCAAGGAAGGAACCAAGGTGGCAATTAGGGTGGCAGACTCACGCAGTGAAGTCAGCACTTCCCGATGCCGCTCGCGAAGCATCCGGAGAGAGCTTTGTGCTCCATACTGCACCCTTGTGACCTAAAAATGTGCCTACCCAGTCTCCGGTCCATTCTCTAAGCATCGGATTGCCATCTTTGCAGCTGGACACGAGAAGATAGGTGCCATCGTCTTGCAGCGGTGAAAAAGAAAGGTGAGTTACTGGGCGGGTATGTCCAGGTGCCACGAGAGGCACAGGCTTTGGGTGAATAGACATAAATCGATATCGTTACTGACAGGTTCGTGATATCTGTTCGTGATACAGGCGCACTGCGCTCTGGTCTTGACAGCGGCGCAAGTGCAACACAGTGGACAGCGCAAAACAGCACGTTACACGTGACTATTTACGGCAGAGGTACTCTTATAGGTTTTAACTGCTGTGTAGCTTTCTAGTTGAAATAATAAGGCCAGGCTTTCTCAAATCGTTCAGGTTAGCGCACATCTCCCTCGAATTGATCCGAATTAATATCAATATCAGCTAGGGCGTACGTCGTACACCCTGTCAATTAGCCTGTATGTGGTCCCCGTTATTGTGAAGCCTCTGTCAATGACAACTTGTCAAGCAAGACCCTGAGAGGACCGTTGTCCTGGTGGATGATAACACAGGCTGGCATAGCAATGTTGTCACCCCTTGCCTTGTATCGACGAACGCGAACTTGCTTGACTGCCAGGAATTTGACTGGCAGATACAGGTACACTCCGTCAACAATTTACATAATTACTTGTGTTTTTTCCAGGAAAGGCTCTCTCCACATGGTGTGAATGATTGTCGCCTGTCTCTACACTCAAGAGACTCTCACGCTGTTCCGGGAACGACTCTAACGGAATTGTACCCTGAAGGGTATTTGAATTTCGAACGACGAACTTCAAGCCAAGCCCTAAAGGTAGCTACCCATGCAGCCGCCATATGACTCTTGTGCACTTGGTCGTGTCGCTGGTGACTCCATTTGCCAATTTGAAACAAGACTGACAGACACGGTTCGCGCCGACTCCATGCCGTGGCTGCGGAATCAGTGCCCATGCCACGCCAAATCTGAACATGGCTCGCTCCGGGAGGCACCTGCGTTCTATTATTTACAGACATGCAGGGAGGGGCCCCTGGATCACGCTATATACTATATTCAATAGCACCATATTTACGATCAAAACGTGACAATCCCTCATAATATTGTCATACACATGATATCCATTGCGAACCAGAACGTGGAGGCAGAAGAACGTTGTATGCTCAGTAAATACCCAAACGTGAAACGTTAACGTTGTATCATATCTTGCCCGGAAGCTGTTGTGAATCATGCTTGAACTGAGAATAGATGATAAATTTCAACTCAGCGCACTGTCACGGTACCTAATCCCGTACTGATCTGTTTGAAGTACTAACTATCGTCAATTCAACCATCAATGGCGTGCTCAGTCGACATCGAAGCCAAGTGATATCCTTCAGAAAAAGAACGTATGCTGGTGCCCCGACGGATTAACTGCCGCATCTATAAAAATCAGATATTCCAAAACTTCTGTCATCAAATTATCCCGGTTTGCTTGCGTAGCAGCCATCATCACAGACCGTACAGCCGTGCTACGTGCGGACGTAATCACTTGTCAACCAGTGCTGCCTTAAACAAAGCCGCAGAATCTGCTGCATTTTTCCGCACTGAGCGCCGAGCGCCCAGCTACGCGGGAGTACCTCTCATTCCCATTTGAGCTACTGTGCTTGATCCCTGCTTTCCTAATAGTTCGACCATGCCTTCACTTAAACGTGTTGGCAATAGAATTGTCGGAAATCCCGAGCAGACAGTGACCACAATCTCCACCGAGACCTATTTGAAGGGCCTCGTGAAAGATCCAAGGCATGAGGTACGAAATCCATATACTTTTATTCAGTGTTCGATTCGAATTGTGTTATTCCAGGCGGTGAATTACTTAACCAGTCTTTTTCCAATCCTTGGATGGATCTCGCGGTACAGTGAGACATTTCATTCTTCCTTGTGACAAGCTCAGACTAATTGTACACGTTTTCAGATTTTGGATGGCTTACTGGCGACCTTGTTGCTGGCCTTACCGTAGGAATGGTGCTAGTGCCACAGGGAATGTCATATGCACAAGTAATATTCTATCTTAAATCTCATTCTCGTTTATTGACAAGCCTTCGTAGCTTGCGACGCTTCCTCCACAGTACGGTCTGTATTCATCTTTTGTTGGTGTTCTTGTATATTGCGTACGTGCACACTACTTTGGATAATCGCGCCGCTAAATTTGCTTATAGTTCTTTGCGACTTCGAAAGATGTCTCTATCGGACCAGTGGCAGTTATGTCGCAAACCATAGCTCAAATCATCATTTATGTGGATTCGAGGTACCCTGGTAAATGGGATGCCCCACAGATAGCCACTACAGTGGCCTTTGTTTGTGGATTTATCGTACTCGGGATTGGCCTCTTGCGCCTCGGTTGGCTTGTCGAGCTCATACCCGCACCGGCAGTCAGCGGGTATATGACTGGATCTGCGATAAACATAGTTGCAGGTCAGGTTCCTAGCCTTATGGGTATCACTGGGTTCAAGTAAGCGGTGTCATTTCGAGCGAAACGCATTTTTGTGATATACTTCATAGCACTCGAGCTGCCACGTACGAAGTTATCATCAATACCCTCAAGGGACTTCCCAGTACGAATCTAAATGCTGCGTGGGGTCTCACAGGCCTTTTTGCGCTCTATGCAATTAGCATCACTTGTAAACAATTATCCAAGCGGTACCCAAGGCGAGGTAAGCTGTGATCTGTGTAGTTTTGCTATGACGAGACTCTTATGGTATCTTGTCTAGCCCGACTTTTGTTTTTCGTCTCAGTTACAAGAAATGCTTTTGTGGTAATAGTGTTGACCATAGCTGCTTGGCTGTATTGCCGACACCGTAAAACCCATTCTGGTAAATATCCGATTGCAATCTTGCAAACTGTTCCTGCAGGGTTTCAAGACGTGGGCTCCCCTGTTATCGACAGCGAGCTCGTCAAGGCCCTCGCGCCACAATTTCCTGTGGCCACCATAATTCTCCTCCTTGAGCACATCGCCATTGCCAAATGTAAGCCACTGATTATCTGACCGTCGTGCCCTTTTGACATACTACTTGCAGCATTTGGACGGGTCAACGGGTATAAAATCAACCCCAACCAAGAGCTCATTGCCATCGGCGTCACGAACACGCTCGGCACTTTATTCCATGCGTACCCCGCTACAGGATCATTCTCCCGTTCTGCCTTGAAGTCGCAGTCGGGCGTGCGGACTCCTTTGGCTGGTATTTTCACTGCAATGGTTGTCGTCGTTGCCCTCTATGGCCTTACCGCAGCCTTTTACTGGATCCCTAACGCTGGGCTTTCAGCAGTCATTATCCACGCGGTCGCTGGTCTTGTCGCGTCACCTTCCCAAGTATACACTTACTGGCGCGTTTCCCCCCTTGAGTTTATCATTTGGTTGGCTGCAGTCCTGGTTACCGTTTTTTCGTCTATCGAGGACGGCATCTACACTTCCATCGCGGCATCGTTCGCATTACTTCTGATTCGCATGGCACACCCCAGAGGATATTTCATTGGGAAGGTTACCCTTACACATAACTCAACGGAATCACGAGAAGTCTTCGTCCCGTTGCGCAAGGATGGCGTAACGAATCAATATGTCAAAGTTGATCCTCCCACTCCGGGTGTGGTCATTTACCGCTTCGAAGAAAGCTACCTATACCCCAATTGCTCTATTATCAACTCCGCCATTGTCGATTACGTGAAGGAGAACATGAGACGCGGGATTGACTTCAGCACGATACAGTTGGCCGATCGCCCCTGGAACGATCCTGGACCCACTCGTGGCAACTCTCAAGCTGCGGAGGCAGCCAACAATGAAAGACCTGCTCTTCATGCCATTGTACTAGACTTCTCTGGAGTGTAAGACATATAACCTCGGTCTCCTTTTACGAATCAATTCACTCATTTTTATTCTAGATCTCATATCGACACCACGGCTGTCCAAGCTCTCGTAGACACGCGAAACGAGGTCCAGAAATGGGCAAACCGTCCGATAGAAGTCAGTCATGGTGTTTGTCTCACCACGCTGCCTAGCTAATGCAATGCAACACTACAGTTTCATTTTGCTACCATCCTGTCACCCTGGATCCGGCGTGCTCTCGTAGCTGCAGGTTTCGGCATCGGCACCCCAGCGGTCGAGCACTCTAACGAAATCGCACCTGTTGTACCCTACGGTGGCAGTCGCCGCGAGAAATCGTGGGGTGATATACCCAGCTCAGGCTTCGAAGATATCGAGGCCCACAGCGAGTCTCTTCCTCCAACCTTGGGGACAGTGCCCATTGTCCCCATTGAAACCCCCTTCTTCCATTTCGATCTCACTAGTGCTGTCCGTGCCGCGGAGGCTGGTGTAGAGAAACCGGCCGAGAGAGCTGAAACTCCACCGGCGAAATATATCTGATTGGTTTAAGTTGAACGGTCTAAGATCGGACAACTGCGAAAGGGTACTACTTACTTACAATATCATTATGTACAGTCACAAGGACACCTATGTATATGTTAAGACCTTGTAATCTAGATACTCTGTCATGCCGATAACGGTTCATAACCTTCATTTCAGAGCAAGTGACCTAAACTGCGACAAGTTGGCGATGTTGAAGAATTATTTCCAATTATACTCAGGGACAGCAATGTATTAGGCAGTTCCTTCAAAGTACTCCACGTGATCACTAGTAGTTCAACTGAACTGGCGTACACTACAATTTGCTGGATTTGCTGGATGCTCCGTTCAAGGCTACCGACTGCCTGGCCGCGCGCATCATATGCACGATCGTTTTCCAAGAGCTCAGCACCGCTCTCAGGTCATAATAAAGTAGGATCTAGTCTCAACTCTTGGTATTCAGGAACTCATACTAAACGCGTCTAGTGGTCAAAAATAAAGCAACGAAAAGGTGCAGAAGACGCGAAGAAATCTATTTTGTACGGTAAAGCCGCCAACGTGAGCCTCCTCCTTTGCATGTCTTCCTAGTGAACGCGCTACACACGTTTGCTAATAGGACATTCTTGCCGCTGCCAGGAGTATGTATGTTTCGTGCACGTCTTCTCCAGTCGTTTATACCCCGCGTTTAGATGGCGGGTCACCGATCCTTGAAGAAAACTCTATGCTAGCCACTGCTGTCCGACGCGCAAAAGACGCCGGTGTTCCGAAGGAGAACATTGAGAATGCATTGCTCAAGGCACGTACACAAGCTCACCATCCGCTGTTGCGCCTCACCGAGTCCTACAGGCGTCCAAAAGTAAGAACGATAATGGCCAAGCTGTCTCTTATGAAGCCATGATGCACGGCTCCGTGGGCATCATCATGTAAGCCCCTACCAAAACTCTTGATGGCGTTGTAGCCGAACTGGCGGGAAGAGAATGTAGGACCAATAATATCAACCGCACCATCAATAATGTGAGGGAAATCCTCAACCGTCACGGGTCCGTCCAGCCTCTCTTCTTTTTCATTATCATCTTTCTTCAATACCATTACAGTGCTCGACAGGCTCCAGTCAAGTTCATGTTCCGTCAGCGAGGATACCTCAAAATTGCTCTCGACTCAAACGATATAGAAGACCTGTTCAACGCAGCAGAGTCGACCCAGTGTGCCTTTGATTTCGATGAATGGGAAGATGACTCCGGTGGTAGTCGCGGAATAGAGGTACGCCTTCAAATTTTGTTTCCAAGAACTGAACCCACCGAGTCCTAGCTGGCATGCTCTCCCGACGAGTTGTTCAAGTTAGAAGACGGACTTCGTCAGTACATCCAGCAGGATGCCAATGCTGAAATACTCGTCAGGGAGGTTAGATGGGCCCCGCTGGAAGAGCAAGGAAGCACCGACGATGAAAAAGACAGTGTCTCAAATCTCGTCGAAGCTTTAGAAGAGGATGAGGATGTCACCCGTGTGTCGACTTCCCTGGAATACAGCTCTCTGCTTGGAAACGCTTGATCTATAATACATACTCATACAACAGACGGATAATTACAAATTGAAGATAAAACTCCATAACGCCCGGAGACAGCACAGACCAAACTAGCAAGAGCGCTTGCCACTCAGCACATCAGGATGGAGGCTCACCCACGCATGACCACTATCTCCTCCGCATTGCACAACACCAGCATCCACTGCTTGACTAAAATATTCTGTCAAATTGGACGCCCCAGCTTTAGAATATATCTCGGGCCCAATCACTAGGCCGACTGTTGAAGGAAAGGGCTTCGCCAGTCCATTCTTGTGAATTTTAGATAGGCAAGTGATGAGTGGCTCGAAGCAAGACGGGATCGGCACAACTGGTGGAGGGCTGGGGTTCAATGGGGCTAGCTTAGTGGTCTCCTGCGGTGCGGTGCATGACGGTGACGTAGAAGCCGTGGATGAAGTTTCAGGACAAGAAATATTATTCTGTGGTGTAGGGGGGTTGTTACTATGGTCAGTTGAAGGGGTTGAGGACTTTGGTGCTTCAAATTCCTGTCTGAACCTTGAATGTAGCGTTATCCATGAATTGCTTCGAGTCGTCCCCCCACCACACTCGATTATAGAAGCTTCTTTCGCTAGCAAAGCATAGTCTGCGAATTTCGTTGCGCGCGCGCGCTTGTATACATCCTTATCAACCCGAACTAAGTCATTAGCAATGTCGGACCTTGATGGTTTCAGGATTCCTTTTGACCTCGCCAGCAGAAGCTGATTGACCAGCGGAAGGAATTTTTGGGGTGTAAGGCGTCGAATCTTATCCTCAATGGACTCGGGGTCAATAGGAGACACCGAGAATTTGTCTTTGTTATCAGTGATAACAGACGTTGCTTGTTGTAATCCAATCTCAACGTTAGCCATAGTAACGTTGGAATCAGAGGCGATCGAAGACGAAGGTGTCAACGAAGATGGTGCCAATGAAGATGGTGTCGATGGTGTCGATGGAGACGGTGCCGACGATGACGTCGGAGATATGGGAACCACAGAAGGTTCAGGGGTGGGGGGAGAATCATTGACGAGAGTAGAGTTTACAATGTAAGTATCGTCTGCAATGTGGTACGATTCGGCAGAATTCACAACTTGTGCGTGCGATGAATCATCGACCTTAGTTGAAAGTGGACTGCTGATCGAGATATTTGCAACCTCGTCCACGCTGCCGTCATGGTCTCCGTCTTTGTTACTATATCCAAGGGCATCCTTGACTGCCGCGTCATCCGACATAACGATACGATTATCCAACATGGCTGAGGTAGGGTCGATGTCCATTGATTGTGACAAGGGCACCGCAGCAGGCACAGAATTCTGGGGTGTGTTGCCGTACGAGACGGGGGTGCCTCCTGAGATAATACGGGTCTGGAACGGAGAGCCAAGAGGAGCGTCCTGCGGATCCAATTTATAAGGGATGGCAGGAAATGGGGATAGTGGAGCGTTTCTCAACCCCGTGGTAGGGGTTAAGTCAGGCTCTGCAATGTTCTGGTTGCGTTCCGATCCCGAGCTCGAGCTGGGGGCTGTGGCAAAGGGATCATGACTCGCATCCTGAATTTCATCAGCTATGCTAACGAAATCATCTGTGAAACTTTCATCTGAAACTGAAAGTGCATCGTTCGCTTTGAGAGAGTAGCCTAAGCTTCGGTCGATGTCCGGGACAGTCTGTGTCGACTTTGTCACGAATCTAGCTCGTGACACTGCAGACCCGAATCTAGGAAGTGCGGGTGTCGCAGGGATTGTGCTAGCAGCCTTCTTCGGCGTGCACGACGATGCGGGCTGAGCAGCATGACCTGAGTCTGTATTCCTTTCTATCACCGGTGGTTGCTGCTGCTCTGCTACAGTGTCACGCTGTATATGGGCAGACGGTGTGCTAGTGGGGAGGGAAGAGGAAATGAGGGTGACAACAGGATCTTCATTCAAATCTTGGACTTCTCGCGACAGCCGCTCAACGATATCCTCTTCGAGGTTACGATAAGGTTGCCGTACCGGTGCTGTGTTGGGTTCTGTGCGCTTTCCAAGAATAGCAAAATTCCAATCTACCACGACAGAAGCCTGAGACTCCAGGCTCTGTGGAATATTTGGCGCCGGAGGTACGATGAGGACGACATCATACTGTCGAAGGCGGAGGGTTGATACGGCATAGGCATAATCTCGGTCACCAGCTATCAGGATGATGGTGGCAGGCGAAGGATGGTCGTTGGCAAATGCAAGCATATCCACTAATGGCAAACGAAAGTTCATAGTGCATGGTATAGACGCTAGTTACGGAATACACACCAAGGATCATTTTGTCCACGACGTCCTTCCTGCCGTTGTGGGGACAATCAGTCATGGACACCCCAGAGGACTGAAGGTCAGAGCGAAACCCGACAGACTTGGCGGACTGTGAAGATATGTCAAGGTATGCTTTGAACGACGTGACATATCCGAAGACATGCGCAATTCGTCGTATGCCATTCACAATGGCGTGTCCTTGCGAATTCAAGGGAGGGCTGCAATTTTCTGAAGGATGATATACCCCATAAACCTATGATCAGAGGCGAGTAGTATGCTTAGAAGCTCACCATAATCCCAGAAAACAGCGACCTTTCTATGGTTTGACATGAAACTCGCATTGGCGAAGGGAGGTATAAGTCGTGGACTCAGGCTGGCACGGGTACGTAGTCCCTCGATTCGAACTCGAGGCGTCGAAGGTGCCGTTAAACCGCTTCTCAGGCTATTTTGGGGCGCTCCTGGGCAGTGTTCACTCGATGCCCAGCGCTTGCACACATCAGAAGGAACAAATGCAAATTGAACATGCTGTTCTGGAAACAAATCTCTAAGTATCTTTATTATGTCGCTGACTTGAAATTGGACGAAAGCAAAGTCCGACCAGCACGGAAGCTCACTAGATATCTTCCATGGGCGTCAAGCCATCTATTCAATACAAAATAGCGCAGTGACCCACAGAACATGGAATAAAATGGGTGTACTCATACACAAGTGCAGTGTCACTAGTGGTGATCAAACCTGGCGTGTGAGCGCGTGCGGTTCTCACACGTTGGGATCAGACGTGTCCTGCGTCTAGTGAGGGATTGAGTACAACCCGGGCGAATGTGCCAGTTGGCAGCGTCCAGTTCTAATCTCCAGTGTTCTGGCCAAAAAATTGTGCGGTGTTGATATTCATACGAGAAATTCAAGACGTTGGATGTCAACGTCATAATGCAAGGCCCAGAGGAACGAAGAATTGGTCTGTGTTTCCAAGTCTTCGAGGCTTTTCATTCGAAATCAGGACAATTCTGCATCATGCGCCTGAGCTCCATGTCTGGAACCCCCGGTTTGAAATCAACAGGGCATGGGATATTGGGCACCCCCGCATGCAGGAACTCCATGTCATCCAACGGCCTCGTAGAATCCAAAGTGAGCCCAAAGAATAAGGAACGAATCTATCGACACCGATCTACACCAATAGAAATGAGCTGAGAAACCAAGTGCACGAAAGGATATCTTTACCTGTTCGCAACACGTAGACCAGGGCATGATAGAATGAAAGATAGTATAGCCTGAAAGACGGTGCTTACCGCCAACCAAACCCGTAGGGAGGTCTGGATCAAGTTGCAAATTTAAATGTGGTCTGTTTCTTTTGCAGACAAACTGGTGCATCTGACGGAACCTCTTCCCAGTGGACGCAAACCCGATAATCAGTCCGCCGGTAAGCGTCTGTCCAGCGTTCATGCGAGGACGATCAGCTAGTGATCCACCCTGCTTCTCCATGATGGCCACTGCATCCTGCGATATAATGTTAAGCCGGGGAATGACAGCTTAGCGTGAAGCGACTGACTTTGTGACGGCCGATAATGACAAACTTTCTCAGTTCCTGCGCGGACGGTAATCGAAGGACAGTACTCCTTAATCCATTCCGCCACAGTAGGAAATGCGCTGATCGATGATTGAACACGGTCAACATTCGAAAAAAATAAAAAATAAAAAATGATATTTACTTGGGAGGAGGAAGCGAGTGTCCCAGAAGTCTCCAACTTGGAGGGGAAGGTGGAAGAGGAAAGCTACCCATTGATCTAACAAAAGAAGCCTGAGCAATCAGTCCTACCACCCCAAGACAAGTCGCAATACTGAGGATGAGCTACGCATTGTCAGAAACGGGCAGGCCAGGCAGCTATAGCATGACTATTGAATTGAAACGAAGACGATAGGATAGACCTCATCGACAGGGCATTTAAATCATGAACGAGTTTCTAATACCCCACGCCAATCGGGGCTACCGCACCAAGACACGCGGCACGTATACCTGGGTTGGACAAGTATCCGTGTTGGCGTGTGGTCATTGGTTCGCTGATAATCTAGAAGTTCGTTCAGCGGCTATTTATCCAGCAAGAAGATCCAGCTGCAGGAATAGTATGCGATCAACTCTGATCGTCATTTGCACATCTGAATCTTGGGCGCTGATACATATATTGGAGCACCCAGCCGCCAACGTCCTATCCTCTCACCTCAAGAGGCCTCAGATGCCCAGCTCGCCCAACGCAAGTACCTCTTTGTGACCTGACCACCTTTCATCGGTATCTAGATCATTCGTTCCACTATACATTTATCTGTGCCGTCCTCCATACCGACCAAACAGGTCATGGCAGCTCGTGTGTCGACTATCATTGGCGCAGAATCACTGGGGGTCACGAGACAGAGAAGGTCGGGCAATCGCTGGGAGAGCTAGGGAGATCGAGAGCAGACATACGAACATCACTATTCGATGCATTGAGAGAGCCGATATAGTATGAAAGTATGATAGGAACAACTGTGTTCCTTCTGTATCCAGGTCTGTTGAGTACATGGTTCAGAACACCCCAAGCCAGTGATCCTCCAAAGATCCGCGAGCCCATGCACGGCTACTTAACAGTCCTACTTTTTTCTTGATATCATTACGCGAGCCACATGCGGGTCCTGATACGTGCCCTGCTCCTTGTTGATCCAGATTTTACCATCTCCTCGGTCAAGAATAACTTTGATGTCCTCCGCTACCTTAGCCTTCTCATCTGGAGGGAGTATCGCAATGTAACTCCAACTGAGGACGCGATCCGTGACAATTTGCTCGGTAGCAACACCATGATGAGCCCATTGTTTCTCTTCCTGGGGATGAAATAACGACGTATACTCGGGGATAGAGAACGCCTGCCTCAAAACATCGAGGCGAAATCGGGGACTGCCGTTCCCACGGGCCTCGATACAGTGCTGGACCTGCGTAACCCAACCTGCAGCCTCCCTGCAGTGCTGTCAGAAGTTTGAGTGTATGAGAGAATTACAGTAGAGAACCTATCTGCAAGGTACCATATAAATACAGCCGCCCCGTCCTTGTTCAAGATACGAGCGAATTCAGTGAATGCCTTCTCATAGTCGAGACACCAATGAAATGCCTATATGACCGAGGGATGAGCATCTGCACCTAATTTAGCCTAGAGCTACTCGCCTGTGCGATGATGATGAGGTCTGCCCACCCATCTTCCACACCGGTGTTATCAAATGTCCCGTTAACAATAGTACAGCGATGATCTTGGACGCACTTCGTCCAGAAATTACGCATGCCGTCGCTTGGTTCAATAGCTCTCAGGGTGCCAATGCTCGTCGCCCATTCGGGGTGAGTCAACAAGGCACGGGTGAAAATGCCCGTTCCTGCCCCAATCCTGAAAGCCAATTGAGGAGAGAAACTGTACAAGTAATGATTTAACTCACTCGACGATTTTCAGCGGCGTTGTGCTCTTGGGTACCTGTCTGCGAATATACGAAACACAATCAGCTGGATACAAGGGGCGAACCCTAGATGCATCCAAATCAATAGGATTAACGAATACGGACCGTGCAAATAGTCCACCTACCGATCGTATGATTCATTCGTCCCAGTCGCGAAGCCTGCCTGTGCGTTAGGATGTATACTTGTCGTCATGGTGCGGGTGAGCCTTAAACCAGACGTGAAAGACACAAAAACGAATGGCTGGGCTTGATATATCGAGTGAGTCGGATCCTAAAAGTTATTTCTGTTCGTCCGAACAACTTGAAGCTGCTGCATGTTATCAACGCTTTTATGTAAATAAACAGTTGCACGATTTACTAACTTGGTTGGCCACATAATTATGTATTATAACCCTGATCGGTATCGCACCCTGTCGATTCCATCTTGACAATTCGCTTGCGAAGAGTGTTTGTCAATAGAGGACGACTTCGAAATCAGACGATTTCTCGAGTGGGTCTTAGCATCCATTCGAGAGCAGCGGACGTAAGCCGTCAAGCTACGGTTGCTCTATGAAGTTCTGATGGGTCGCCCTGAATGTGGATGGAGTATGCATAGGTGGGGAGAACTGGGGTAGATGTTGAAGATGCTTAGCGCTTAGTAGCCAGTCAGGTACCAATTGGTTAACTTAGAGCGCTTAGTCATTACATAAAGAGTCAATCGATAATTTTAAAGTGCTCTAGCCTACTCTTCATTGAATTATTCTACTGATTGATCACGATGGCATCAAATAAAAAAATAGTCGGTGTGGCAGATTATAATGAAGGCTCACATGGATGTTGGGAAGCACACAAAGGAGCTGCTGAAAATTTTGGCTACGGGTGCGTCGCAATGAAAGTTTTCTTGACGACTTTTCTGAGGACAGTACTCGAAAAGTACAAGTTATTATGCTGCTTGGTAGCTAGGTCATGTTATATGTGCATTTTACTCCATTCCACGTCGTACCCGCTTCGAAGACAACGCAGGTCCTTCCATCCTTCAAACCTCCTCAGGAATCCTGCGTTTGTTACGCATCCCGAGCGACTTGCACAACACCTGTGAGACTTTACGGTTTCCGCATGGCATCACTGAACTTGCGTGGACTGGGAATATCAGGTCAAGTTCTGAATCAAGTCCCATCAGCGAGGATACCTCACAATCGCTCTCGACACAGACCTGTTACCTGTTCAATGCACCAGAGTCGATTCAGTATTCCTTTGATTTCGATGAATGGGTCAATGACTAGAATGGCTGTTGCAGAATAGAGGTGAGCCTTATTTTCTCTTCCCGATAACTGAGCCCATCAAGTTGTACTAAGTTGACACGCTCTCCTGACAGAATCCCAACGCTGAAATACTGGTCAGAGATGTATGGGCACCGCTGAATGGGTAAGGAACCACGAGGATGGTGTTTCAAATCTCGTCGAAGGACGAGGACTTCGCTTGTGTATCGTCAATGAAATATAGCTCTCTGCTAGGGAATGCTTGATTCCCGATATACACTCATACAACAGGTAATACACTTGAATCGTAACGCACGTAAACAACAAACCAAACTAATAAGAACGCTTTCCATTCAGCACATCGGGGTGAAGCCTCGCCCACGCAGAACCACCACTTCCTCCACATTCCACAACACCGGCGTACACTGCTTGAGCTAGATATTCTTTCAGACTGGACGTGCCAGCTTGAGAATATGCCGCGAATCCAAGCACTTGGCCAACTGCTGAACGAACGGGTCTGGGTACCCCATCCCTATGAAATTTGGCCAGGGCGTTAATGAGCGGCCGGAAGCAAAGCGGGATCGGCACAGCTGCAATGAAAGGTTCAGCGTTTGGGTTCAGTGTGGGTGGTTTGGCGGCCTCTGGCGACGCGGTGTTCGGTAGTGGCATAGCTGATGAAGATGGAGTTGGCGTCTCAGTATAAGGAATGTTGTCTTGTGGTGTAGGAGAGCTGTTGTCATGGACGGCCGATGAAATGGATGATGACTGAGGTGCATCCGAGTCGATGTCCTGCCTAAACAAATCCGGATGCAGTGTCATCCATGCATCGCCCTCCCGCCCACCAAGCTGGATAAGACAAGCTTGTTCTGCTAGTGCAGTGTAATGCGCGAACCTGGTCACTCCAGCACGCAGGTATACATTCTTGTCACACTGAATCAAGTCAGTGGCAATTATGGACCTTGATGATTTCAGTTCCCCTTTTGACCTCGCCAGCAAAAGCCGATTGATCAGGGGGAGGAATTTCGAAGGTGTATTGCGTCGAATCTTATCCTCCACGGACTCGATAGGAAGCGCTTGACACCCTGAAGGATTATCTTCGTTATCACTGATAACAGACGTTGCTTGTTGTGGATCGATGTCAACGCTAGACGTGCTAACGTTGGAATCAGAGACAGACAAAGCCAGCGAAGACGGCGTCGACGGAGACGATGCTGAAGATGACGTCGGAGACATGATAATTACAGAATGTGCAGGAGTGGGGGCAGAATCAGACGGAGAGTTCGTAACGTCGACCTTAGTCCAAAGTGGACTGTCAACCGAGCTATCAAATTCGTCGGCACTGTTATCGTCGTCGTCTCCGTCTTCGCCATCGATTCCAAAGGCATCCTCGAGCGCCGCTTTGTCCGACGCAACGGTATGATTATCCAACATGGCTGAGGTAGGGTCGATGTTCGCTGAATTCGGTGCAGTAATGATATCATTCCGCCCTCGTGAGGATGCAGGTGACAAGGGCACCACAGCAGGCAGAATGTTCTGGGGTGTGTTGTCGTATGAGATGGGGGTGCCACCCGAAATGGTACGGGTGTGTGATGAAGAAGGGAGGGGAGCGCTCTTCAAATTAACGTTGAACGTGACGGCGGGCGGTGGAGATGGTGGGAAGTTACTTGAGTCTGTGGTGGGTGGTAAACTAGACTCCGAAATGTTCTGATTGTGTTCTAGGCCAGTAAGGGTTCTGGCAAAAGGATCTTGAGTCGCATCCTGAATCTCGTTAGCGCAGCTAACGAAACCGTCTGCGAGACTTTCATGTGAAAGTGCTTTGTGCTCTTTGAGAGGGCAGCCTGAACCTTGTTCGATGTCTGGGACATTGTGCGTCGACTGCGTTGCGGATCTAACCCGCGACGCCACAGACTCGAATCTAGGACGTACAGGCGTCTCAGGGATTGTGCTAGCAACCTTCTTCGGCGTCCACGTCGAAGCAGGCTGAGTAGCATTACCCGAAGCTGTGTCTGAATTCTGTTCAGATACTGACGGCTGCAGCAAGCTCTGCTGCACTGACACGCCGCGTATGGCCTGGTGTTGTGGGAAGATTCGAGGAAAGGAGGGTGACAGCAGGATCTTCGTTCGAATCGCGAATTTCGCGTGATAGCCGCTCTACGATATCTTCATCAAGGTTGCGGTAAGGTTGCCGCACCGGTGCTGTATCGGTTTCTGTAGGCTTTCCAAGAATAGCAAAATTCCAGTCCACTACGACAGAGGCCTGAGACTCCAGGCTCTGGGGAATATTTGGCGCCGGAGGTACGATGAGAACAACATCATACTGTCGAAGGCGGAGGGTTGATACGGCATAGGCATAATCTCGGTCACCGGCTATCAGAATAATTGTGGCAGGTGAAGGATTATCGACGGCAAATGCAATCATATCCACTAGCAATGAAGTTCATAGTGCACACTACGGGCACCTTGCGAAATACACACCGAGAATCATCTTGTCCACAACTTCCTTCTTGCCGTTGTGGGGGCAGTCAATTATGGACACCCCAGAGGACTGAAGGTCGGAGCGAAACCCGACAGACTTGGGGGAGGACTGCGAGGACATGTCAAAGTATGCTTTGAACGACGTTACATAACCAAAGACATGGGCAATTCGTCGAATGCCATTTACAATGGCATGTCCTTGCGAATTCAAGGGAGGGCTACAATTTTCTGAGAGAGGATAATAATATACCCCATAAGCTATCAGAGACGGCTACGTAGAAACTCACCATAGTCCCAGAAAATAGCGACCTTTCTATGGTTGGACATGAAACTCTCATTGGGGAGGGGGAATAAGTGAGGCGTCTCGTGAGCTCAGGAGTCCTTAATTTGTACTGAACCCAACATGCCGTTAAGTGGACCACCTTCCATTTTTGGGCGTTACTTAACGCTGCACAGCCTAGTGTTTTGCACACACCGTTAATGCACACTGCACAGTCATCACAAGGAGTAAACGTTACCTCAACGCTGTAAATGCCACTTGAAATTCTGTTCTACACGCACTTCGGGAGTGCTGCTGTGCCGCTGGCTTGGGAATGGAGAAAAACAAAGTCCGACTAGTGCGGAGGCAGTGCGCACTGCGCACTTACGAGAAACAAACCCCTTATCTGACCAAACTTGTTCCGCCACATTAAGTGATTCAATACAAAATAGAACAATCCAGTGACCCACAGCCGTGTGAGTGACGGCTTCCAGTCTTCTCGGCTCTCGCTCGCTACAGTCACCCCTAAAGAACGCAGCAGCCGAATGCTCTCCTTCATTATGTAAAAGTGGGGAAACGGTGAGGAAAATGCGTGTTAGTCGTGCTGTAGAATCACCAAGCCATGCATGGCTGGAATTCACGTGGTGGATGCATGAATTATTAGGCGTGGGGAACTACAGATAGAAGTAGGATGAGCATTTGAAGTATCTGCCCAGTTTAGCGAGGTAATTTATCGACGATCTAGCAAGTTTACCGCGGACAAGCTGCACAATAGGGTTGTGAATTGAATTTATCGAATACGTCCAACAAGCACTTACTGCGGTCTGTATATATCAAAAAACAAGTCCTGGCCTTCGCTAGCATATCACCTATTGTTACACGGTGCACCACACCCTAGAAGCTCCACGCACCCACATCAGGTACGTTTATGCATAGAAGACGATTGTATGTGTTTGACGCCCTGAAAATGGTTGTCTTTATTATCAGTAATGACAGAGGTTACTTGTTGAGAGCCTGCCTCGACGTTCTACGTTGTAACGTTAAAATTGGAAGGGTCGAAGTTGATGAAGACGTTAACATCCGAGACGCGGGTGGTGGAGGGAAAATCATTGACAGGAGAGAATTCGAGATATCTCCGATTGCTAAGTCGGGAACTTTACAACCTCATCGTTGCTGCTGTCATCTCCATCTTCGGCGATTCTTCACCTCCATCATCAAGCCCAAGGACAGCATCGAGCACGCGGCCTGACCCAGTAGTAAAAGATGCCAGACTAATCCTGGTTGATCCACTGGAATTTGGAAGGACGGAATCGTCCAATGATAAAGGCCGGGACGTTGATATCTGTGCGGAATTAAGCCTGCTACAACAACACTTACAACCACGGCATGATAAGTCCTGTTAAGAGTTCAAGAGATTTTTACTTGGCATGTCCACCTAGTCTCCCCCTAGCCAGACCAAATAGAAGGAAGACAAGTCGTTTCCTTCTATGTCCACCTCCACCTTAAAGGCGGACTTCGCGATCACGTGTACCGACGCGTGCGGGTAAATTCCCACGGTGTTTGTTGACCAACCTTCTTTAACTCTGTTCATTACCACAACCGAGACACTTCTGCCGACGACCCCAACGACCAGCTCACTATCGAGCTCAACATTTACGACAGCGACGATATCGGTGGTAAACCATATAATAACGCTCACAATGAGCGCACAAATAAATTCCACAGCGTCCCCACAATCACTTCTTTCCAACTCGTCTGATCCTGTTCAATCATCCATCCGTCGCAATTCCGCTATGGGCTGGAGCAAGTCTTCTTCACCGATTGCTAGCACAGGCACAACGCCTCTTCGAATTGCAAAGCGTGATAGCTCTAAACCAGCTTTTCCTCTTGTCGCTCGTCGATCCTCATCCAGTTACAGACATCTCAGAAATAACAATCTTGTTTCCAAATCTCCTTTCAAGTCTTCGATTCCAACGCCGTCCAGACCTTCCACCTCTGCACATAACAACATCCCTCTCCCTAAACCCCCGTCGCGTAGGGTCAGTGGCGAGAAGCGCCCCCGCCCCGACTCCATGCATGACCAAGCTGAAAACGAGCGTCCATTTGCCCTCAAACGGGAGCGCCGTCAGTCGAAAGTCTACCAGGGACTTATGGATAAGGAGCCTGTGACAAAGAGTCCCTTCAAACGTCCTCCTGGCGCCCGAGAAGAAACTCCACCCCCAGTACCCCCCAAGTCTATCCCTATCCCACCAATTCCGGAGCCTTCCGCTGCTAGGAGTGCAACTCCACCGAAGACGATTACCCCCACACGCTCATCGCTCGTTACCAAACGCCTCCATGGTCCGCGAACTGCTGACCAGCCCTCTCTCGAACGCAGGCGCCAGAGGCGAAAAACTGTAACATGGGATGAGCGTTGTGATGTTCTTGAGTTTGACCGCGAGGAAGGGGAAAATGATCCTTTCTATTCTGATGAAGATGACTATGGCACCCCTGATCCTGATCACCGCGACCAGGCAGCCGCAATATTTGGCTCACTTCCTTCTGAGCTCTTAGAGTTAGTAGACCCTCCTGTGACTCTCCCGTCACATATAAGTCTGCCAGCCGTCCGCCCGGATGGCGATGTCCTGGAATTGGACTGTGAAGAAGGCCGGGATAATACCTTCTATTCTGACGAAGATGACTATGGCAGCCCTGGTCACAGCGAGCAGGCAGTTAAAGTATTCGATTCAATTCCCTCTGCGCTCTTGGAGTTCGTAGGCTCCCCTCATAACCCTCCTTCACCCATCGTTCCTCCAGCCGTCCATCAGGAGTCACCTGCCCTACGCCAAGGCTCCCCGGTCTGCGAGTCCACGAGCTCGCCTAACCTTTCCATTGACGGCAGTGCAGGACGCGCCCCAAGGACACGCATCAGCAGAGAGGATATCCATACACGCCTCATGCGGAAACGCAGCTCGGATAGTCCTATGACGTCGGGTAGTATGTCTCAGCAAGACACAGATGCACAACTCCCAAAACAAACCGAGCCCCATGACAATGACATTGCCAATGTAAAGGTTGAAGAAGATGGAGAGTATGAGGAACACGTCGAGCCGATGTCAGTGATGGTGGATATCAGTGCCGAGCTTGCAACTCTTCAAGCTACAGAGCGAAGGTCCCCGAGTCCCAACGTTGCACGGCCGAAGGGCCACGTCCAACTTATTTCTCATCCGCCTGCGAGCATTGTTTCATCACTTGACACGACATGTGACATTTCCAGCAGCTTTGATCTTGGTGACTCCATGAGCTCAGTGCAGCTTAGTGAGGTGCGCTCCGCCCTTGACAAGGTTGCGCAGATGCGCCTCACGCGCAAGCGCAGTGCGGACAGTCCTTCGGTGCTGGGTGGTGCGGCTGAGCCAGCTGCTAATCCAAAGTCTCCCCAACAAATCGCGCCCTGTGACTTTCTCCAGGAGGACAGCATCATCAGTGATGCAGAGACTGAAGAAGATAAAGAACAGGAAAAACGCGTCGAGTCGATGTCGGTGATGACAGATATTAGCGCCGAGCTTGCGACTATTCAAACTGCAGAGAAATGCACGCTTAACTCTGCGGCTGTTGCAGTAAATCAGCAGGGGTCCCCGAATCCTGCCGTCTCGAGGAACTCCCTCGACCTTCTTGCTCCACCACCTACGAACATTGGTCTGTCTGTTGATGCGAGTTTTGAGCTTAATAGCAGCCTTGGTCTTGGTCCAGGTCTCGGAGATTCTGTGAACTCTGTCCAGTTCAGCGAGATGCGCTCCGCACTCGACAGACTCATGGATGATGTCAAAGGCACGGCAAGTAGGAGCTCAAGCCCGAGAAGGCCCACGCACATGCGCGTCGAGTCTGTCACTGAAGGCATCAAAGCAGGGCAATTCGACAACAGCTTTGGTACAGGTGATGAGTCTATGCGTACGGAGACGGATTTTGATGCGTCGATGTCCATGGACAGCCATGTGGTACGGCCACGGGCGGCGCCGTTGCAGCGCGCAGCGACAGACTCGATAGTGTATACTGCCCCAGCGTTCATCAGCCCTGTGCTAGCAGAGGAACGACCGTCGCAGTCGAAGTATGCGATACGTCAGAGAGAGGAGCTTATACTCGAGAAGCGTCGGGCGGCGCGAAGACGGGACGACGATGAGTCGCTGGGATATTATACCCCGCCCCGTGCAGCGCCCGCTGGCAGACCTTCACGTCGGCGGAGTCAGAGTACTGGTGACGCTGGCGCTCCGGCGAAAAACGATATGCTTCTCGACCTCGGTATTTCCGACGGTGAAGGCGACCCTCTAGCTGACAGCATTTCAAAAGAGCTGAAGAAACTTGATCCTGAACATAGGAAAGGGGTCAGCTCATTGGTTTTCTGGTGCATGTTAAGGTGCTTACGTTGATCCTTGTGCAGAAATATCGCATCCGGGAGCATGAGGCGATTTTTGCGTCTGCCGATACCGAGCAGGTCTCTCATATGTCACTTGCTGGTGACGTGAATGGTGGAAAGGCATGGAAGGCCGTCCGACGACCATCGGACATGGTAATTGATTGTTTGCCTCATGTGCCGTTGATTCTGACATTTTTATTGCGCTAGAATGAATATTCCAAGCAAATTAAGGAATATAGGTCAATGGAAAAGCCTGGGAAGGCGCATGGCAAGGTGTTTGTCAGAGGTCGGTGAAATTATATTACCCTCAAGAGTTATCGCTCACAAGATTATTGATGTTTAGTCGTTGGTGTTCGCGGCTTGAAAGTGCCCATACCCCAGCAAGCTACAGCTCTCACGTGTACTTTGAACAACGGAATACATTTTGTTACTACTCCAGAAACCCGCCTATCCAATGATTCGCGCATCGACCAAGAGTTTGAGCTGTAAGTTTGTCACTAATAATTTTGTAGATTATGCTAATCTCACGACAGTATCGAGCACAACAAGCTGGAATTCACTCTCACCCTCAAAGTCCGCCGGGATGCACACATCACCGCCCAATCACAGGCTCTCGTGCCACCACCTGCGCCTCGTGTGCAGCCCCCGACATCCGTACCCAAGTCTAGGGGTGGCATGCTCAGTTTCTTCTCATCATCGCCTAAAAAGCAACCTCGCGCGACACCGACACCCCCTCCACCTGACCCTCCTTATAAACTCCCAGATAATCTCGCACGGTATCTCAAACAAGATGGAACCCTTGCACGTGCATTGATTTCATTCAAAGATGTGGCTGCGAGATGCGATACTCGACTATTCGAGACTAGCTATCCACTAATCGGACAGCGCATCGAAACTTCAGGGGGTCCAACTACCATGGAGCTGGGAGAGATCGTATTGCAGATGTTTAGACTTCCACCTCTACCTGGCGTTCTAAGCAATCAGCTTCCACAAAGTCTCGAAGACTGTCATCGGGGTTTAAGACATGTCGCCTGGCATAAAGTTACGTATTTTGAGGGTACGCTGACGCAGAATGGAGGAGATTGCATGGTACGCGATTTGTTTTTACCATTTCATGAACGGCCACTTAGTTTCACTGCAGACATGGCGGCGGCGGCGTCTTCGGGTGATTGGCGCAAATCTAGTTGCATTCAACGATGTCACTAAGAAGGCAACGGCCACCATCAACCTCAAGAAAGCCATCGCAGTTGAGGACAACCAAGATACACGTACAGGCGCTCTCAGTCCTGCTCGGTCAGTAGATGATTACGACGGGATGTTCGCAGTCGAGCGTTCCTTCCGTCTCATATTTCCTGGAAACCAAAAAATATTCTTCTTCGCGGACACGGATGATGAGAAGGCAAAGTGGTGTGTTCAACTTCGTTTATGCACGTCATCCAGTTGACATCTCTTCCCAGGCTTGATGTGTTCCGTGCGCTTGTCGGGCACATCCCACCGAATCCATTATGGGCAGAGTTAATATGGCAACGACAACAAGAGATGGCGAAACAGCCCCTTACACAGATGTCTTCTTCGAAGATAAGTCCCCGATAGTAATTCCCTTTTATTTTTGCATCTTTCGTCTAGCTTAGTTCTTGTTCGTCGTCTCGTTCTTTTGTGTTTTTCTTTCTTTTTCTTGCAATTTTGTTTTCTGTATTATGCTACAACAACGTCGTAGTCACTCGCATTTGCATGCATATGCTTTCTATGTAACAGTATTTATGCATATAAAGTACAGACATATAGTCTTGCTTCTTGGACCTGACTGACTCGTGAATACTTTCATATCAAGTGACATCTAGTGCACTGCAGACTAACTCGCTCAGACGTACAAATTAAGTATCCTGGTCGCTGGCTGTCAGGATGTCTCTGATTGTGGCAAGGGGTGATCGATGATTAACGTAAACACACTAGCACAGTGCGTGATGTTGCGGAATGCTAAATATGTCGTCCATGATGGTTTTCCTGCTATCGCGTGGGTAGTGTTTCATGGAAACTACAGAGAACTGGAGTTAAGAGCGAAACACAACAGATCTATGCTTTGGACGCTCGCACGTGTCGGGCAATTCGTCGAATGCCATTGAAAAACACGTCCTTGCAAATTCAAGGGGAAACTAGCATTTTTTGGAGGAACACAACACACCCTGGCAATCAGCACAACAGGAACACAGAGCGGAAAATGCATGTCATGATTTGATGTGTGCCGCTGTAGAATGACAGCCGAGCATTACTGAGACTCACGCGGGTGCGTGTTATGCATGGAGCACTGCAGACCATATAAGACTATTTGGAGTTTCTACCAAGTCTAGCGAGGTGGTAATTTATCGACGATCTAGGTTGTTTGCCGCGGACAGGCTGTAGAGTGGAGCAGTGAACACATTATACATTTAACACGCCTGTCCAGAGAGCAACTCACTGCGGTGCGCATGCATTGAAACAAAGTCTCGGCAGCCGCCTGACATTGATTACTGGCTAGCATGTCGCCTGTTGCTGCCCAACACCCTAGCATATTCGAGAGCTCCACTGCACAGACATTTGGGGGTAAGTCTACGCGTGGCATTGGTTAAATGACCTGTGCAGAGGATAATTTTGGGACTCACTTTTCCGAGGTCTGACTTTGACCTTGGCAATGTGGACCGTCATTGCTCCGTAGATCACCAACCTAGTACTCAACCCACACTGCAGCAGAACTGAGGTAGTGTAAGTTTGAGCGAAAACAGGGAGTAAGACTCGTCGTGAGCAAGACTTTAAACACCTGAAAATTCAATACACGTGACCTCAGTAGTAAGACGTGATGCCGTTACGGCGTTAATAGCCCACCCACCTGAATCCCTCCACGTCTACAATCATCTTGAAAGGTTTCCACTACTTTCAGCTTCAGGTAGCAGCCCGTTTAATCTTTGGTATATAGCTGTGAACTGCAAGCACGTACCATATTACCGCTACAGCTGAAGCGCTGAGGTGATGCCTGCACTCAACAAGAACAATTCCGGTGCGCCCACACTAGGACTCTACTTACTTCTGGCTGCAGATTGACCGGCCCCCCACATAGCTGTCAAGCGGATAATGCAAGAGGCAAGGGAACTTGCAAACGATCCCTGCACCGATTATCATGCAGCTCCTCTTGAGGTGCGTGCTCCTCACGCGCACGAGTCTCTTATCCCCGCCGACATATACTTCTCTGGGCTCTGCAACCATAGGATGATATTTTTGTATGTGACATTTACAGATAGTGCGTTGTCATGTCGAATAATAGATTGCAGGAATGGCATTGCACACTTCGTGGCCCCGCTGGTACAGAATTTGAAGGTGGCCTGTATCATTTCCGGATAGTGCTTCCAGCAGAATACCCCTTCCGTCCGCCTTCTCTGATGATGCTTACGCCCAATGGACGGTTCGAATTAAATACCAAGGTACGCCCCTTGCCAATGAGACATCAGAATTATGTTGAGGTTCCGTGGATCAGATATGCATCAGCTTTACAAACTGTTGGTCATCCTATGCGTTGTTGTGGAGTCGATTCACTAACGTCCGTCGTACTCTAGATCATGAAGAGGAATGGCAACCTGCATGGGGTATTCGCACAGGTAATTTTCTGCTTCAATTCGGCGTTAGCGTGCCTTATCTTTTGCATAAGCTATAATCGGACTCCAAGGATTTTTCCCCTTGAAGGGTCAGGCAGCTACTGGTGTTGGTTCTGTCGAATATCCCCTCTCGGAACGTAAGCGTCTGGCCCAGTTGTAAGCATTTGTCTAGATTGCACTTAATAAATCTAACGTCACTATTAAGGTCACGGGAGTGGGTTTGCCCGCAGTGTAATCAGTGTAATCTAAAGCATCTCCCTGATCCCCAGGAGGGACCATTGAAGCATGCAAATGTACCATCACCGTCGTCGACCCCGCCTGCCGACACCGCGGAAGTCGAAGTTGTTCAAGACAACCCGGCCGCCCCCGTGGTATCCACTCCTGTCCGTCAGTCCGATAGGCTCGGAGAAGAGCGACAAATTCACATGCGTGGAACTGCGCAATTTACGCGTCGTAGTTCACATCGGCCTCCCCTAATTCTTGATACTGCCATTTGTGTGCTCCTTGTGTTGGTTCTAGCGTTACTCTGTCGTCGAGTTCTGTGACTAGTACTGGTATAGTATGTTTCGTATTCAGAACTTTGTTGTAAGTATAGTTTAACCGCTCCTGCATGCTCTAGATGATTACACGTTGGATGAATAACCGTCGACCAATATTTTTCCGAGGACTCGATCATTATGTTAACATAAATTTGTCATTGACCCTAGTTATGCGGGGATTCCCCGGGGAAGTGCTGCCGCCGGCGACTTGTTAGTCGTTACGCCTGCCTTGGTTTTAGGGTCTTGACCAGAACAAACTTTATTACTAATACTAAATTTGTGCTTTACCTCCGAAGTACGTGATGGTATTTATGAAGACCCTGCCTTTAAAATCAGGGGAGACCAAGTAATTCGTCTGTTGCAACTCGTCTTGTTCTCATCGACGATGTCAGACGGTCGCTCACGAAACACGCGCAAGGGCAGGTCTGTATCGCTCCATCTCCCATTGAAGCGGTGCGATCCCACGCCAGTACCCCCATCCCTAACAAACTCACCGCACCTCTCGTCGCCGTACAGCATGTTTCGTCGAAAACCAGCCATGCCAAAAACCCCTTCCCAGGAGGATGACGAGTGGTTGAGAGACATGGTGCCCATGGACAAGGAGCCAGGCGCTTTTGATGAAAATCTCTCGAGCGCGTCGTCGCTAGCCACTTTAGTTCAGAAGCAGTGGGAGACATCCGAGTCACAGGAGTCAGCACCATCGTCTTCAGAGAACTCGCTCCAGGATCGTACAACATCACGTCCGAGACCTATCATGCATCGTTCATGGTCGTCTCCTCTAACCCAATCGTCAGTGTTGCCAACCCTCTGACTTGACGGACGGGCAGCCTGAGACACCCGGGGGCGGGTAATATGAGTCCAGCGTCATCGCGGACTTACGTATTCATGGCAATATTCTGCCTTTTTCTGGTAATATCTATTTGTTTGGGTCTTGGGTCTCATCGGGTCTTAGGTTTCATTGGGTCTTAGGTTTCATCCGGGTTTAACTTGTCTTGTGTCCATCCACCTCCAACTATTTCACGCTTGAGTGGTTTACTTTATTTTATACACTCTTACTATGTCTTGTATTATCACTATCACAGATGTCAAAATATGTCTTCATAGAATTATGCACCCTATGTTACAAAAATAGATGTACAAGCGATCACTTCTTCTTACCAGCAGTGATGCTGAGTACAACAAGATCATCCTCCTCCAAGTTATGGCTGGCGATAGTACTGTTATTCGTCAGCATCTTACCCGCATACGATATTCGAACTTTGGAAAGAGGGAGATTGCTGCCAAGAACTTGATTTATCCGATCACGCAGCGTTGAAACCAACAGAGTGAGAGGAAGGTCTGTAACAGTGACCGTCTGGCCATCAAGCTTCCATTCCGGCTTAGACGGGTCGTTGGGAAGTTGCACCAAGAGTGATATGGTGTAGGGATGCATTGCAACCCAGTCTGCTTCGGGATACAAAGCACCACCAGGCAGTTTTGCAATTTTTTGCCGTTTGATAGCAGGCTGTTCTTCCAGTCCTTCCATCTCGTCTGCGCTGCGCACCATACCTGCGTGTGGCGGTGTTCCCACACCACCAGCCATCATTCCTGCCATCCGAGAAGGATGCATCCCGGCGACAGGGGGCTGGTAACCGAACGGCTGCGCAGAGTCAAGACCTTGATAGTGAAGAGGTGGGAGCATAACTGGCGGTGCCTGAGGCGGATATGCTGATGCAGGCTGCGGACCAGATGAAACAGTAGGCAGAAGAGTAAGAAGCGGACCCGGATGATTGCACAGGAGGGGCAGGTAATGATGCGTGAGGAGGAGGTAGACCCGTCATTGCAGGCGGAGGTGCTGACACAGGGCCAATTCCAGGGCCGATCGCATTGGCATCCTGGGGTCCAAGACCCTTTGCACGATGGATAGCAGCAATTTGCTCGTCGAAGTTGACGTTGGTCGAGTATTTGTCCATCGTAGAAACCTTCGTCGCAGTGTGACCATCCCACACAACCTTTTCCCTCTCTTTCCGGCGTTCCTTCTCTTCTTCTTCCTCTTTCTTCCGTCTCTCCTCGTCAGCCTCGGCACCGAAAATGTCCACACGTGTACGGGCCAAGTTTTTGAGTGACGATACTACGTTTGCACCGCGCAGAAGTTCGGACGCTTGAGCTTTACGAGCTTCGATATTGTCACGGTGAGACTTCCACTTGGGATCCAGTAGCTCAATACGCATGTGCTCATCAAGTTCGTCAACAGGAATCTGCTGTCCACAAATCGTGCACGTTGTGAGGGCAGCTCCCTTCTTGGCACCAACTGCAATATTCAATGGTAAGTTGACTATCAGAAGGAACAATGCTGACAACGTACGTTTTGGAACATAGTCTGTCCTGATCTTCATAGGTCCCGAAATGCTGGCACTGGCTTGCATTGCGCGGGCGCGCTCAAGTTCCCTCACTCTCTCCTCATCTTCACTCTTCCTCCTCAGTTGTGCTTCATCGTCCTCGTCATCACTCTGTTCCATTGCAGCGTCCTCATCTTCAACAGCCCCAATCCCAACACCGCTGACAGCTGCGGCCGCTTCGGCCTCTGCTGCAGCCTGTCTGGCCTTGTGAGCTTCTATTTCATCCGCAGTGTTTTCCATGATCATAGCAGCCATTCTCTTTTGAGCGAGTGTCATGCTCTCCACTTCTTGTACGCTCATTGGAGGAGGCAGCTCTGAATTTGCATCAGCAACCGTGAAATCGATCGTTTGAACGATTGCATAGTCATGCCAGTCGATCTCAGCAAATGCACCTAAAGCAAACAATCATAATTGGTTGTCAACACGAGGGAAAAGTAACGTACGTTTTTCTGCTTCCTGGTCATCTTGTCTCTTCTTGTCCTTCTCCCTTTTCAAGCGTTCCCAACGGGCGTGTTTTCTTGACTGCTCTAACGTTGCCCCCTTCGCGCCTTCCTGCGCCCTATTACTCAACTCCGCCAGCATCTCCTTACCTGGATACAAAATTTTGAGGTACTGTTCCACGAGGCGGTTGAAACAACCAAAGAGGGAATGAGTGGGTCGCAGGAAGTCGAACTGATAGTTCCTTCCCTCATTCTGTGAAAGTGTCGCCAAGAATGTCCGTCCGCGACGGGCGGTGAAAAGTGCAGTCAGCTTCATGATATCTCTAGCATAAATCATTAGCCGCATTCTTGCAGAACATAACGAGGCGACGCACAAGTCAATAGGGCTAACATTGGGCATGTCCATAGCAAACTGCGGCTGAGGTGGTTCGACGCCGAGATCTTCTGGAGTCATTGGCATTTCTTCTACCCCGTCCACCTTTTCCTTTTCTTGCGAAGTTTCATCCAGCTCCTCTCCGGCCTCTATCTTTTCCATGCGATGCCTATAGTAAGCATGATAAGGATCCGCGGGGTTGAGAAACGAGAACTTGGGATCCTGACGCTGGTTCTCGCGAATTTTATCCTCAAACTGAGGCGGGTTCGCAGAGCGAGCGACGAACAATGCTGTTCTGTCGATGACAGCTGCAAAAAAGCAAATCTCAGAATAACGAACACGATATAATGGAAGACCTTACATTTGATTTCTGGAGGTGGTAGGATGAGTCCACTGGTAAACCTGAGTGAAGGATCCCGAATGCCATTCTCCATTTCGACATCGCCATTAAAGGCATGTCCGTTCATGACAGGCATCATTTGTGTTTCTACCGCCATAGTTGTTGTCGACGTGAGCGACGTTAATGAAGCCTTGCCTTGAGCCGCCCGACGCCCGTCACTAAGTCTTATCGGAGTTCTAAACGGTGTTGTTCGGCAACTGTCGGCAAATACCTCTTAAGCGACTTCGACTAACTGGCTTGCACACGAAATGTTTGGTGCTTTCCGACCTACGTCGGTGAATCTAGGTGGCCTACTATGGTAAGCCGTGTAGCCCATTCAGCGGCGTTTGCTCATCATATCTGCTGTTCAGGAAGACGCCATGGAAGTTGTCAATCACGCGAAAAGCCAATGCACGTGCTCGTCTGAAGAAAGTCGACGCAGTCATTGAAACAGTCAGAGCAAGTGGCATACAATGCAGTGCATTGGTGAGCTAGTCGGGTTTCTCTCCTTGTATTTCATATGATTTAGATTTTTGTACTTTCAGGAAAAGGCACTGCAGCTGCCTAAAGAACATGAGATGGATCCCAAGGACAAATACACGGTGTTCAGTGCGACCTCACGAGGCTATCGAAAAGGCATTCACAAGGTGCCCAAGTGGACTAGAGTGAGTTCACACTTATCAATTGCATGTTCTGTATTGAAACGTTCACTTATTAGCTCACACTAAGAGTCAACCCGAAGGGATTTTGAGTGATGCCTCTTTACAATTATGCATATAGACTAGTGCGGTATTATACTTTTAATGAGATCGACTAGAAAAGCACCAGTTGGATTTTCCCCTCTTGAATGCCCTTGAGTACATTTGGCGCCCCTAGAACGGTTCGGAATACTTCGACCCGAGTCTCCGGGACATCTAACAAGCTTCTGTTCTTCGGGTCTCGATGTGAGAGATCCAGGATAATGTGTGTGAGCTGAGACACCGAGAGGGCGTCTGAGAAATATTGAGAAAGTGTTTATCACGATATTCCAAGATAGTATCTAGCTCACCGGTTTCACATAGCAGTTTGCCGATTCTTCCAGGAGTCCCAACAGCAGAACCAATTTTTGACCTCTTGAGATAAGAAACGTGCTCTTCCAGCTTAAAGTGTCTCGCAAACAACTTTGCTACATCTGCACCCTTCTCACGACGCAGTCTCTTATCTTTGAGAACTCTGGTCGCATCAGCGACCCGAAGTGCAGCTCCGGCTATGAATAGCAATGTGGGAGCTCCAGCCAATTTGGACCTTTGGGACAGACGGGCGTGTAGTGTCGGGAGAACTACAATACATCAATGTACATTTGCAGAATGTCAGATGAAAAGACATACCGTCGATAATGAATTCAACCAGATTGTCTAATGATCTCGATCCCGTCCATTTCGTCGTGTCCGCGATCGATGATTCTGTCTAGTTGTTAAATTGAGATCATTCTGTGAGGGCTAATATAGTTGAGCTTACCGGGTATCAAGACATCGCCAAGTTCTATCCCAGACATTGCAGGGAAAGCTTTGGCTTGCATAGATGAGACATAGTCTGCGAGTTTGTGAGCAGGTTGCGCTGCCACTGAAAGAGGCTTGATAACCTCGACTGTCTCTGCCAACTTCCTCTGCTGCGAAAGATAGTGATTGTGAGTGAAAGACCAATGATCCGATAGGTGACACAAACCTTGATCTTACGCTCCTTTTCTTTTTCTCTTCGCTTGCGTTTCTTTTCTGTCGTTGTTTTCTCCTTGATATGAACCTCCGCTTCCTCAGCATCTTCATCTGCACTGAGAAGACCACCTATATCGTCGCCTGGACCATTATCTTCCTCGCCAGAGGTAGCGACGAGCTCATCCGGCACGAAGTCATCGTCCAAGTCATCACCCCGCTGACCATTCATGCTGCTGTGAGACAAGTAGCGGTGAGAACAATGATGAAAACAAGCTTTAGAAATGGTCCTTTTTTTGCTTCCGCGATCCGTGATGCCTTGCCGGACGGTGCCGAAGTAGACCCTGTCTAATAACCTGCTCTTGGCCTACTTGTCAGGCCATTACATATACGTTGAACCACTTACGAATTACCAGTGTCAATTGCCTAGGACGCCCTGCCAATCTGATACCATGCAGCTAGCAAGCCCTGACCTCGACGGGCTATCTTCCTTTGTGACCTTTCTCCTATCCTTAACTATGCCTCCAACTGGAAAGTCCTTTTACTACTCTCTTCGTTTCTTATCTGGTCAGTTACAGTCTTTACGCGCCGCGCAAAACAGTCGAAAGAGTCTTCTTCGTTGCTTGTCGAGGGGTCTCCCTCCTACCAAACGCCTCTAAATGGTCCAGACATTCCTCCAGTATATCATCGTCCGTGTTCGCAAATATCTGACAGATCAACCTCAAAGTCGTCTTCGCAAGCTCCAAAAGATCTGATCATGAAAGTCGCTCAAAAACAGGATCATCGTGTGAAGCAACCCTACGATGCTTTTCTTGTTTTGGATGTCGAGGCTACTTGCGAAGAGGGGACCGGCTTTGAGTGGCCTAATGAAATCATAGTTCGTCTCATCTACTATTACATGGGTCCTTTTACACCCAGTTCCTGACCATGTTTTGCTAACATAGGAGTGGCCTGTCTGCCTCATGCGCTGGAAAGATAAATCAGACCAAGGCAAAGCTTGCCAGTTGGAAATCGTAGACGAATTTCGGAGCTTCGTCAAGCCGACATGGAGACCTCAACTATCGCAATTTTGCACGGATCTTACAGGAATCACGCAAGTTCGTCCGATGCTTCTGCTTCGATGCCGTATCATGATCAAGTCATGATTGGATTTTAGACCCAAGTCAACTCAGCGCCAACCTTCCAGAAGGTCCTGAAGATGTTTGCACGTTTTCTGGCTTATCATGGATTAATCGATCCAAAGAATGGGAGACCTATACAGCGCTTCTGCTGGTGCACCGACGGACCTTTTGACATAAGGGATTTTGTCGTGAAGCAATGTTTCATATCAAAAGTCAGTAGTTTAAGCAGATCTACGCAAGCCAACTTAAAAAATCGATCAATCTCATTATCTGGTTATCGATTGTCAGGCGCCTATGCCATTGTGGCTCAAAGGGGATGTTCTTGACGTCAGGAGAGTTGTCTCAGTTTGGGCAGCTGCGTCCGCCAATCCGGACACTACGACCAAGGTGCCTATTAATTTCCGTCGATGTGGACTCATTCATGACGCTCTTATCAGCCCTCGGCACGTTTTCATATTCGATCACTGAACATACCGCAGCAGTTGCAAGCCCTCGGGTTGCCAGAGTTTCAAGGCCGTTTGCACAGCGGTATTGACGTCAGTACCCGACTTCCTCACGCAACTCTGCCTTGCTGATATTCTTGTTTGTCCTCCCACCATCATTTCTTCCCACAGGACGCACGGAACATTGCATGCGTGATGACTGAGCTTGCTCGTCGTGCAGTCCGTTTGGAACCCAAGATATCCATCAATCCAAATCGTCGTTGGAATTGGATGGGAAAGCCTGGAGAGGTTCTCGAGTACACCCTAACGTTCCAACGATGAAATGTGATTGCTTTAGGAGTATTTGTTACCAATTAATAATTTCTAGCACAATGAGAGTAGTGATGTAAAGTTAAAAATACATCAATTTCTAAAAAAGTGTCCATTCCTCTGCGAGCGAACTCTAATAGTGCTGCTTCTGTTTAACCAAGCCGTCTGCGCCAGCAAGTACCACTCGCGGCCACAGTTGGATAAGACGGAACCTTGATATACCAGCTAACTTGGTTCCTGAAAATACATAATTGAGAGATTTCCCGGAGGTGTAGAAGAGCAGTGTATTGGATACACAAGGATGGGAAACAAGGTGTGGGTGGTTTGGCGTCCGACACATCCCACGCTCAATGCGAGATGGAAGATTTACTGACAAAGCGCATTCTCTTCAGCTCCACCAGCAACAAAATTCTGGCGAGTCACTCACAAAGTCCCAAAGAGTTCCGAATGCAGGAATCCCAAGTTCCTTGCAACCATGCTGGATCTCAAAATTGCCCACGTAGTTGGAAGTAATGAAGACAACTTCCGCCTGCCAGGAGTCGTATACCTCCTTCAAGATCTTCATGGTGGGTGGACGACCACCACGGATCTTGGAGTCCCAAAGAAGGAGACGCTCTGGACCGACATGCCTGTGAATGAGACCACTAATGGTTGGGCCGAATGTCTTCTCTTGATCGGAGCCTAGTGGACACGTCAGTAATATGCAGATACCTGAGGTTCAAATTGTCGCACCGATCCAAATTAGGTACCAGTAGGGAGATTGAATGCAAGTAGAAAGGGCAGCGCCAAGACCAGTTCCAGTGCAGATACGGATTCCACGCTTGTAAAGGGTCGACGTATTGGAGACACCAGCGAACTGGAAAAAAAATTGGTAATCTGATCGGAAGAAATTTGGGTTTGGTCGTTTTACCTTCAGCTCACGAGTCCAAATCCTTCTCGGCGGGTCATTGACAAGGCTCTTAGTGAAATCACCTTGCACACCGCAAATCAGGTAGTGATATTTTGCATGGGTACCCTCGCTGCAAAGAGTTAGTAGGATCGCATAGTAACGACACTGAAGACTCACGAGATGATACCGAAAGCGTGATATTCCTTGACAGCTGAACGACTGATACGAGCAAGCAGACCCTGTTGCATACCGCGCTCGAAGCGGAGAACAGCGACTTTCGGAGAGGGCAGTTCAATGTCGACCTTAGCGTGTCTCGTGCAGATCCAAGGTAGGACAATGCTAAAAACGCTGTGAGCAACGCAATTGAGAAGGCAAGTAAAGCATTACTTACAAGACGGACATTCCGACTGTGTACCAAAAGGCTTGCTGTTGGACGACGTATCGACCAACGTGGTCGAACTTTCCGTCCGCAGAATCATAGGCATTGGTCACGATAGTGTATACCCCTTCAAACAATTAGCAGTCGTAAGCTTTGCAACGTTAGAGAACCTACAGGTCATGCACAGGGAAGTCCATCCGAAGAAACGATGATTCCGCTCGAATACACTAGGCGCAGATGTCAAAATGCTGTGATGAATGACCGAAAAGAAGACTTACTTGTGGTGGGTGTTACGGACCCACGGAAGACCAGCACAGATTGTGATGAACAACATAATTGTGGTAATCACACCAAACGCAAGTATAGAGTCGTTGAAGAGATACTTCGTCTTGAATTGATGCACGACCATAAGGACTATCCAAGCTACACCGGAGATTGCACATCCGCTATGGATACCACCAAGATGCTGTAAAGAAATGTCAGCTCCCTGAAATCGCCATTGGAGTTCAAACTGACCTGCAAAGTAGAGGTACACGCAAGGCGGAACCACAGAGGAGTCCACTATAGCAGAAGATACATTAACATCAATTAAAAATGTTAAAAATATATGGTACGAACCTTGGCAAAGAAGGTGTTGACGAACAAATACAAGCAACGCCCGAATATCTCGTTTCGTACAAGAACCGCAACGTTCAAATTGCCGACGACCAAAGCACCAGGATATTTTGCGGCGTATGGCCATTTTCCAGCAATCGCAAAGCCAAGTCCAATGAAGTTGACTATGAAAATGACGGTGAAAAACCGCCTTAATAGATCAGAGTGGTGAGCATTCAACCACATGTGTTGTCAGATAATAACCATACCTATACGAGTTATACCAGATCACCCAGAGGACCCACATAGGTGTACTCTTCTTTGCTGGCTTGGCAGGGGCTGGCGGCGGCTTCGCGACGTTTGAGGGAGTAACAGGCGCATCTTTCTTAAGAGACTGCACGGCAAACACCTCTATGTCTGATGCCTTCTTCTCGTCCTTGGCGAGGTCGGCGATCTGAGGAGAGCGGACATCCAGTGTCCCTTTCTCTGCATCATTGTAAGCCAAAGCAGGTTTAGTAGCCATCGTGTGCTCCGAAGTCGCGAAGAAAGACTACCCGCTGGGCGTAGAGAAAATAGGAAGCGCGAAGCATTAGACATTCAGTTTGAATCCTTTTATCGTCTCGAGACTGCGGGTCCTTTCCAAGATTTTTCCAAGAAGGAAACTTGTGAGAAAGACAATCGAGCCTGTGGATCTCGGAATTAGTCTGTTGCCACATTATTAAAAAAATAAGAATAATGCGACACAGGATGTTCACAGCAAAGACTCCGGCTCCTGGGGACCATTTGGTACTGAGAGATATGGAGAACGTGAAACACAATCACAGCATGATGATCAAAGCCGGATGGAGACTGGTAATGGCAACTCAACTGAATATCTTCTTAGGGTTCCTAGGAGCGCATTGTTTAAAGTGATGCGACTCTCACTGAGTACTGGATCTCGGAGGGCGTCACACGTCGGGTCATTCGTTCGATAACCATGTGCGCGACTCCGACAGGGTTTGGAATTTTCCGCTGTGCAGGAGCAGTTCGCGGGATAGTGACTGAAATAGTTATCCCAACTAACAGAAAATTATTGAGACTTACACATATGCTATTGCTGAAGCGCCGATAGGCCTACGTGCAAGATCACGCCGAAACGTGTGTTCAAGCAGCAAGGTATTCCTGGGAAGATGAAAGCTTGATTTGGCCGAAGCCCCGAAAATGAGAACACACTCCTGTGCTGCTTGAGAACTTGCCTGTCACCGGGAGCAAAATATGTAGATAGCACAGATCTACCAAATAAAATATACATGGGTTCGCAACCTGCGTGGTGATCATGTTCAATGATCTCAGTACAAGTTTAGAGCTATGTGCGAACACCGACATGAAATTCCCAGAAGCCCGTGTGGCCAAAAAGGAAATACTCATTCTTGCCAACTGACTTTCGAGCAAAAATGACAATATATTATATAAATTAGCACAAAAAGTTCATGTCATTAATCTTATCTACTGGGCGAGTTACGCGTGCGTGTTATCAGATAATTATCAGACAACAGTCCTTCAGAAGGCACCCTGTATTTGCCAATACAATATATAGTCAGATTAAGATCGGATCAATCACTTCAACACGGTGCAATATCCAGGAAAATCAAATCTAAATTTGATCTTCGGAATACTCCTAGATCTTACCTACTCAACAGGACGCTTCGAATGAGGAAGAACTCAAGTGATGTGCCTCACCGATTGCTCACCGAACCTCCCAACAAAGTGTCCGAGCTAGTCGGATCAGGGCATGCGGAAGCGAGCGAATAACACAACTTCTTGCATGCACTTGGACTCGGTCAGCATCATTTCGCCTACGGAACAGCGTAACATATAATCAGAATATGCATAACAAATACTGCGGCCACCTGACAGGGTACCGATCAGTTCCCCTCCTCAACAAAATCTCTGAGGCGCCGCAATTGCGCAGAAACTTCTTCTTTAAAGAGACCGATCTCATTGCTGTTCTTGGCAATAGCTCTGATAGTCTCGTCTTTCAATCGTGAGACCTTCGCTATTTGCTCTCGATAGCTGGCAGACGATAATGAAAAAATCTGATTAGCTGAAGGCAAGAAAAGGGACTTACTCGAATTGTAATGCTTGGAGTCTTGATTTTACTCCCATACCGCTCGATAAAGCAGCCGTGCGCGCATGGGCAAGTTCTCTCTCCAATCGGGCAGCCTCGGCATTGCTGACCATAGACTCTTGTTGAGCAGCCTATAACGGCAAAGTGTATCAATGAGAACTATAACACAGTAGTGAGAAGATACGACTCACATCTCGAAGGTCATCTGCCTGCTCGTTCAGGCTCATCACCTTCTTCTCAATTTCTCGCACCTCCTCATCGACATTCTCGCATTCTAAAGTCAGCTTATCAAGCTCGTTATCCACCTTGATGCGCTCGCTTTCAATATCTGCTCGTTCTGTTCTCTTGATCTCGGCCACACTGCTTAGTGTGGGTTTTATGATCTTGCGAATGTCGGAGCCCAGCAATAGCTGTTGAGGATTCGCAGTGGCCGTATTTAGCTCCAACCTGAGGTCGATGTTGTCGAACGGTGGCGGGAGTGGGGGAAACAAGCCCACAGCAGACAGGAGATTACCATAGAGATCCAGTGCCTCTTCTGCCGCAGCCCCACGGTTGGTTGTTATGACTTCCAGAGACATGACTGTCTTGCGCACTTCAGAAATCTTGTATTTGAGGTCCTCCAGATTGCGTGCGAGCGTTTCATGGTCAGTGTTCATGCGAATGACTTCTTCTGGTGTCAAGTTCTGAACTTTGACCACCTCGGTTAGTTTTTCATGCTCGGCTTTGAGTTGATCGAAATTCTGAGCTGAAAGTCAGGGTTCATGATGATTCGCCCGCTACGAGCTTGCATGACGCACATCGAGCAGCGAGTTCTGCTTTCTCGCGAACTACAGATTCAGTGAGCTGTCTTTTTCGTGACTCTAAGCGGTGCAAAACGTCGTCAAATTTGGCTCGATCATCCAAGATACAAGCCCGGATTTTCTGGAGTTTTTCCAGAGGTGCCTAACGGGTCAATGTTTAGCAGACGACATTAGCCGAAGCAATCATACATGCGGCCTACCTTTGATGTTCGAAGTTCGTCCAATTCCTTCATTCCTTGTGCTAGTAGTACTTTCTTATCCTCTAAGTCGCCGACCACCCTCTCGTTCTTTTTCGCTTCAATTCTATCGTCAGAGGGAACTGCTTTTAAGAATACAGAAGACGTACCATAACTAGTTTCCAGTGCTTTGTCCTGTTCGTGGAATACGTCTGCGCCATGAAAAAAGGCAACATAGGCTTCTGAAAAGTATTCGAATGCAAGTGCCTGATGATGAATAGGGTCGCTGAACTCTTCGGGAATTCTATCGACAATTTGTAATGTGGGATCATCCTCGCTCTCCAAGTAGTTCAGCCGAGCCTGGACCAATTTATTAATGCAAGGTTGTCTATGGTTTAAGTGTGAATAACCTTTCCCATCTCGACGAGCCAATGCAAAGCTGCCAGCAGAGTAGGCCATGAATGCATACTGCCCGGAGCAGCCAGCCATTTGTTGTCAATTTGTGCAGCAAACGGGTATCGCAGGGCTTTGAGAGCGGGTTGAAATTCATCCTCGAAGCGAAGGCGAGAATCAAACGGGTATCCAGGATCCACGATAGTCACAAGATGTTGGAACATGGCTCGAAAATCTTTGCCGGTGATGTTCGATAGCGTTTGCATAGAGATGTCGAATTCTGTCGCTTGCAGCCAAGAGTATATCTCTTGTTTCATTTTCGATTGGTATGAGCGCTCGCGAATTGGTCGTGGGTCCTTGAATGTTTGACTGCCGGAAGGAGGGGCAAGAGACGCACCACCTGTCCATACCGAACCCCTCCTGGAGGAGCTGAGAGTAGGGTACAGTTCGAAAGGAACGTTGGCGAGATTGGAGAAGACACTTACTTAGTTAAAGGGGTACGCCCATAATTTGGTTTACTCGTACTTTGTAGCAGTGGATTCACATTCTGCGACCGATAAGCAGAATGTCCTGTATTTGAGCTAGAACCTCCCGGGGGTAAATAGGGTGTGCGGGCTGCTGGGCCAGCGAGCGACATGCGCATAGCAGACGACGATGCTTTCTTTGCTGTTGATGGCATTGGTAGGCCTGACCGAGTGTTGCCATATATATCAGTGGCAGGTTGCATGGTCGAGCGGCGGAGCAGTTCTGACATGTCGCCGACGAGTAATAGGAAGTTGATGTGCTGGACGCGTCGTGCGTCGCGATCAGCAGTAAAACAAGTGTTTGTGTCATATGCACGTGACCGCGCCACTAGACCCCTTTTTAAAATATTGTTATTACTTTTGATCTTATCTATATACTACCTGCAATTGCTATCTACTGCGTCCTCGATCCAGGAGCTGCGTAACATGTCCAACCGCCATACTCCAGTGACTCTCTTTGGAGATAATGGAATGAGGGCCAATCTACCTTTAAACTTGATCAATGTCGCGTATGGCTCACTCTTGCTAAATGCTTTGTCTCACTGACTGACCAAATTAATCTTAGAGACACGCAGGAAATTCCAAATTCTCAGGAAATATTCGTGTACCGTGACTCTGGTGCAAGCATTATCATCGACATCCTCCAAAAAGTCGATATCGAAGATCCGGAAGCGGCAGCAAAGTTAGTGTCCTTCCGTTGCGGCTGCACGTGTGCTTCAAGAAGCTCTGATGCAGGATATCACAGATTCCACCTCGATGCAATAGCAGAAGACAATGATTCAAGGGAATATAATTCCAGCATCGTTCAAAGACCCATCACCAACGAACTTCGTCCAATTGTGCTCGACGGACGCCAGGTTCTAAAGAAGGCGGGGTCAATTCACCACCTTCGCACTCTATTTGCTCTTTTCCGTGTCAAAGGAAAGAACCACGATGTCGTCGTCTCTTTCAACATTCCAACTGAAACGGGACAAGGACGTGGAAGAAATGGAGCCGTTACGACGGAACAGGAACAGCTCATCGCATTAGATTTCTACGGGGCAGTGGATTCTCTGAGAATTGTCGATTACGACCTTTTTGCAGTCTAGACTTCCTACATAACGGGCTCTACAGTTCAACACAACTTTATCGGACCCGATCTTCAGATCTTAACGTCGATATCTTGGGGTCAATCTCTCATGAGTGTTATGAACGTTGTTTTCAGACACTCGATCTCTATCTCATACATATCAGCGCTTTGATTGCATCCTTTATCATCAACTTATCGCACTCCTAATGGAGCACCTCGTGGAAAGATGTACATAGGATCAGGGGTGCTTCCTCGTTTCCGCTCCATACCGTGAAATGGGGGCCGCCTTCCGCATGGATGTAGTCGCCAAACGTCGATCTCACTTTCAGGGTTTCTAATAGGTCAGATGGGAACCAATGAGAACTAAGACTTCTTCCCATTTTGACAATGCGGTCCCAGTGGGAACGACAACATGTATCCGGGCATATCATGGTGTATCATGCTTCCACCAGGACAGTACGTCATGTACAGGGGAGAGACTCATCGAGACACAACGGGAATGGTTCGGGAATAGGAAACGGAAATTATATGGTATATCAGATCAACGATAGCATCAACGATCACATCCGCGAGACACGTGCGAATACCAACTACGTCGGCGGGCGTGCTGAACCCTCATCCAACATTTGCTCAGCCTCAGGCTCCTCCACGATCAGTTCATCCACAGCCCTCTTCGCTGCCTCAGCAGCTTTGGCATCTTTTTTGCGCTTTGATGATTCCTTAAGCTTTTCCCATCTCTCACGAAAGCGTGCGATTGTCAGTTTCTGCGAGGGAAGTCAGTGGCAGACAAAGGCGTCACACGTGTATTCGCAATGCACCTGTTTGTCATTCTCCACGCGAACAATTCGAACGTCATCTTCCAACTCCCTTATGCGACTAAGTAGTTGTGCCTCCCGATCACGGCCAACGTTCAATGCTGTCACTGGTGCTGGAACAGCTGGTAAATTGATATTCAGAGCACTGAGGTCTACTACCGGTTGTTGCCCGGATTGCCTTGTTATTACCGTCGAGGCACCCATTGCTCGCTGTGCCTAATAGAGAGAGTATTGGTAACGAGTCAGTCTGATGGAGAGATCGGCGAAGGAGCGCAAGATCACCTGGTGTCGCGCCATCACAATGCTTTCGCGTAATTGTTGGTCTTGTTCCTTGCGCAGCTGCATGATCCGCTCAGCGGCTGCCAACCGTTTTGACATCGCCTCAAGCTCTTGCTTCAGAGATCCATTTTCTTTCTTCAAGTCCGACCGAGATGGTTCCGAGTCCGATGGAATCATGTAAAAGGATTCTGATAGCTCGTTACCTTGGAAAACTCGTTTTGTAACGCCAAGTCCATTGACAATGTCCCGACATACCTTCATCCGCAAATACTTCCTCATCCGTTTCCTCAAGCAAGGTATCCACTTCTGAAGGAGCAAGTCAAAAAGGAGTTATTGGTAATGCAGTTCGGCAATCACTTACTGGACTTAAATTTACCATCTAATCCCAGCCGTGTAAAAAAGGTAGAAGTGTGGGGCTGTTCGATATCGGCGTCACTACTTGAGCTCCCGTCCCGCCGCGAGCTTTTCTTTCCCGACGGGGGCGGTTCGGTACCCAAAGGGGCTGTGGCGAAAGCAACTGGCTGAGATAAATTGTCAAGCATCCCCTCCATGATTCTCCAAAAGTTATTGAAGGCATCACCCGGATCAGACTATTGGTGCAAAATTGTAAAAAGTCACTGGGTAGAATATATATAATCACACCTGTTGCCCAAGCACCATGAATGATTCGTCGACGTTATTGTGGGAGTCTAATAATCGACTCGAACTACTAGCACTAGCATGCAGTGGGACGGAGGGTGCAGGAGCGGGCGCGTGAGGGAAGACATTTGAGCCGCCTCCATTCTTGTGCGTATGAACCTGTGCATGCCTCGGCATAGTCTTTTGCGGCAGGGTAGGGTCCTGATTTTCTTCACGAAGTTTCGCAATTCTCCTCTGTAGCTCCTTTCCGGCTTTTACATGTTCATTGTATAGCATACGGAGCGTCGTCTTTGTCTGAGAGGCATTGCAGGTCACTAGGGGCACTAGATATGAGACAAGGACTCATACGTACGTTTGCGTCCTGTGACTTCTCTTCGCAAGCGTGAAATGCTTCTGCGGCTTTCATGTGTTCTTCTGAAGCTGGGATGAGCAACCCTTGGCTGCGGTAATCCTCTGCATTTGCTGCATGTTGGTGCGCCTGTACTAAGTATCAGTACCGGAATGGCATCACATCCACACAACCATCTACCGTTTGTAATGATTCCATCTTTTTGTTCACTTGTTCACTCGTTGGATTAGGAGAGGTGTGAAGAGGACTAACTACGAAGACCTCGTAGGGTGCAGAATTTTTCTTTATTGACGCGGAACTAGATTGGCTGAAGTGACCTAATGAAGAGGTCTTTTTAGGCGAGGCATCATGCTTGATCAGCCTCGCCTGCCACCTTTTGTTTACTTCACTCGTCTAACTCGCGACTAACTCTTGTAAATGTAAGTATTATGATGGCAACGTCGTAGACTGATGAGGTTCCCCCTTTTCGAAGTTCGGGCATCGGCATCGGCATCGTCTAACTTACAACTAACTCTTGTAAATGTAAGTACTAATATATGATGGCAACGTCGTAGACTGATGAAGCTCTCCCTTTTTGAAGTTCGGGCGTCGGCATAACAAAGTCTGTTACGCGACCCTTTGGAGACGGAGTTCCTCTTCAAATATAATCATCAATTGTAATGGCTGCCGCCGTGATGATTGCAGCGTCTCACCACCACTCTCACAGCTTATCGGGCAGTAACTCATTTCGTGGGATCTGCAGCGACTTAAAAACAGCCAGAGATGAAATTCTTGTGGTGCTATGCAGCATCTGTGAATAGTCCACGCTGTAACGTGGAACGGGCCAAAGCTGGTTCTTGGCATCCAGTTCGCCGCTTCCTCGACGTACTTTGGATCACTCATCTTGCCAGAACCTGTCAAGGAGTCCCGTTCATACCATGAAGTTCTCGAATGGAGGGGTTCAACATTACATTGCCTTGTTATAAATTCATTCACTGCATGGTTCAGGGTACCCGGCCGGCATCCGGATCGGTGCTCTACGTTCACATGCCGCTTTCGTGCAGACAATACGCTCAGATAGCCCGGACGAATCTTTCACCACCAGAATTTTCGTCACGCGTCCCTGTTGGCAGCGAATTTCAGAGCATTGCAGCAGACTCACGCAGATCGTATTTTCACTGGGAGCGTTGTACAATTCTGGCAGTTTGTTCCTTCCGATGAGTTGATCGGAAGAAGTAACCTTCTCTCGATTAATTTTAGATTGCACTTCTATAATCTATGGGTGAGAGTATGTTCAATAAGCATATGGTGCGTTCGACCGCCGAAGTTTAGAACTAATAAGAGGCAGTGTCCTGAGTATGGTCAACTGTTAAGCGGACATGCATGATAATTATCGGTGATCAATTTTGAATTGCAATTTGGACCATCTGCGAGGATCTGCGCCGTCATGTTTGAAATGAGCGACGGCAACGTGCGTATGGCCAAGGTGCACGGCTAGTCTGTATTTCCCCTAATCCATCACCTTTATCATCTTCTATCATTTATCATGGCTTTGCATAGCTCTTCTTTTCAGGAGAACAGACCTGCGGGCGTTCCTGAGGCTGCGGTGCGCCGTCCCCGATACACTGGTGTCCATGATTCTGACGTGTACCGATTGACTAGCCTCGCTTAAGTGGAATCACAAAGCAAAACTTAAGCGACCAACCCGTGCACGAGTATGACGAATACAAAGTAAGCATTCGACATATTCATGTCATAGATTCTAGATAATCTTTGTGCCTGAACAGGCTCGCCAAGGAAGCCGAAGTAGTAAGTTGTTCCTGCTCAGAAGTCATTCCATTCTCACTGCTCAGAGCCAAGCATATCTCTGGAGTCATCTGTTGATGGTGCGGCACTCTCCAGAACTGTAGGTGGCAAATACATATTCTCGGACGTACTATGAGTACGACCATCTAATACATTTCAATAGAATGAATATGCATCCCTGCCATCACGGAGGCCTAAGAGCTCTTCAGCCGACGCATTCATGTACATGTCCGATAACCCGTTCGCCGACGCTGCGCCTTCGGGGAACACCCCTAGTTTCGCTACGCGAGAAGATCCGATGCACGATATCATGAGATACTCGCATATTGTCACTGCAGAACATAAGCCCAGAGTCGCCTGTGTGTCAGGTATCAACGGAGCATGGCCAGAGAGAGCTGAGATAGTAAACCCAAGTCGAGGTTTTCCCGGGCCTACCATTCCTCGTGGTACATTTTCACAGGCAAAGGCTTTCTTTCTGAAGTTGAGTGCCAGCGGGGGTTATTTACAAGTGAGCATCCTGATATGGCTGCAGGCTCAGCTGACTTGAAAGCAGGGTGCTATCTCACAGCGAACGCGAAGTCAAGATAACCCTATCAAAGACAAGGACTCAATAGATCATCAGGTTAAAGTTGACGTACCTCGTGCTCGAAGTGTGAACGCAGGGATTATGTGCGACCCAAGCAGTTGGTAACTCCTGTACATATTGCATGGCTTGAACCTTCGAGCTTCAGCAGAAATCAGCAGACTACTGCCCTTCTCTCGAGCTCGTGCTTGTTACTGTAATTGAGAATTTCCACCTGGAAATAGTGGGCAAAAACGATATCTTTTTACGGACTTTGAAAGATACCATCCCAAAAGTCGTCAAGTAACGCTTTTGTCACAGCTGCCATTTCCAAGTCTGTTCGGCTAAGATGTCAGCACTTAAGTTAGAGCCAAAAATTATGATTGCGATTGACTGGTATGGCATGGAATATACTAGTACGGAGTATGGCTGTAATTATAATGGTACAGTGCAGGATGTGCTACATGAGAATGGGATTATGTGCTCCATGATGCAGCAAATGAACTTGATGCTGGTGTGGTCTAGATGATTGCCGATATGGTGGTATGCTGCTGCAAAAGGATTAGTAGGATTACATAATGTTTAAGGTCTTGTAGAACTTTGTTCGTGATTTCCGAACCTGGATCCACTGCTCATATACATGTGTGGGGCGACTTACCTTTCGGGTGGCTATTTTGTCAAGCGATAAGTCGTCACAGCCAGTCGAAGTCGTGGTATTTGTTTAGAACTCTGCCACGGCAATGTTCGGCTGGCTGTCACCAGCATGACTTCAAAGAACTTTACCATTTCTTCATGAAAATCTGTCATTCAACCTCATGATGAACCGTACATGTTAGAAACATTGATTGAAGTTGTAAATTATGTGTGGAAGTCACCAGGTAGCTCAGGGATTGGACCGTAGTTGTTCCTACAGTACATATTGGAATAAAGACTGTCCTTCTTCTATATCCAGGTCTGACTAGAGGAGACTAACAAACTGGGAGACACTAGGCGAGGACTTGAGTTGTATATTAGTCAGCGAATAGTTAGTCACTGGTCTAAAATATACAAACTATCAATTCTAATCGCCATATAAGGGGTAGATTTAGCGTGTATAAGACAATATTTGTTTAGCGGCATCGCGGCTCTACTTCCTTAACTGGTTTTTTTAAATTCTATTTTACTATATTCCGCAGTATTTGAACCCAATTGATTTCTGTGAATACCAATGGCATGGTGACCTGAATACTATTTTGGCTAGTCGAAGCAGTGTGGTCAAGTTTAGTGCCGAGGGGGGTCGCTGAGTGGGCGATGCGGTCGGTATCTGAAAATCGTTGGTCCTCCCCACACCTTTCTGACGTCGTCAACGTCCGACATAGCGAGTTCACTCTTCATATCGCGGACCGCCGAAGAATAAAATTGCCTCAGGCTTTGATCCCTTATTGGGCCCGCCTTCTAGCTTGATGTCAACGCCTCCGCATGCCCTGTGAGTCAGATATTCAAAATCTTACCATCAACTGTCCATTCTCATTCTCATCGTAGCAGGAAGAAAATAAGGGTCACAGGTATGATTCTACAGTTATATTTTTCCAGGAGGACACTCATTTTGTATGTTTTGGGCAGTTGTCGCCGCAGATGGGCTGTCTAAGCGTGATGTATTCCGCCTACCGGACCCTTTTGCAGTCATTACCGTTGATGCAGAGCAGACTCACACAACCAGCGTCATAAAGAAGACCCTGAATCCTTACTGGAATGAGAGTTTTGACATGTAAGTTTGGTGTCGGTCGAGCGCAGTCAGTAAGTGCATGATTGATGTCCCATGTGCACAGCACCGTCAAAGACTCCTCGGTGGTAGCTGTCCAAATATTTGACCAGAGGAAGTTCAAGAGGCGTGACCAAGGGTTTTTGGGTGTGGTCAACGTGAAAGTTAGCGATGTGCTCGATCTTGAACTAGGTGGTCACGGTAAGCGCCCATCGTCAAATCACTCTTACGCGTGTTTTGATTCAAATCTTATCCAATTTGATAGAGATGCTGACGTTGGATCTAAAAAAGTCCAATGATAACCTCGTGGTTCATGGCAAGCTCATCATATACTTGTCAACAAATGTAAACCAGCCCATGAGCAACCCTGGACCCTCCCAAGTTCAAGGCGTTACCTCTGCATTGGCCGACATGGGAATGAATGAATCAAGTCTCTCTTTGTCACCCAACGCCGCCCCAGCAACAGGTAATACTCCATCTCGCCCACCCAGTTCACACGCCACTGCTACTGAGCCCGCCGCAGCACCGTTGATGCAGATGCCGACGCCCCACATACCACCTTCGGCGATTAGTGCTGAGGTGGAACAGTCGTCTTCACAGTCTCCATCGGGTCGTCCTATCAGCTCAGGCGGTGGGCACGCCACACTTGCTGTGCCCCCATCTACAGCACCTTCCTTGGCCACTTCTCCAGGCCAAGCGGCTACCAATGCACAGCAGAGGAATTTCAATCCCAATGTTGATCAGTATGGATCATTACCTCCTGGATGGGAGCGTCGCATCGATCCACTTGGTCGGACATATTATGTTGATCATAATACCCGGACAACAACTTGGAACCGACCATCGCCTAACCAAACTGTAAATCACAGCAACCAGGATAGCGAAACAAATGCTGCGAGAGATCAGCACTCCCGCCGCATACTCGCCGATGACATGGTCGATGCTGCTAGCACAGGTGCTGCGGGTGCCAACGCGTACCGCAGTTCCTCAACGTCGGCACCATCCCCACCGCCCAACGTTCCACCAGCAGTCGTGGGTTCAGGTGGAAGTACTACCACGGCTGGGACTGGGAGTCTCCCAGCTGGTTGGGAGGAGCGCTATACCCCCGAAGGACGACCCTATTATGTGGATCATAACACGCGCACCACCACCTGGGTCGATCCCCGTCGCCAGACCATCATCCGTGTTATGGGCCCTAATGGTCAGAACACATCATTGCAGCCTCAGACCATATCCCAGCTTGGTCCATTGCCCTCTGGTTGGGAGATGCGTCTCACATCCACTGCACGTGTTTATTTCGTGGACCACAATACGAAGACAACCACATGGGATGATCCCCGCATGCCATCCACGCTTGATGCCAACGTTCCACAGTACAAGCGTGACTTTAGGAGGAAACTCATTTACTTCCGAAGCCAGCCTGCTATGCGTGCACAGCCGGGTAACTGCCAGATCAAAGTGCGGCGGAACCATATCTTCGAGGATAGTTATGCAGAGATCATGAGACAGACGCCGAACGATTTGAAGAAACGACTCATGATTAAGTTTGATGGAGAGGATGGTCTTGATTACGGTGGTCTATCACGGTAAGCTGAACTGAATCTCAGAGTTTGTGCGTTTACTGAGTTCCTTCAGAGAGTTCTTCTTCCTTCTGTCACACGAGATGTTCAACCCATTCTACTGTCTATTCGAATACTCCGCCCACGATAACTACACGCTTCAAATTAATCCCGCTTCAGGCGTCAACCCAGAGCACTTGAACTACTTCAAGTTCATCGGTCGCTGTCTCGGTCTCGGAATATTTCACCGTCGTTTCCTTGATGCATACTTCATTGTCAGCTTCTACAAGATGATTTTGAAAAAGAAGGTGACACTGGCAGACCTTGAATCTGTCGATGCTGAGTTGCACCGTGGGTTAACTTGGATGTTGTAAGTGCTTTGTCATTTTTTGTCATGATTTCTCCCAACCCCCGTTCAGGGAGAACGATATTACGGACGTGATCGATGAGACCTTCACAACGACCGAGGAACGCTTCGGTGAACTGGTCAACATTGAACTTCGTCCAGGGGGGGCAGATGTCAATGTGACTCAGGATAATAAAAAGGAATACGTGGATGCCGTCGTCGAGTATCGGATCTCCAAGCGTGTCAAGGAACAGTTTGACTCGTTCATGTCGGGCTTCAGCGAGTTGATTCCACAGGACCTCATCACTGTCTTCGACGAGCGCGAACTAGAGCTCCTGATCGGCGGTATGTCGGAGATTGACGTGTGCGTTCTTTAATTGAAGTCGTGAGGCTGTTTGGCTGAATGTCATTTCAGAGATGACTGGACTAAGCACACCGACTACCGAGGATATGAGATGAATGATGAGGTCATTCAGTGGTTCTGGAAGTGCATTCGCAGCTGGCCGCCTGAGCGCAAGTCCCGCTTGCTTCAGTTTGCTACGGGGACATCTAGAATTCCTGTCAATGGTTTCAAGGACCTTCAGGGCTCGGATGGACCCCGCCGCTTTACCATAGAAAAGTCTGGTGACCCTTCACAACTACCGAAGAGTCACACCTGCTTCAACCGTATCGATCTTCCACCATACAAAGATTATGCTAGCTTGGAGCAGAAGCTCACGCTTGCTGTAGAGTGAGTCGTTTTCATAATTTGCATGTCAGCTCACGCTAAACTCTTTACCAGGGAAACTGTTGGATTTGGTCAGGAGTAATTTTATGTATGACAACTTTTTCGCTTCTATCCATACAATCAATGTCACGCTATATTTTTGTAATCCTAGTGGGACCTTATTCTTCGCTGTTCGTTAAAATCCGTTTCTATATGCCGCCTTTATGTCGTGTACAGAGCACTGCTTTCAATATCTTTACGCATGGGGTGTAGGGCCTTTTTTTGTCTGTATATCGTGGGGCAATTATCACCGGCGATCGTATTAATAAGTAAGTGGGTATGAGCTGGCAAACAGCGAAAGGTATTTATAAAATATCATAAAAGACAAACCATAGATCGTGAGACCATCACCTCTTCTCAAATGCAAATGCAATATATATGTCTAAAGGATAGAATGTGTTCTATTAGCACCGTTACAGATTATGCCGAAAAGTCAGAACTTACTGACTGCCTCCCACTCTTCATCCTCCATGGAGCTGGCGCCGGTCGCGTCGCATACATTCATGCGGACCATCAACTGCTTGAACTCCCCGTGCTCCTTATTTTCTTCGAACACTTCATGGAACTCCTTCTTGAATACAGGGTAAAGTCTGTACTGCGCGGCCATCCTATGCAAAGTTATATTAGTACCACTCTAGCATTGGGGGGGATGTCAGGATGACACAAAGACCCACTGGACAAAATTGTCCCATTCGACAATGTACTCTGGCACGTTTTCAACAGCATCACGGAGATAAAAGTAGTATCGGTGGCCAAACAGCGGTCGAGAGGTGCGTTCTTCAAACCGGATCTTGTACACCGAATTTCCAAAAGAGAGATCTTCAGAGTCAGGTGGTAGTTGATCCAGTCGCGCGCTATCGACACGGTGGGTCAGCAACACGGACGTGAGAAGTATGGTGGATTTAAGTGGACATACAGGAGCTGGTCGGCGTTTGGAATCGTCCCGAGAAATATCCCCCCTGGTCTTAACCATTCGCTGACATTCTTGAGCATGCATCGAGCTTTTTGCGCTGTTTCAAACGCATAATGCATGCAGAATTGCATGGATACAACGTCGAATGGCTGTGCAAGCTGCTGAGGCGAAAATACCTTTGTAAGCGGTTCTGTATAGCAATCCAACGCAGCGAACGTGGCGTCAAAACGTCGTGGATGCATAGTTTCCCACCGATGTCGAGCTTGCTCGACAGACACGTTTGCGATGTCTATCGAACGCGGATCAGATCGGGCTGTGCTAACTAATGCAGAGAATCTTACCAACAGCCAGCATCTCTCGAATTCGAGCCTTCCCCCATTTGATGAGGTCGCCACCTTTGCCGCAGCCCATATCGAGGACTTTTCCATGTTTTTTGGCTGGGCCAGCAGCAGCCAGGGCTGGATGACCGAATTGCGTAATCAGGACCGATTTTACCCAGTTGTTGAAATTCTTGAGTCCGATGATAGGAGACTCCTTGCGCTGTTTTACGCCCACCTCTGGACGCAAATTATCTGGGAAAACGGTGTTAATGGTAGGTTGAGCGGGGGGGAAACGCTTACAGTGATCGATGACCATTTCGACGTCGCCAGCGTGTCTCTTCGCTGGACGTTCTTGATAGTCGTCGGGTTCTCTACTTTGGACTCTTTTGCGTTTGTTTATGAGACGTTGGGTACCGACACCGCGGTAATTTTTGTAGAGCTCTATTTCATCCTGCGTCATGGGAGCGAGAACGGAGCCTGCGGGAGTCAAACGTTGTCGTGGGTTGTAGGGCAGAGTCCGGCGCATCGTTGTCGTAGGGGAGGACGTTGTTTTGGATGATGTTGGTGTCATTGGGGAACGAGTCAAGGGGGACGTTGGAAGGATACGAGAGGAGGATGAAGGTACATCAGCAGGAAAGGGGGAAGATGAATTGAGTGAGAGTGAAGAACGTGAAGGATGCTGCCGTGAGAATGAGTGATCCTGTTCACGGGGAATGTCGATGGCCGTGGGCAATCTCCGTCCCAATGACGGTGCAGAGTTCAACTTCTCTGATTCAAAGTCATCAGAAAGTAATAGATGAGAGAGACTTGAAGGTCGTGCAGAGCTTGGAGTTCTTGGTTCGAGCGGTTCAGAGTTTAACAAAGAAGCTAGATCTGTTGCCCTACGTGTCAAGACGGGCTAGACGTCGCGTGCGATGATGAAGGACGTGATGATGATGGGGACGGTATTTCGAGTGGACCGTAATCGTGACTTGGAAGTGATTGTGGCTGAGTGACTGGTGAATTCATAACAGCATCTCGTACTGGATCAAACGCTGGCATGGCTAATTATCACCGAGTAGGCTATTAGCTAGCAAACGTTCGTCAACGTTGATGATGGCGAGCTCGGCGTCTTTGCAGTATACAACTTTTCACGAAGAGTCCATCGAGTTACGTAACTATCCTCCCCGCTCGCTGCAGTCTCACGCATCTTCCTCTACCGCGTTCTTGGCGGTGAACTTCTCAATGATCCCTTCTTCCATTCGCCGAGCCATTCCGCAATATCACTCGTGGACCGCTATATCACATTCATCAGTCAGTTTTCTCATATTTCCTCAAGTTCTCTCACCTCAATCCACGCCCTCGAAGCACGCAACGACTCTAGAGTCTGTGATAACGCAAGGTTATATCGGGATGTGTCCTTGTCCTGATCACCACATGCCATCAGCTCGTCCCTTGACGTTTGAAATTACCATTACCTTGAAAAAGTCTTCGATCTTCTGATAGTCCTCCTCCTTAGTCAAATTCCCAAAACTTGACTGATGCCCGCTAAGCCCTGTCTTCCACAACAAGACAGTAACCCGAAACGTACCGAGACAATATACTGGAAAGAAAAGTTCCCCTCGAATCGTTTGGCAAGCTATCAAATGATCATGTCAACGTGAGACTCTTCGGCGTCTCAACTGACAGCCTACCTCCGTGTAGTTGTCTTGGAAGAACTGTGCACAGCTGCGCCTGGTGCGGAAGTTCGTCTGGAAGCCGTTGATGAAATATATGATGTCTTGAGACCGCACTTTTGATAGAATGTACGTGAACGTGTCCTTGATACATGCTTCGTCCTGGCTGGCGCACATCGCCATTCTGACAAATGTATTAAAACGAATGCACTTTACAAACCAGATCTGACTTACGCGGCGGAAATACTCTTCGACGGAGACGTAGTCGGGTTTTCGTACAACGCCTTGGCGAACTCATACTCTTCACGACTTCCATGCTTCACAGCCTGCATATAACACTCAACATAAACACAACGTTACTCAACGTCTGACGCACAGTAAGGATCGTCGTCCTAAACAGATCACCAGGTATCCCCGAATCATCCTGCGTTCTCATATAGTCCGCAAACCGGGTCTTGAGCTCTTCCACGACACTGCAAATTCATCAAATTTTACCTAGATTAAATATTCAACAGATACGTACGCAGTGTCCCCAGCAACAGCCGCCTGACCGACAGCGCGGGTGCGCAGTTGCGAAATATCCACAGACTCGGAAGGAGAGTATTCATAGCCAAGGCGTTTGACGATGGGCGCAAACAATGCCTATAAGTCCAAATTGGGTAAGCACTCAAAACATATATTTGAAATGATCAATTCACCCTGCGGAAAGCATTGAGATCACCGACTGCGGCCTCATGCTCCCACCACGTTGACACTAGAGCAGCGATGTTCTGGGCAACACTGTCCCATACAAGGTCTAGAAGATATTGTATTCAATAAGTTTATCAAGCTCGTGCCCAATTGAAGTGTAGGACACTGACACTCCTGTTCGTCATGTAAAATATCGACGATAGTCAGCGCACTGCTGACTTTACAAAACCCAGCCTTGGATAATGCCATGATATCGTGCACAAGGCCAATGCGGTCATTCAGTGAGAACACAGCATCACCCTTGGCAGCTTCCTTGGCGATCGCCGTGAACCGCTCATCAGAGTACAACACGCGGACTATAATCATCCATGAATACAAACGCCACCAGTAACAGAACAGACTTACAAACACCATAAGTCCCCGCGTTGAGTTTGAACGGCTTCGAGGTGTCGATGGCGAGAGTCTTCTCCCTAGTGTCAAGAACGACAGACTTATCGATGTTGACTTTATCGTTAGTGACAGTCAGCAGGGCCAAAGGCACGGTCCAGATCGTCTCATTGTCCTTTTCTTCTGCAGGTCCAGACTCCAGGAAACGATCCTGGCGGACATGGATACCATCCTCGCTCTCAGTGACAGTGAGGATAGGGAAGCCGATCTGATATAAGACATGTTAGAGTGGAGTGAGTAGATTGAACTGTCATGCTTGCCTTTGAAATCCAATTATCCATTATTTTCGGCACATCTACCCCAGTAGACTCTGAGATGCCCTGCCACAGGTCCTTGGTGACAGTGCTTCCATATAGGTGCTTCTTGAGGTAGATCGAAACACCCTTCAGGAAGCGCTCCTGGCCAACGAAGTTGGACAGCATACGCAAAACTTGAAAGCGTCGCTCGTGAGATGGGGTAGTGACAGGACAAATTAAATGCCTTACCAGAGCCTGCTTTGGCATAGGAAAGGGAGTCGAAAATCTTATGATCACTTGTATGAGATGTCCATGTGATATGGTAATCTGGTCATACCTGGTTGATCTGGTTGGCGTCAGGACAATGCACTTCGATCGGATGAGAAGACAATTTAGCATCAAGATCCAGTGCATCGTTCAAATGCTCAGATATGAACGAACTGTCAACCTTCCATTCCGGGTACACACTAGTAAAAGGCGTTATGGCTATGTTGAGAGTGGAGTACATCGACTTACCGATCTAAAATATAGTGTCAATGGGTTCAGTGGGTGCGTATGGACACAAGACATACCAACAACAATGACTTCACCCATCTTGGAGCGGGTAATTTCAGTACAGAATCTGCAAGTTCATGTCTGCTAAGCTTACCAAGGTTGCAAAACCTAAGATGCATTTCAATACCACTATTGAAAGTCGTGGCATGAGACTAACCTTCATTCAAGTACAGATAGTCCCACCATTCCATGGTTGTGATATCACCAAACCTGAGTGGAAGTTTCTGCAACATATCCTTCGAACAATAGAGGTGGACCTACCACATGTGAGCGACTTCGTGAGACTGAGTGACAGTGACTCTTTTCTTTGCAAACATGTCTGCCTTCTTAGGGTCAAGCAGGAAGGCGCTAGTACGTCCAGTGATGAGGCCCTGCTAGAAGTGAGGTACTAAAATGCGCAGGAAGCAATGGCTCATACCCAGTTCTCCATAGCACCCGCGTCAAAATCATGGGCCTTCATACCACAGATCCTCGTCAATGTCATGAAGGGGATTCTACACTTGACACTTACCACTAGAGTATCCAACTTTGGGAGAGGATATTCGATGTCAAAAATTCCCTCGTAGATCGGGAGGACTTTTGCTTTGATGTCGAGGGCATACTGAGCCTGATGAATCACATCAGGAGTAGCTGTCCAAATCACATCAATTTGCACCCAAAATTCTGTGAGGACAGGTCCCTACAGTAGATGCGCAAGGGACGGGTCTTCCCACTCAGAGGACTCTTATAAGAGCTTTCCAGGTACGCGAAGCGTCCATTGGCAAATGCAACCAGATAAGTGGACATCTGTAGACTAAATTTTAGTCTAAAAGACCGCCTAGATGACGTCGACGTACGGGTGGTGTAGTCTGGAACTTGGAAATCTTCCATTGCGCTTCGGGGCTATCTTGAGTCGTCAACGCGGAAAAGAGCGCCTCCAATGAAGGATCCTCTACTTTAGTCGTTCGTTGTTCGTAAATTTCCTCGGATGTAATGGGCATATTGCTCAGATTGACCGTGTCAGCATGCGATATCATAGTGACCGCGAAGGTCGCCTTGAGAAGTGGTTCATCCCAACATGGGAAGGCACGTCTCGCGGCGATGGGCTAGCGACAATTCGTAAGTGCGGGCGCAACTAGTGGGATCGAATACATACTTCGAACTGGGTCAGTGTATAGTACTCCTTGGTTCCGTCATGCTCGAACGAGCTCTTGTAATAGCCCATCATGGCCCCGGTCAGGTCTCCAGAGAAGCCAATTGACAGTGTTGCCTTTGATCCGGCAGGTACAGGCGTCGAAAAGGAAAGTACACAACGTTCTGCCTTGTCATCAAGAGACGGAGAAAGATCGACCTGGTTTATCTTGAGTTCATTGGAATACAATGACGCATCGTTCAACTTCAGGTTGGCTGAGTTGAGGACGATGGTAGAGGTTTCCTTCTTGACATCCAGGCTGATAGAATTAGTCAATGATCTTTGAAGGACGGTGTGCGCGGACATACTCGATCTTTACCACACCCTCGAATATTGAGTTCCGTAGGTCAGTCTTGATAGTCACGTCATAATGCGTTGGCTTGACGTCTAGGGGAAGACGGAAATTATCCGAGTCGGTAGGCTTGTTCGTCAGGTCAGTGGTCATAATCAGGTTGGATGTTGTTGAACAATATCTTGTTGATAGAATTCGAGATGATAGCAGAAGCTGATTAATGTTGCGAGTGCTGAATAGGATCCGGGACACATGTGTGTTACTGTGAGACCGAATCCGGGGTAAGGCTGCACATGCGCGCAGGCTTCCCAAAATCGACGCCATCTATCGAAATCAGATGACCAGGTTCTTCGACACTGCAGGTGTGACTTCAAAGTTTGTAAATACGTACATAATCTCGGCAAGAGTGAAATTATAAAAAGTATGTCTCTATTTATGGCCGATTTGTAGTAGCTAAGCTGACTCTGGGTGGTATCTTGAATGAGCACAAATACAATGGTACTGCATGTGTAGTATACAATGTAGAGGTCAAATTTCTACCGTGTGTAGATTCGAGCCAGTGGTGAATGAAAGACAAAGTGTCGGGTGGTGCCGGTTCCTTCCGAGCACACACTGGCAGTTACTCGTTTGTGTATTGATCTTATCACTGACTTTTTCAGAACATCTAAGGGAGGTTGTTGTTAAAACTGAAGTCACGCCGTTTTGGACTTGGACGTTTGGTACTAGTAAGTGCACAAAACAAAAGGTTTGTAAGCATGCTTTGAATTCTCGCTTTTGACACTCACTCACAGTATCAAAGTAAACGGTACCGATTTTTCTCTCTTCGATCTCCTTCGTGGTAGAGTAGCAGTACGCCCATGGCCTGTCTCCCCTTTGCAAGCACTCATTATAAAATTGCTCATTCAACGCTAGAGTTCGCAGTGGTGAACAACAGTGTTTGCTCACATCGAGGACTAACTTACTGCTGAAAGGAATATCCTGATCTCCCTGTCCTGACCTTCGTTACACGACAGCTCCGTTTGTCTTGAGACTGTTGCTTTCACTAGAGTTCGCCACTCCCAAAATGTCGTCAGCCGGGGACCACTTATCTCAAATGAACTAGCGGCTGTCGAGTGCTGTTCTGCACTCTACGGACAAACATTGTCTCCATTTGTGACGGGTTTGTCGAGTTAATCCTTCTCTAAAATTTAGTTAGTTGCTCGTTCTATTCTTAGGAGAAATTAGCTCACCTCGATCTTTTTGATTTCTTGACATTTCCTTCTGTGTTTGGTCCAAAGTTCAGGATAGTATCTGGGGCGCTTGTCCAAACTGATCTCCTTCTCGCATCCGTGCACCTGACGGATATAGGGCGTACACTGCAGGTGTACTCGTCGTCTTTGAGCTCCCGTTTCCGCTGAGCCTCGCTTTTCAGCTTGCGACAGCCCACAATAATTTGATTATTGTGCTTGCTGTCATCGGCACCCATGTTTTCAATAGAGTTATGACTAGGTATGTTCTGTGTGTCATATGTTTCAGGAGGGGTAAGATGGGGCTGGCCCATGCTTGGCTGGACAGGTGTCCAAGTGCTCGTTGACAATGAGGACTGATCGTGGGCCGGCCGGCGTGAGTGTCATACTCAATAACAGCCTGACACCTGCCACACTGTATCATGTAGGCGCGGTTCACGGCCGTTTGGGTTATGTTACTATGTTGGGTGGCGACACGGTCCATGTCTGTCTAGTCGGCGGGTGAGGGACTGGGTCTTGATTTTTCGCTTTTTTACAGTCAGAGACAATGCCCTTTCAGATGTGGATGTTGCCGTTTTTTTGCAGTAGCGTGAACTTTGGGCCTGCCTCGGAGTTGCATTGTTCACCTCCGAATACACGTGGTTTTTTTATTCCAATATCTGCTCATTGGGGCAAAGTGTACCCTAGGTTGGACAGTACTAACCAGTTGAGGGCTGCATGGTCCTGCTATACCTCTGGACTCGCGCATTCCCTGGTGTTAGGGTATCTCCCGCTGGCCCGCCGCTCTCGCCAGCCATTTTATACGCACAGTCCATCGAAGATAAGTGACTGATCCCCGTAACGTGAAGTGTAAGTGTCTATGTCGTACGGTACAAATGGTCGTGACATGGCTAATACTCTTGTCACTCTTCTAGATATTTGATTTCAACACTTTCCGAGTTGTAGGGTACATCTCTACAAAATTCTCTCGTTATGAAAGTGAACCTTGCCTGACATGATTGTTCTAGAAACACAAAGTCAAGAAAGTCCATGTAGATCCACTCTAGCCGCCGTCAGAACACTCCTCAATTTCCCACATGTCTGGATCTTCGAGCCTACAATAGGGTGGGGACACTTGGTCGTGGTGGTTGCCTTTCTTGCAGGATTTTAGTTCTGCTATCGTCTTCTTCCCCAGTGTTATTTTATACACGATGCCAGATTCCGCACACCGAGTTCCCACGACTCGCGCTGAATTCAGGCATACAAGATGCAATAAGTTCAGTGACCATGCTTCTGTTTAAACGGCTTATTGATTCATGCAATTCAATCTAGGGTGGAAATTCGGTATGGTTGCAAAAGGCATCTCATCCCCAGAAGAATGACTTGTAGTCATACAAATCATGCTCAATCAGGTGGCCGAGTTGAATAATAAGCCTTTGCGCCAATCGATATTGTTGGATATCAATTACTTTGGACAAGCAATGCTACACTCGACAGCTTGCAAGCCACAGCGAACTCGATTACACTGATACTTCTGGCGAGTTTCTGGTTGATGATGAATGATGAAAATCATCCAATAGTTGTTTTCATTCGTCCAGATGGAGTGATCGGTTATAGAGCGAGCGGTGCAGAGGAATAATATAGCAGCCTCATTTTTAATGAGCGTAAGACTTTAGCGTATCAGCTCCACTCATTTCAAGCAAGTCGTCCTTGTTCGTATGTAGTCTGCGTCACGCCATCATTTTGACCCACACAAGCAAAACCACCACTTCGTGAACTTCAATTCGCAAACAACAGTAGTTGAGCAACAGAAGATTCCTTACTGACAAGGTACGGGTGGTTACAGTACACTTCATCGACCATCAAGATATACGGAATTAATGCTTTGAGAACCTGGAGTTTGGCGGAAGTAGTGATTTCGGAAACGTCTTGGAAGAAACACTGCGGTCGTGTTTCTGGAGGGCTGTCTTTAGATCATCTTGAAGTTGCTCGCTGGACTTGATCAAGTCTTCCCAGTGACGTGTCATAGTCGCTCGGTACTTTGAATAACTCTCCTCTAGAACTATGAACGAGTTGTATTGCGTTGCACTGGTTGGTCATAGCAGAATGAACTCTTGTCAGTAACCTATCTCTGGAATGATTCACTCACTATGCATCTGCTAACGCGTGTAAGTCTTCAGCTGCGTCATGTAGGAGCTCCTCTCTCTCAGCGCGGACTTCTTTTTTGACGCCTTTGAACTTGTTCGCAATGCTCTTCACTATAACCTAAGACAGAAGTCAGACGGTGAGCGCATTCAGTCACAAAATCAGGAGCTTCACAGTCTGGATGTCGCTCAGTACCTGTCAAAACAAATGAATAACACGGCAGAAACTCGAGCAGGGTTTCCTCACATCCACTATGTCCTGGATATCGTTACCCTCATCGGACTTGATGTTACGGTGACTGTTCTCCTTTGCTGACTTCTTTGCACGTTGTTCTTGGGGATTTTGGACTGGTGAAAAAAAGCACGTCAGATGTTCCAAAATGCCACATCCGTGTACTAACCAGGCATTTGCTTGACAGGCTGGGCACTCGTTTTCAGACTGAGAGGAGACAGCGAATATGGTAACCCAACATTTTCAAATCGAACTCGATTGGAGGGCGGCTTCCGCGCAGGATGAGATGATTCAAGCTCGTCATCGGAAACAAGTGAGATGACACGGTCCAAAGTTGGTCCCTTGGGTGGGCAGGTATTGGTTTCGGGGATACTGTTTCCAAACGCACCATGGTTGTTAGAATGAATGTTAGACTTCAAGCACATCATGGTGGGGATCTGGCCAGCATCATCGAAACTGGGCCGGGTCACCAGTGGTGATGCAAACGAAACTACCGATTGCCTCCGACGAACCGGAACGGAAAGTGAGGGCTTCACACCACGAGGTTCGGCCAAAGAACCGTCGGCATCGTTGGTTCTGACAGGAGTGAGAGGGATATTCGATGTTGCGAGCTGTTCTCGTGGTTCTTCGTTACGAGCGAAAATTTTGGGCAAGGGGGGAGGATTCTGGGACATGATGACATCCATGGCAACATCAGTGGAAGGCTTTGAAACTCTGATACATGTCCTATGCTCGTCTTGACGTCCAGTGGCGTATAAGGCAATTGGAACTGCAGCAGACGTCCCAAAGCTCTCTACGGGATGCGGGCCTTTATTCGGGAGCATTCCAGCATCCTCGGCTACGTCACGGTCCTTTGCTGAGTCGTAGCAATGTTTCACTGGAGTCGGATCTAGTGTGAGGTCGATACAAACAGGGGGTTTACGTGGGGTCAACTGTAACGGAGGGGGATCTGAGGAGGCAGGCTGCGAAAGACTTAGCAAACATAATCTCATAAAAATCGTCACATACAAGAATAGGATCCTCGCTCCCTTTTAATGATACTGAATAGTTAATAAAATCGCCGAAGACTGCTTCATCCACATTTTCTGATGCGACATCCTGAATGAGCTCCAGGGGATCCTTGTCTGGGGGACTGACCCCCAAAGGTTTCATTTCGTCGGTCAGGGCATGTTGTGCAATGAATACCGGGTCCTCCCAAGGTGCCCTTTTCGATTTGGAAGTATGAGCACACTCTGGAGTTGATGATTTCTTTTTGGTGATCTGAAACGATGTCAGTTTTTGACGAGTTAGTGATAACTTGGGTAGATTGATGTACCACTGCATCGGTGTTTCCGGTCTGAATCTTGGTCAAATTCTTCGGAACGATGGTGCTCGCGCCCGCCTGGTCCGTGTCCGTCTTGTATGTAATAAGGGGGGTGGGTGATCAGAGGAAGAAGCGACAAACCTTATTGACTTTCTTTCTTAATGCCGACTCTGGTTGAAGGGACACAGAGGGACCATTGGTCGCATCGTTGTGGACAGGTTCCACTTTCGTGATTCGATCAACTGGTTTTGGTGCAGCTACCATCCCAGTATCAGCTTCTGCGGGCTGGAGTTTCGGGTTGATGTCTTTGGGCGACTCTAACTCGGTAGGCTTCTCGTTCTTGCATCGCATAGCGCCCGCGCGGGTTTGTCTGCCAGAAATCGGGGCTAGAACCTTCTTCGGGGCCGGTTTTGAAACCCTGACTGCCTTGGCGCGCGTGTTAGTCTTTCCTTTCGAAGTTGCTCCAGGAACTTCGTCAAAGTCTACGTTCCCTGGCAAGGCAGGTGATAGTGCCTTCCCTTTCTTCCCGTACTTTCTGGGAGCCTTCGCGACAGTTGTCGATAATGTTGACGGTTCGAAAGGGTCGGATAATATACTTGCTGCACGTTTGATAGGTATGTCGCCACTAGTAGTGTTACGGGCCTTCTTCTTAGGTGGATTATCATCCTCCAGAACCTTGGGTGCTCTCGTGGGGGGATTCGCGTCATCCCATTTGCGTCGAGTGCCTGCCAGCTTCGCTGGTATATTGGCCAAATCTGCGGGTTTTGAAGGGGAAACGCGCCATACAGTTCCATTGCCTGCTGCCAGATTCTTTTTCACAGGCGAAGCAGGTATGATTCCGTGCGCAGTCAGTTGTGTGTCGGGTATAATCTTGCATGGTGGCACTTGATCATAAGCAGAACCATTCTTCGAGAAAGCGTCGTCGTCGAGATGTGTTTTGACAACATTATCGGTTGGTCCTCGATGACTGGCCTCTTTGCTGGACGGCGTACACGGCCTCTTGACTTCCTGGGGAATATTTTCTGGATGACCTGTCTCGATAGTGCTGGACGACCATAGGGTGGAAGGACGCCTGTCATCGACGCGGGGTATCTTGCCAAGTTCTGTCGTTGTTGTCTCTACGTTTATACCTGACTTGGCTGGTGAAACCGTTGCCCTCTGCGCGGTCTTGGGCGTGGCTCGTATCTCTTCCTCGTCGGAATCCACGATCAACCTCCGCTTGGCGGTGCGTTTTGTCGGAGGCGCTGGTTGAAGGCTGTTGCTTCTCGCGCTAAGACTGGGAGCTGGTTCGGCTTTGGCATTTTGTGCCGGATGGACTATGAGATGGATGTTGGCGACAGCTTTGGGAAGTTTATCGTCGGATATTTTGGAGAGCTTGTCATCGCTTTTGCCAAACGCTGAGACGTGTACTGCACTGGGGGGGTCGTTTTTTGGAGGAGACGGAGTAACCGGAAGAGGTGCAACTTTTTTCGCGGACTTGGATACAGGCCGAGGTCGGGGAACAATCTTTTTGGCGCATTTATCGCTGACGTGATCTTTGAACTCCTGAACCTCAGACTTGTCAGCTGGCGTTCGGGGTGACGCCTGCTGCGCCGGCGGGGATTTTTGTTCATTGTTGGCGGTGGTAGATCGTGCATCATCCGGGAAGTTGGTTTTGTACACTGTCGGCTCTAAGATTAATATTGATATGAACTGGAACCTGAAGACTTCACCATTTTCGACATGTTTAACTTTATCCTGTAACGTGCAGAATTATTAGTACGAGGGTTGAGAATAAAATTGGTGTAACAACCTCATATTGTGACCCTTGTGACGGTGGCGAGGAGTCGCCTGAGAGTCTAATGCTATGTGCGAGGCCAACACTTCTCCGCTTGTGAGCTTGCTTTTGGGGATTTTCACCTAAGAAACTGAGCTTGACCTGTTTGCAGCTGTGAGTGAAGTCCATCGATAACCTCCTTGCACTCACTACACCACGCCTCCGTAAAGCCTCCATGAGCCTGCTCAAATCCTCCCGTTGAATTTCGAACTTCAAGTAAAACTTCTGACCTGCCGGGATGTCCAACGGCACGTCTCCTATACTTGGTGGAGTTGTTAAATCGACATGAACAATGACTTTACTGTGTGGTGACGCCTGTGACACGTCAATTGTAACAGAGCGTATATGACCATAGGAAATCTTCAAGCTATCGCAGACATCGTCCTGACCACAATAGTCAGCGAGGCCCACGACAATATGGTAGATATATTCACCTGCCCAACAACGTTGGCAAGGAAAAATTCTCTATCCAGGTGCAAGCGGTCGAATGCAGTCGGTTGAGGATAACATTTGCCGCATACATCAAACTCGTCCAAGGCAAATGATTGAGGGCTGCCCCGGGGAGTGGATTAGTCTGATCTGCATTACCAAATCAAAATGCTCACAACGTGATATCGTTCCTGGCCAGAGCGTCCATGATCTTCATGACCGTATCCTCCCAGTGCGAGCTGCTGATGTATTGAAGGATATCGACTAGTTCTGGACTGCAGCCGAAATGCTTCTCGGAACCAAAAAGGTCGTTGATGAACTCTGTCCGTTTCGCCATCCCTTTCTCCGTTTGATTCGTTATCGGGATCAGCCATCCCACTATGTCCAGAAGGGCCTCGATTACAAGGTAGTCTGAGTGAGTGAGACAAACCTCCTACGACAGAGCTTCATGCAGACTTACCCTTAGACTGTGAGATTGCGATGCCGATTAGCGACCTAAGAACTAGTTTGAGATTATAATTGAATAAAAAAGAGGCAAATTTACCCTCCAAGAACAGCAGGATCCCGTAATCTCCGTTGATTGCCTGGATGTCCGCTAAGCGTTTCGTGTAATAGAGAATATGCCTATCAATAAAGTCGTCGTAAATTACATGAGAAATGAGCGCATATATGCTGCTGTCAAACTGCTATCAAGTGGTAAGTACTCACAGTCCTTTGTGTTCGTGGTAAAAGTGTCAAGGAGGCGTCCTGGTAAAAGAAGAGTGTGCATATAGTCGGATAAAATGCTGATGCAATGGTTTCCTTGGTCATATCTACCAAATTCGGGGCTTAGACAGATACTTAGAAGAAAGAACCTCCGAATCTAATCGTACCATCACTGTGTTTGTCAAGAAAATCCTATATTTGATCCAGATAAGTCTGGTCACAACACTGCAAGAAGAAAGGTCATACCAGGACACCTGATAAAAGCGCAACCGCAACCTCATTCCACCAGGTGCTTAGTTGTAAATTTTGAGCATTCAGAGCGTTTCTTAGTTTGTCATCGATTACTTTGCGAAGTACAGCAGAGGAAAGCTGGAGCGCAGGTCCAGGAACGGCAGCATACAAGGGAACTAGAGGTCGACGGAGGATAGAACGAAGTTTTGATATTGATTGTGAAGAAGGAGACGACGATTTCTGAGGTAAATTTAAGCTCCTGTTTTCGACATGAAGTCGATCACTCACCAAAAGAATAAGGTACGAAGTAAACTGGCCGACAACGTCGCCAACGCGCTTGTCGATTCCGCTTTGTTTGACGGCAGCTTTGAGCGCCTCTACAGACCTTTCAAGTTCTGTCATTCACGAAAAAGTAGTTTGGAGTGATATGAGCACAGGTGCGATCCTTGTTCTGCCGCTCTTGCACGGGTTCAAGGTGGGAGACACAGAGCTGCACTAAGCACTTCACGCGTCAAGATATTGATATCACGTGATGATGTTTTTCCATCATGTGATTGACGCGGAGTTCTAATTTGATAGTCGCGCAGACGTATTTCAAGCCAACTATCAACGAAAGTCCAAATTAGACCCCTTCTTGTGTGCCTTCTTGTGATACTTACTGTGCGCCCGCCATCCTCCTGCGCCACCTAAAAACTGGCATTCAACTGGAAAAATCAATGGAATCTATTAAGGAGGAAGTCGCACCACTGTTACTCCTGCCCAAATCATGGGAGGTACCTGTTGTCCCCGCCGCCCTCTGTATCAAGACACCATTGTTGAACATCAAACTCAAGCAATCCCGATATGAAGATATCTGGAGTGAGGACGTGCACGCTGCATTCATGGAAGGTAGGGAGCGCATACTACGCCGAAATTGACGTTCTTGTAGAATCGTAACTGAGAGTATATTCAAGCCATTGCCATCTACCCGCCAATGGGAAAGCGACGGCTCAGATATGTACGTATACTCAAAGAAGATCAAGATGAAACCGCGGAGTCGTCCCGCCTCGTCAAGTCGTTCGGTCGGTGTCAACTCATTCAGTCGTACATTCTAGAGAAGACCGGCAAGAATCGTACTCGGAAGCAAGTATCAAGTCATCTTCAAAGACTGAAGAAGAAGTACAAGAACGATATAACCAGTCTGTTTTCTCAGTGTCGGCATGCTTTCCTACTGAATTGCACTTCGCAGAACGTGCATTGTTCTTGGAGATCTCGCAGGTAACTCAAAGGTATTCTGACCGAGAAGAACCGGCGCCATCTTCCGAAGGAATCCAGACAGATACTTCCCCGCCTCTGTCTTCGTCCTCCAATCAGGCTTCACCCTTTGGTGGTATCGTCCGGGATGGGTTTGAAGGACAAAAACCGGCTGCCACTTCTGCCAACGGATCGGATTTCACATACTATCATACCGAGAACAGGCACCATTCATCGTTTAGTGAACAAGAGAAGGTATTCAGCACCTCGATGGTTTCTCAGGTCAGACCGATTTTGCCGATGGGGATTCCAACAGAAGAAGATACAGTCAGCACTGGTTCTGAATTATCCTTGTCTTTGAGACGACTCGGTAACAAGCTGGCCCTCCTCAACCTGCAATCGGAACGGCCCACCGCCGTTTACTCTTCCGAAGTCCATTGTTCCCCTGCATGTCAGGTTACGCACGTCGTCACTCACGATGGTTCCAGCCTCACGATGATGGACTTTCCCTGCAACCACCCATTGACTCCAGTGGACCAACTCCTTCACACTCCTTTGCAGCCTCCGCAGATCACGCGCCTCGAAAACCGACAGGTCGCTCCAGAGAACGTTGACAGACGCTGGAACTGGCCGCTCAATACCCATATATCTGGCTCGTCTCTGGACTCAGACTCGTATGCACCCCATGCGCACACTGTAGAATCTTTGCCGTCGATCTCATATAATCGTAACAAGCCTTCGTTCGATATGAATTTCATGGGCGATTTTCACCCGGAGCGCGAGGACCAGCACCACGCTCAAAGGCTGTCCTACTCTCATGCCTACAACACTTCCTCCTTGAATGCTCAGGACTTGTTTTCACAAGGATTTCTGCACGCTCAACTGACATACTCCCGATTTCCTCATGACCCGTGCGCACATGCGGAGGAAACACTTGCGACACCTCTCATCAAACCGATACCTCTATATCCCGCTGTGTATGCGCATTCAGAAGATCACACACCGGATCTGTCACCCGTCCTCGTTTTGTAACGCACCAGTAGTTTTTATTTGTTTTCTCTGTCACCTTTTTAAGATCACCCAGATATCATGGCATGACTCGTAAACATTACATCAGTACATTAATACCCGGCAAATTTTTATATCGCACTCTTGTTGTAGTACTGTATCGTCATTCGGACAGCTTGTGGGCATTAGTAAATAGTATGGACATGTCGGCCCCCACTGGAGAATTCATTAAATTGTTATTATCGAGGCAGAGTGAAATAATTGACACTTCAACCAAGCTGCAGCCTGCCGGAAGCTTACTCCGGGAGTTGGCTCAGAGTCGGATATAAGCGGGCATACCAGTACGTGCTCTAGACTCTGTTGCATATAAATTTAGCTGTGATGGTCAACTTTGATGCAATCATTTAAGTACAGCTACTTTCGGATTTTATCTTGCTGGACAAATTTAAACAAAAATGTCCCGCCTTTTACGATACTATCCGCGCAGAATACCAAGGGACTTGGTTCACTGAGGCCTCCCTCGGGCCTCAGCTCGCGACTATCGCACATTTTTTGATGCATTGTACAGTTTTGTAGTTATTATGCTGTATACAAGCTCGGTAATGATGAATATTATTAATATTGATGTATTACGGTAACCTTTACCGTGGGGCCACTCCAATAGCACATGTCACGCTAGCAAATCCACCACCTAACACGTGTACAGGACATCAAGGAAGCAAGGCTTGAACTCAACTCTTGCGGTGTCTCCCACAGTTTGCCAGTAGACAGCATGGAGCCCCGCCAGAGTGCGAAGTTCACCTTGGCAACCTTCAAGGTAAGATTCCAAGATGACCATGCGTCTTTGTCTAACCAATCGGATGATAGTCCTCAAGGATCAAAAGGAAGTACCTGCGCAAGGTTATTTGGAATTTCGCTCCTCCGCTTCTCCGTGGCTGACATTGTACAGTACTCATGGCTCCCTGATGTATTGCGATTAAAAGGCAGCGTACGTGTCGTTTGGCAGGAGAAAACGCAGTGACTAACTGAGATGCTCGTGATATAGATCATTGGTCGTATAATTGGTCCAGTCTTGACTGTCACCGTATTCGCTGTGTTGGTCGCCTATGCGTGGTCCAAAGGGAAGAGAGTGGTCTTGACAAATTCGGTCGTGCCACTGTTGTCTGTGGTGGTGAGTAGTTGCGAATGTTGCCAACCCATGTATATGCTGACATGTCACAATCTCCAGGTTGGTTTGATTCTCGTATTCAGGTGAGTTATATGCGTAGTCCACGACATTGGCCAGCTCACAGCTTTCTACAGAAATGGGTGCGTAAAACACGAAGTTACCAAGAACACTATTCAATCTTAGCCTAGCACTTCATACGACCGTTTCTGGGAAGGTCGAAAGTGCTTCTCGTCCATCACGTCTAATGTAGGGACTCTAATAATAGCCTGCATCCAGCTTCATCGACTATTGACTCTTCTCTAGGTCCGCAACCTGTCCCGTATGATATGGATTCATGTCTCACTACCTCCCGCCGAAGATCACCCCGCGCACGTTCTCGGAAAGACACCAATATCTGCGCTTACCGCCGCTCAACTGAGGCGTCAGAAGATAGAAGCTCTGCAATTTTGCGTCGCTTTTGTATTTGCTGTCAAGCACTACCTCCGCAATGAAGACGGGCCTGAGTACGATGATTATACCGGCATTCTTCCCGCATCGTTCACGCGATTCCACGACCTTGGTTACACCACGGCTCAAGGAAGATCCTCTCCTAAATCCTACGATGCTGCCTCGTCAGCTTCAGATGGTACAAACAACAACCCTGATGCTACCAAGAGAATTCGTCGGAAGCGCAGCAAGAAAATACTTGTTGGCCATGCCGCCGCGTCAGCTTCAACCCCGCTGCTTTCGAACTCTCATCAAACTGTTGAGTTCCACTCCTACGCCGATCGAATGACTATGCCATTTCCCCTCGTGTTCGTGATGAAATTTAATACATCGCACTGCGACTGACCAGCAACAACAGTATCGCTCATGAGTTGTCTAATGCCATCTTCAGGTTCAAGCGGGAAGGTTTGCTTGAAACCGTTGGTCCGGCAGGTAAGATACCCTGACATGATTCCTAGTCTTGGCAATTAATTTCGTATCGATACTCAGGTATGAATGCCATGAGTGGGTTGTAAGTCAGATGCGTTAGTCCCCTGAAAAACATCTTATCGTTGTCCAGGGTGCAGTCAATGGTCGACCAAATGACTTCGATGGAGAGGGTGGCGAATACTCCTATACCCGCACCTTGTAAGTTCGGTCCTTACTGATATCTTCAACAATTACTGATAGTATTCTAGATGGAATCCATCTGAAGCAATGTGTAACCTTGTACTTGTTTGCCCTGCCATTGACCCTCATCAATGACCTCGGCTGGAGCACAATTCCCATCGTTACTGTAGTTGCTTTTACATTGATGGGCATCGAGGGTATCGCAGATGAGATTGAGATGCCTTTTGGTAAGTTTTTTGCGCAGACAAACAATTATGTTTCTGAAAACAGCATCAGGACATGACCCGCATGACCTGCCTCTTGGTGCGTTCCAGTGCAATACAGTACTTCTTATTATTCACTTGCATGCACAGACACTTACTGTGATGACTTGAGAGAGGAGATTGAGTAAGTTGTATGTCCTGATCCCATGTTCCGACTACCACTTTTTGGGCAGGTTTATGATCGAAAGGCTTCCAGAAGGTGGACATGGAGCACACGGTTATGACGATGGAGAGGGTGATGATTGAACATCTCGAGTAATATCGGGCAGTAGTGGAACTTCACACATTTCTCTTCTTGTGTTTTAAATCATTACCATCAAATACAGCTCTAGAAATATCTAGCTAAACTCCGGTGTGCAGAATTCTCCTGGTCCGTAGGGCTAGCAACAACTGTTCAATGACACGATATTGCCTGCATGAGGCGAACTTACTTTCGATGTGAGCGAGGTCAATCCGGCAGAGTTTTCGCTCGTCTTTCGTCCACTTTGTGGTCCCGGTTTCGGTTTTTGGCCCTTTGCGAAAGCTTCCAGGACTTTCTTTGTGGTCGCCGGGGTCAGGTCTTCCTGTGCTCAGTTCAGCTCGCGTCTTGCAAGGAGTGGAAAAGCGACGAACGTAAAAATCGTCGTTCACGACCATCATAGGTGCATTGCTGCAAGCACCTTGGCATTCAACTTCAATAACGGTGAATTTACCGTCATTTGTAGTGGCTCCTGGTGTTATTCCACCCAGTTGACTGCAAACCGTGTTCAAAATTTCCGTGGAGCCCCTCAGCATGCATGGTGTGGTGGTACAGACTTGCACGAAGTTCTCCCCAATGGGTTCACTGCGCCAATACAATAGTCAGTAGAGCAGACCTCTGATTAGTGCAGCATAGTTGACGCACCGGTTGAACATGGTATAGAAGGTCGCGACCTCGTACACCCGCATTGGGGCCATCTCGAGCAGCTTTGCGACATAGTTCATGACGCTAATGCTCGTCCACCCCTTGTTTTGCCGTTGTCCGATGTCAAGGAGAGGAATGACCGCAGCCTTCTTATATTGCGGAGGATACCTGGAGATGATCTCTTCGGCCCTCTTCATGTTGTCCCCTGTGAACGCAAAGGGTATCTACTCAGATAAGGGTCTTGAGTAAGTGAAAAGGTTGTCAACTTGGAACACATACCTTCGGGTTGTTGTACTCTGTGTCGCGGTGCTGTCCACAATGAATAACTTTTCAGTTCAAAATGGAAGATTCACCTACCATGAATAATGCATCTGAGTGGCGCGCGCATGAGTTCGAAAAGGCCCTCCCGAAAACCGAAGGAGTCGAAGCCGCTGAACGCCTCAATAAACTGGTTACAAGCATTGTCCACCAGCGAGCGGAAGTGTGATGAGGTTTGTCGGAACAGTAGGGTGAGAGACCTGAAATTCACACGACCTGAACCGGCATATTACCTCCTGTGTACATAATATTAATAACTTGAACATGGTTGGTTGGTCAGAAGTTCACGGTCATCCTGATTCTATAATCTAGGTTAAATCGGTCAGAAAGTCTGACTTGAACAACTATCTTTTGCCGAAGGCTTATGCACGCTATTTATCACCTTTCGGCATGGCACTACATATAAGCAGTTGAAACACGCCCCAAGGACAACAATCCACACACTTCTAGTCCAGCTCACATTCTGACAACCATGTCTGCAATTATCAACCCAAAGAGCGCCTTAAAGATCGTGATGGTTGGTATTCAGCCACTCGCTCCTGATGGCACTGATGCTAAGTTGCCCTCAGGGTGCTATGACTTTTGGCGTAGAAGGATCCGAAGGCGCTCGAGTTCACGAACTCAAAGACGTGGAAACTATTCTCGACATCTTTCAGAGCCATGGGCACAATGAGGTTAGTTTCATGTCACTCAACTTATGAAAACATTGCAATATGCCGATTTTCTCTAGGTCGACACCGCACGCATTTACGCATTCGGTACCAGCGAAGAATATCTCGGAAAACTCAACTGGCAGAGCCGGAACTTGATCATGGATACGAAGCATTATCCTCATTCCGTAATGTCCAGCTTTCCTGTTCTTTCAAGTCGGCTTAACAGGTCACTTAGCGGATGGGCCGTCCTATTGAGGAGGGCGAGTTGTGTGATCATTCCCCGGAGGTGAACCCGTTCTGCTTCCTACACTTCGTTGCCAAGATTATTTACGCCTGAATATTCAAGGGTTTGCGCCTGAATCTTATGGCATCCTTGAAGGCTCTGAACACCGAGTAAGTGATCCTCCCCATTGCAAGCTCACGTCCTGATGACGTTATTCAGCAAAGTCGACATGTGGTATCTCCACGGTCCCGACCGCGCTATACCATACGAGGTCACTCTGAAAGCTGTCAACGATTTGTACAAAGAAGGGTATTTCAAAGCTCTTGGCATCAGCAATTATATGTCGTCAGTATCTTTCCATGTGCTTGCCAATCATAGATCCTGATCTTGCACAGTTGGGAAGTAGCGCAAATGATGGAGATATGCAAGTCAAATGGGTATATCCAACCTACAGTGTACCAAGGCGTTTACAATGCGATACAAAGGTTTGCTGTTGTATTTCTCGCCTTCTATCGTGCTTACACATTTGGTGCGTAGAACCGTAGAACCAGAACTGTTCAGCTGCTTGCGCAAATATGGTATAAGCTTCTACGCCTTCAGTCCTCGTGCGCACTTCCCCCTTGACATTGTTACGCATGAGCCTGAAATCCATTTGATTTAGTTGCAGGAGGCTTCTTCACTGGTCGGTACATCAGCGAAGACGATCAGGCTGAGGCAGGTAGCCGATTTGATCCTGGCAGAATGCAGGGCAAGGTCATTTTAGTTTTTCTCTTATCTTGTCTTCAAAGCTAATTGTACTTTGTAGCACCATCGTGATAGGTAAAACTTCATTCGAGGATATGAAGTTTTGTATTTGACACAAAGTGCAGGTATTGGAATGATACCTACTTTACTGCCGTCAAGTTGGTCCGCAAGGTCGCTGAAGCGCATGAGTTGACGGTGCCTGAAGTGGCTTTACGGTGGATCTCTCACCACAGCTGCCTGTCTCATGAAACTGGCGATGCAGTGATTATCGGAGCGTCTAGTGCGAAGCACACTGAACAGGTATGGTCACATGTACATTACTTCTGGCCCAACACATAGGAACTGATCATTTTCAGAACCTTCTGGATCTTGAAAAGGGCCCTTTGCGTGAGTTCAACATAGCTTTTACTATTTTATCATGCGACTGAACTGTTCTTCACAGCCGATGAGGTTGTGAAAGCCCTGGGTGATGCTTGGCTTTCCGTCAAGGCCATCTCTGCCAATTACTGGCATTAGATACAAAGTAGCATAAATCAGCAACATTTGCGCCCCGAATGTACTAGTATCACTTGATTCAATCTGTAGGCGATAGTGCACCAACAAGAGATTTTCAGAGACAGGTGTCTCACGTTCATCGACTATCGGACATCTACCATTGACCTTTGCCATTTTGAGGTTAATTCATCGACCTTCAGCAGTACCCCTGCGGCAGCCCTACGCAATCGGACCTCATGGACTCCCCCACCACCTTCTACCAGAGTGCCCTTCTCAAGTAGCTCAAAAATCTTCCCAGCCCATTCTCCAACCCCCAACAGTAGTGCAGTGTGCTCAAGACCGAGCGAGCGTCCCCCATCGAGTTCGAGACAGCCATCCAGGACAATTAAGGAAAGCTCAAGAGCAGCTGTGAGTACCGAAGCCTCCTTGCCCCGGGCTTCGCCAGTTAGTCCTGTCGAGTCCCGTGTCATTGCTGACGGCCCTTGAGATTGGTCGAGTACCCAAGGCGACCGCGAGCTCTAGTGCGCCTGGTGCAATAATAGACAGCCATTGCGAAGAATTCTGTGCTGCATGCACCAGCAACGCCAGAGAGCCCATAAATTGTGACAGAACAACGGGGTTGAGAACAAGACCTGTGCCAGCACCGTGATACCGATACAGAGCATCACGGTGTGCTGTTCTCTCCTCGCGTGTCTGCTCATTCCGCAGGAATGCCCAGAAACGGTTGATAAACGGCATAATGAAGTATTCGGCTGCGACGTCTATGAATGCAGTTCGATGGGGTTGTGAAGTTTGGCCTGGCAAGAGAGCTCGACTTCGCCTTTCTGCAGGCGACACCTCAGCGACTTTAGGAGATGTCCGTATGCGCAGCTGCCGTTCTCGTACGAACTCTGGCACTTTGTCGGCGGTAGCTTCCTTTCCCCTGTCAATTGCTGCCCGTGTGGCACCCTCAAGCAAGCCTTGAACAGTTCCGTTGGCTTGGCCATCGGCAGTGAGATATTTCTGATGAAGGGCAGGAGGCAAAGTTTTGCTAGGAAATGCGGTGCGCTGATTATTAAGAGGCTGCAAGCTTGCAGAATGGACGGGGAGTGACGCTAGTTCTCGTGCTCCAAACACAAGGGCGTTAAGTATAACAAAGCGTTGCTCTGTGGAATACTGATTGCTGAAGAATTCTTCGATAATGCACCTGTGTGAATTTCATCGTACATGTTCGTCAACCCTAGTTTGCAATGAAACTTACGCGGCAGAGACCCGAGGGCAACACGCTACCAGAGCATTGACGGTACGCTGACGCTTGTTCTCGAAGCCGTCAAGCTCGAAGTTATCATTCAGCGAAGTAAATCCATAGATCAAATTAGCAGCGTTTTCCTCTGTGCAGCCGTTAGTTCTTGGAGTATGTAACGTCATGCCGAACCTACCAAGTTCAGTCCCATAATCCCTTTTCCTCCTGATCAACTCTTCTGCAACGTTGAGTGCCATTTCGATTTTGTCGGCTTCCTGGCTCTCTTCGCCGGGCTTTACTCTAGCGTTCCGCACCATCTCGCCTAGCTGCGCAAGGTACACAGGTCGCGGAATTTTCTTGACTCCAACACGTAAAGTGGGATCTTCCTCCATTTCGTTGAGCTCTGAGGGCGTGGGTGACGCGGAGCGGGAGGAGGTTGGCGATGCGTAGCCGGTCAGTGAGTCGTCTGAGTCGTAGCCAGTGGTGATACTAGCCTCTATGAGCTTCAACGCTGATATTTTAGCATCGTCCAGAACACCAGCAGTGATAATATCTTCTGTTGGGGTACTCTCCTCCGTGGCTGGCTCCAATTCATCGCCTGTGCAAGGGTTAAAATCAATGTCTCGAACCGAACAAAGTGCTCTTAGATCTCTGGCCCAGGGCTTCCCGTCGGCATCTCCATCCCAATCTCCGAAATCTAAGTTCTTGCCTGCACGTGTCGCAACCACTTCAGCTGCCAGCATCCCACATCGGCGAATATTATTGTCCAGATGACTGATATATTGACCAACCGCAGTGACGAAGCTAGGCGAAAGCGCGGTTGACACCACATATTCTGATTGACGAGGGAAGTACGATACAATGAGAAGAAGCAGTGATGTAACATCTAATCCATGTGGACTAGTTAATCACCAGTGTCGAACTTACATTAAGATAAACTCACAACGATGCCGTAACAGCAGTGAGTGCTTGATGTGCTCTGGAGCGCACCACATATCCAAAGTACGTGACAACAAAGCCCGGAGTGCTGAAAGTATCACGATTGACATGCGTCTACAAGAATCTGATTAGAATACCGACCTTCAGAGTTCATTGGACCTGTTTTTGCACCGGCTGCCCAGCTGACGAATATCCTGGCATGGCTCTCTTTCCAATCGCGTGATAATATAGGTGCCTAGCACCCCATTCCATACATCTGATTCTGGTCGGAGAGTTCCGAACATGGCACGAAGCAATAAGGATTCTTGCACGACAATGCCTCTATCTCGCGCCGTAACGCCCAAGTTACTAGGTAATTGCGTCAGAGAAGAACACAACGACGCGAATATAGTCTGCTGGGCAACCGTGGATGGGAGAGAAATGAGTGTATTTGTCCAGAACTTGGAGTAGTTGTGGTCGTCGTCCTGTTTAAACCTCACGCGGATTGTGGCTAGCGTGGAACGAAAGAAGGATGGTTGGGACTGTGGTAAGAACGATAAGGATGGAAACACGCCGACATTCACAAGTTTCATCAGAAGTTGTGCGACAGATGTTATCCTATCTGAACATACGTCATGTGTATATCAGATATAAAATGAATAAACACACCTTGCGATGGTGAACGGGAGAGAGTGAATATTAGACGCTCCGTGCTGCTGCTGAAGTCGTCGAAGTAAGTCGCAAGCTCAAGTTCTGGGGGTAAGTCTCGCGTGCCAGCTGCGTTGGCAGCTTTTAATGGGACTGCGAAAACGTTTCTGAGACAGTCATCCCATCTGACTGACTTCCTAGCTGATAAATTGTTGCCAGCGAAAGCAGCGGTATAAAGTCTGTCAATAGGATACTGAGTTGACAACTTGGCTAATAATCTAATGGATTCTTCTGTGAGCACTGAAGAGAGCAATGTGGAATAAGCGCAGAGCACCACATCTCCTGCAGCAGATAGTGCAAAAGAAAACGCGTCGGGGCAGAAATATTGATCGATGAGGGGCAGATGGCCTTCGTCAGCAAGGACTGTCGACCACGTTGGCAGAACGTGCTCAATTAACACTCTTTGAAGCGGAGGAAAGACCTTTGCAATATCAAGAGCTCGCGATCCTTGAACCGGCTCGAGATTGAACCGGCGACATTGTGGTGGAAGAAGGCCTATGTAGTCCAAAGGGCGAGAAAGTAAAGATAACAGAATTTGAAGGTCAGCTATAGGAGACTGCAGGCTATCGACTACAGATTTTATCTGTGCGAGGGTGTTGTCGTCGTCCATATAAATTATCACATAGAAGTAGGTGACTAGTACTGCAAGCACGACTTCTTCAATCATAATTACTGGCTTAGTCAGCAGCTTCATACTTCAATACAAGTAAGCAACTTCAAAGTCACGTGCAATCTTTGAGTCAGACATCCGTCATGACGGCTTCCGAGGTTGTAGTCCAGCATAATGTAGACCTTCATCCAATCCATTTTGGTTCAATACCATCATCATGTCGTATACTGACCTCTCCAATTTCTCGGTACTCTATTATGCTCTTTGGCAGAAGCAAGACCACTCTGTTGTAAGGCAAGGATTGAAGTGTAATGTCATAGATGTGGAGGGTTATGACAAGTCAGCCTGTTTCCTATCTATGATACTTGGGATGATACTAAACGATCTGAAACAGGATGCGCCCGTTCACCTTTGACGCTGTTGATCTATCTCGATATCCTAGTGCGATGTTACCAAACGGAGCAACCTCCATGCTCATCCGCTCAGAATATGAGTTATTCTTTAACAACGCCTCCAATATTGAACGGAATTTCATTGTTCATGGATCAGCAGGTATAGGTAAGTCAAGTTTCTTCTAAAAACGCTGCTGCTCAATCCAACGCCACATTGAAGGGAAGACAAATTTCTTAGGATACGTTCTCATTAGGCGACTTCTCGCTCGCCAACCTGTGACCTATCAGGTAGATCGACCGGGCTCATGTATCTTGTGCTTTACTGGTGACGGCTTCTTTACCCTCCCAGAGCAGAACAGCGAGTACTGTCCTTTATTCCAACGCAAAGACGTGTGGCATCTCATCGACAGCACGCACGAAGACCCCATAATTCACGCGAACACCGCCCACACCCAGGCGCTGATGTGGGGCACGTGCGGCAAGGCTATTTTCACCACCTTCTGGCCCGATAAGCTGGGATTTAACATTGAATGGTCACCTGGATATGAAGTTGCACTCCAGCGGTGGATGCCCCCATGTCCTTGGGAAGAGATCTTTGCTATGAGGTGAAATTTATGTATATGAAGTTAACAATCAATGACCATCATCGTCAGCGCTCTTACTGCAGACCGACACAACGTCGAGCTCCTGCTATGGACATACACTCATTTTGGGTCCAATGCGCACACTTGTATGCAAGTGTCTCATGATCCCAGTTATGCCGAGCATTATGTGAACGAGCTAGAGGACGCCCACGATAATTTCTGGAGTCTGCCTGCCTCACTACGCGAAATAGAATCCCAATATAATCGCAGCCTATTTGCAGTTAAACCGGGCGATACCCGCGCAGAACCGCTTCCCTATCCGGTATCACAGGTCGCCAGCAAGATTTTCGCGGAAGGACTCGTCTCCATCGACCCAACCGCTGCCAAAGAGGTCGTCTACAACCTTCTCCACTCACCCGACACCAAAGCGGAGGGTGAGATGTTCTATCGTCAGGTTGTGGTAGCCCTCATGTCCAGATTCGGAGGGACCTTCGAGCTTGGGTATCGGGATTCTCTGGCGCATTGTCAACTGGCCGATGAAGGCCTTTTCCTGCGTACCAAATCTGAGGTGCCACACGGGGTCCAGTTGGCTTACCGGACCCAAGACCAACTTGTGAAGCTAGCAACGAACTATCCACACATTCTCCACACCCCAAAGCATGCGCTTTTGCATCCAGGGATTGATGCGATCATGTTCGATTCCAGCACCTCAACAGTGTGGCTTATGCAGGTGACCTATGGACCTCCACGCCCAATATCTTCGCATGGTCTTGTGTTCTTGTTGGACGCCGTCCGATGCACTGCTTACGAGCCGTCCCCCCTCCGCCCCTGGAAGCTCATCTTCGTTACACCACCCAGGCAAGACATCACAGACTCCTTCCAACTCGGTGGATCCGACAAATCAGAGTACTTCACTTCCATGTTCTGGGACACGCGCATGAAGTCATATGTCATGCAGCTTCGCGATGTGGATGATGACGTGCACTCTTCGAACAGCACATATAAGCAATGGGGTTTCCCCCTGTGGAAGAACTCATTGATCAGCCTCCCACGGATTGCAAACTTGGCGCACCTCGCACTAAAACCGTGGCGCGCAATTGGTTCCGACTGTGTAGACCAGGTAACGATGGGGCTTTGGGGTACGTTCATACGGACACCAGGGGCTCATTTGCTTGGAGATATGATGAGTGAGCAACCGATTGGGCCGAGTGGGCTCCACACGAGATTTCCTCGGGGTAATAACTCAGGGATGTACTATTAATACTTTGGGTCGCTTGATATACAAGTTGTGATGAAAAAAATATTGGATCTTCTTTCAACGGACCATGGTTATCAACGAAAAGAGAAGTAAAACCTTAGTAATGCAGAATTAATATGCAGCAATAACCTCTTGAATGAGACGTGGGACTGAAAAATCAGCAGCCCACTCAAGCATTTTCATCGCCCTCTACAGCATTTTTCATACCTTCCCATACATCATCTCCTTCCTGTTCATCCTCATCCATGGGTACAGTATCTTGCTCTTGATCCCAGACAACAACCGTCGGTATCGTTGTCATGAAAATGCGCTCCAAAACCGTGCCCTTCTTGTCAAGGTGCTGCCCAACTTTATCAGGAAGTTGGACGACGCTGTGTATGCGTATATATCGATCTATTGATGCTGAAGCTAAGTGGGTTGAGGATGCAGCCAGTGAGATGGCAGTGCCCGATAGGCCTGGATACCAAAAAATCAGTCAACGAGAACTAAGGAACGTAATCATGAGACAGACCTTTGTACCCATATGAGATGCTCCCATTCCGTAAGTCAACCGCGTACACATTTGAGCCGTAGTCTGAGATGAAGGCCTCACTGCTCATGTAGTGGTCAGTAAAGCAAATCAGTGTCGATCAAAGAAACACCAACTGTTCTGAGGATCCCTTCTCTACTGTTTTTACGCCACCAACCTTCCCTATTCCTTTAAACGCAGCGACAGGTCGCCGCCCAGCACGAGTGTCGTAACGACGCATATCACCGAGACGTGTGCCTGCAAGAAGATGCTGTTGATTTGCAGAAGTTGAAGGCGAGAGGTACGTTAAACATGTATTGTGAACGGGCTGCCGCAGTCCAAGAAAATCATTTGGGACATTTTTAGCGCGCCAAACTTCCCCAGGAAAGAGTGTATCGCTTTGTTTCCGCTTTTTGTTGTTAGCTAGTGCACCTTTTGCTGAACTTTCAGATGGAGGAGCAAATGCACGCTCTGTATCCCAGAGAGATACTTCTACCTCGTCGCCTCCGTACGCAAATGTTTGACGATCATGTGAGAGATGCCAGTCGCACAGTCGAGACGGTAAGGCTGCAAGTTTATGGCTAGCTCTGCTATTATCGTCCTTCAAAGTCGACATTAGCAGGGCGCCATTAGTAGTACAGGAGAATACAGAGCTTCGCCGCTTCAGAACCATCAAGCAAATGACTTGAATACAAGAGCTCACCTGCCCGAAGCAGCAAGACCGATGAACGACTGATCACTTTTGATTCGAGTTTCCTTCCACTCTTGAAGTAACTCAAGTTGATCATCTTCATTCAAAGAGAAAATTGAAACCGCTCCATTAGCATGAGCAGCTGACAGCTTTCTCTCAGCATTAGATGCTTTACTAATGCGAGGGGCTGTCTGAACGCACCAATGTCTTCTCCTCCGCGTTCAGCGCGAGTTTTTGGATTCCTTTAGATCTGCCAGTTGCAGTGCCGTCATAGAGAGTTTTCAAAGCTGTTTTTGATTCTCCTTGCAAAGCTGGGTTGTACCCCACCGATTTTATGTTGCCCAGTTCATCACCGACGAGAAATCGAGGCATTATTGGCGTGACAGTACCAGCGCGTGACGAAGTATATCCTGTGACTAATTACCATTTTTGTAAATGGGCGTTTCGATAACTCGTTTATGTGAGCTTACCATGCTGGCAATGCAACACAGCACGTTCATGGACGGACCACTTAAAGAATTGTCCAAGCTCGAAAGGCTCACAGAAAGATCCAAAGGGAAAACGTCGTCTATCGAGAGCTCTTTGGACTATCTTCTTCAGTCTCTCCGAGAAGTAAAGGATCGCATCAACGCAGTGAGCGTTACAGAAGATACCTATGTCCTTCTAACACAAACTGTCGAAGCAAAGAAGAAGGAAATAGATGAGAAGCAGAAGGAAATCTACAATGGAATTGCGAGACTTGGGAAGGCCCTGGACAAGGTCTGCATGTTCTACCAATCCTCCATGTCGGTGAACATGAGCTCACACGACACAGAAATTCACTCAACCCCTTCCGACATATGAGCCTCTATTCGCATCGAAGGATGCGCAAGCGGCTCTTGAAAGAACTATTGCCCTGCATTTTCTGCGCACCGGGCAGTTTTCAACAGCGGAGACATTCATTCAAGTAAGCAAATGATGGGGTATCTGAGACTTAACTGAAATCATTCCCAGGAGTGCAAGATGGTCATCGAACCTGAGCAACGAACCAAATTCCAGGACTTGCATCGCATAGTGTTGGCATTAAAGAGACAGGATATAGGGCCTGCATTAGAGTACGCTACGTTTCATGACTCCGATATCACCCTATCTCATGTGTACTGCTTCTAGGTGGTCGCTGAAGAACCGCGAATTTCTCCGGAAACGATCGTCGCCGCTAGTCTTTTATTTGCACCGTTCTCAATTCGTCCGTCTGCTCTTGGCAGAACCACCAGATGCTGGCCCTGCCATATCGTACGCAAATGCTACATTGCGCAGCTTCTATCCAGAGCATGCAACAGAGTTCCAGAGACTCATGACTTCCGTTCTGTATCTCCCAAAGGAACGCCTTCAGCGGTCTCCGTACGCAGACTTGGCCTCAGACTCGGTGCATACAGATCTCGAGCCACTTTTCGCTAAGGAATACTGCACGAATCTTGGCATGAGTCGACAGGTACCGCTGAGAGTTATAGGTGATATTGGTGGTGGGGGCGCCCTAGCCAGAATTGAGAAAGCTCGGACAGTAATGAAAGAGCGCAAGAGTGAATGGAGTCAGAGCGACGAGCTGCCTGTCCGTACTTTTTCCTTTGTTGAAATTATGTCTCATTGCATCTCCAGATCGAAATTCAGCTTGCACCAGAGAACCGTTATCATTCCATTTTTGCTTGTCCAGTTTCCAAGGAACAATCCACTGAGCAGAACCCCCCGATGATGATGACATGTGGGCACGTCATAACAAAGGAAAGTTTGCACAAACTAAGCAAGACCAACGGGTACGTCTGCGTCCTTCGGATTCTGGTTTACTCGACTCATGATGATGGTTCCAGACGTGTTAAATGTCCATATTGCCCCACCGAGTCGACGCAAGCAAACGCTCTGCCCGTTTTCTTCTAGCATGTAAGAGTATTCGTCATTTGTATTGTAATTTTCTCCATCATTTCCACATCTCTATTTTAAGTACTATGGGACTTGTATCATCACAGAAAGTGGGGGACAATCAAAAGATCATCGCTCTCCTCATGTTTCAAGTTTTGGGCCGACCCAACGAGCCTGAGTATCACAATGTCACTCGTACTCCTAGTAGAACACTGACAGACTCGCCATCATTGTCAGAGTTTCTTCCCCATCCTGATTCTTGCTCCTGACTATGGTGCTCTCGTCAATGGAGGGTGTGTTGATAAACTTTGCAAGCTCGTCCAGCTTGGTGACGTCGATATGATACTGCCCTGCTAAGGCCTGAAGTTCTGCTTGAGATTTGACTGTTTTCCGGGACTCCAGTAATTCGCTCAATGATGAGGCCAGTAAACGATTTTGAGTAGAATGTGACGGCAAAGCCTCCACTTCAGACTGAAGGCGAGAACGATACATCTGCTGGACGTAATCTGCCTGTGAGGAATCCAATACCGGGCTAGTGAGCGTGGCACTCGGTACTGGACAGGTCACGCACTGGTCGGACGGACCGCATGTGGTGGTCAACGCGCACAGGGCCTAGCTGGCTTAGCTTGGACATAAATTGAGGGTCTTTGGCATCAGCCTCAACCGCTAGTACAACATTTGAACAGGTCATGAGTGACGCGAACAGCTCTGGCATACGCACCATCAGTTTTATTTTCAAATGCCAGTGGTCTTGGACGTCGTATTTCTTGAGCACTGTCTTGTTTGAAGGGTGTACGAGAACCTGCCCATGACGACTTTTCCTTGGGTAGCGTACGAACTGCTTTAGATGGAGAACTGCCCATAGTAGATCTTGAAGTATGACATGACTGTCTGGATTATAATATGTGATTGACAGTTGTTTACACTCAAACGACATGCCAGTAGCCACGCTCGGGGCCCTGTAAAAATTCATCACTAAATATGCCCTACAAGCCCAAAAGCTTTTACATTCGACCCAGTTCATATTGGTCTCGTGGAATGCGTCGGCTTTTCTGTGCGCGTCGTAAGTCATTTCAGCGGTTTCAGCACAGTGGGCACTGAGCACTATGAAATACACTGAATTCTCCATTCTGCCTCAGTGTGTTACGCCTCGGTGACATACAGTGAGAGTAGCGAGGCTCGCAGGACGCTCTGAAACTCGCATGTCCCTTCCAATCATGGTGCACATTTGACTGCACAGGAAAAGGTCACTTATAGAGCGTCTCGCACGGCGATCGGGGCCATGGTCAGAGTATTCACTAACATTGAGTTATGTTGCTTGCTAGATTCAACTGGTATGAAGGCCGTTAGAAATTGCCTGCATGTTCACTTGGGCTCAGGATCGGATGGAATTATTTCATGGTAGATGATCACATTCCAAAACACTCACATGTGGCACAGTGAATGCAGTCGATCAATAATCGAACGCACTGCATTCTATATCACGGAGGTCAGATGGAGGCGCGGTCCAGCACAGGAAACTCCCTATCACGTTTGGAATCAAGGCAAATGGGCTTCACGCCTGTTGATCACCACTGAAGAGGCCCTAAATCAGTTCTCGCGGGTAAAGCCCGTTCGACAGACGTACTTGCATAGGCCATAGCATTATCAACTTGCCGCACCTTCATCTTCCTCACACGACCCACCTCCAGTGTGGACGGCCACATTCCATTCTGCTTATAACTATCCGCCAAGCGCCCTGAAGAACAACGACCAAGCATTTCTCTCGCCAGCAGTCTCCAAGCGTATGCGATAATAGAAAGGCGGGGATTAGTCATACCTCCGGCATTGCTCTCAATCCTCACCATTGTTCACTCAAAACCTCAGACACAAGTGCCAGCGAACTTAATATGTGATATAGTCAACTGCTTGGGAATACAGGCTGGCCATGGAACTCGTCGACAATTCTAGTGTCATGGGAATTACGAGATGGGTAGATTAATAAAAGGAACACAGTCCAGGGCTCGTAAGCGTGTATGTAAGTAGCCTTTGCAGACCCAGGGTGACATATAACACCTAGCATCCACCTAATAGACACCGGCGCGCCTTGAGCTTCGTCCTGTGCGTCGTCCTGTGCGTCGACTTGAGCGACGCGAGCCAAAGCATCTACAACACAGGATATCGACGATGACGTCAAATATTGTGACAATAACCTCCAGAATGGCGATGATTAGTGGTGCTAACAAGCAAGTAACAGAACGATAGACATACAGTGGTGATAGCCCCAACGATAGTCATTATAACGGCTGCAATAGCAGATATAATAGCTTCAATTCCACCGCCAATAGCTGAGAATATTGAGCCCTGTACAACAAACGATATTAGACCTTGTCTGACAGAAAAAAAGATGATATACCATGATGAATAATCAGGTATAATCAAGTGAGTTGGATTGAAAGATATTGGTCTGGCTTCGTGCTTTATATATACTCTGGCTGGATGCATGACGTATAGATCGAGGTGTGGAGGGGGGAGATGACATCACTGCTGATGCTCTAACTTTGGGGAATGTAAACTGTAAAACCGATCAGCCTTGTCCTGCATCGGGTCAGGTGTGAATCCACGCTTGGGCTCAAGCGCTCACGTGTTGGAGCCGGGTGTGCTAATCATGACATCAATCACAACGCTGAGTTTAGCAGATCGGGCACAGCAGTCGGTCGCAGTGTTCATATCACCCTGTTTTCATCACTGATGACGGCGTGAGTGGAGTGTAAAGAAACTTGAGTTATCCTTTGCTGTATGACTGAGGAGTCCTAGTCATCCTCTTTAAACCATATACATACCAACATGACACTCCGGTATCCTTTTGCCAAGGAAAGACTCTTTTCAACTAGCAACGCGCAGACATCGTCGTGGTAAAGTTCGTACTTTGTCGTCATGATGCTGCGCAGCTCGTGCCCGATCACCTCCAGCTTAGCTTATGTTACCCACGAGAGCATGGTCCCGGCAGTGAAGGATCGGGATCAGCACTTTAGTGGGAGTAGGGTACATTGGTGTGATTGCACAACAGCACTGTATAGACATCAAGACAAGCAAGCAGCTAATTCTACAACAAGATTTTCATATAGAGCCAAGAACTTTGAACGCACCATTCGTCATCACGCGCGCCATCTCTCCTGTATGCACCCATGCATTCTTCTCGCCAGCCTCTCCATCAGCCGCCAGCATGTTACCAACTGACGGTCCTCGAACCAAAATTTCGCCAATCGGGTCTGCACCCTTTTCGACTACGCTGTCGTTGACACCGACGAGTTTTGCCTCAACATTGACACTTGGAGCCCCAGCATGTGCAGGCTCCGCGGCTGGAGATGAGGAAGGGAGCATCTGCAGATCAAATGCATGTGTGGCGAAGAGAGGGCCAGTAGCAGAACCATGTGTATATGTATTTATCAATGGGATGGAGAGCGCCAAGCGAGCAGGCACAAGCACGTCAGACGGTAAAAGCCCTATAATCGGATGAGCATATACTCTTGTAAGGAATGGAACAAAACACACCACCACTGATCACAATCGCCTTCACTGTGTCAGCCATTTTCCCAAGTACATCTTCCCGTGCGCTACCAAAAACAGTACGGTCCCATAGACTGTCCTTAGTAAGGAATCCTTCTGTGAGGCCAGCAAATTTGTGCCGCCATGCCAGGGGGAAAATGAAGGAAGACTTCTTCGCACGGTCCGTCACCGAAGATGTAAGTGATTGGACATGTTCGGGCTTGAGGAAGAGGACCGTAGGAGAAGGTATCGGGAACTTAGTCACAGAAAGGATATCAGCCACATCCAGAGCCGGTGCATCTGTGTATATATCCTAAGGTTTTGAGATACATAGACTCAAGATCAAACGTACCGCCATCACGGTAGACACTTGTCGAAGGTAGAGTCGCGAAACTAGCGCCCTCGAAAAGAGCTGCATAGGCAATGGCACGTCCGTACGGAGTGCTCAAAGAATGACTAGAGACAATGGTGTCTAGAGTAGAAAGATTTATGGCAGCGGGGAAGAGTGCTTTGATCGCTGTCACGCCAGAGGTGAAGTTCTCGTGCGAGAGCTGCACACACCGCATTCCACCGGATGGGGTCTCGAAGAATGAGACGGTGTATGCACTACCGGGCTCTGAACGATAATCAGGGCAATGGGTGCACGGAAATGCAGAGACATACGAGGAGCGTTTTTGGGGGTTTGAGGTACCTTACCAAGAGATTCGACCTCTTGCCAGGAGTACATCACCCTCGCGGTCTCCGAAAATCGAGGCGGCAAAAAGTCGACCACGATAAGCTTGTGATTGTTGCGTGCATCGCGAGCGGCCTGAGAAACATGTGGCAGAAAAGTATTGTCTGTGATGATGGCGTCAGGCGGATGCATCTCAAGGACTCGCGCGAGCAACTTGGGAGAGCTCAGAGTAATGGAAGCAATGGACTGCTCCGAGAGTGCGAGATCAGTGATAACAAACTCTAGAATGCACACAAATTTGAACTATGCTCGAAATGCGCCAAACGAAACGAAGCGCACCGATGCAATCATTAAGCAATATCAAAACAGTTGAACCCTCTGGGACAAGCGTAGCTATCCCCGAGCCAAACGCCGAGACTCGCGCTTTCAGCTGAGCATTTGTGATCTGAATGTGAAAACACACGATGAGCTGTTCATTAATTATTTACGAGAAGGCAGTTGAACGCACTTTCGTAGACCAGAGAGTACGTGGTGCATCAAATTCAGGTTTCACAAAGTCAGTCACAACATTCACGTCTTTGTCAGGTCGGACAGGGAACTGAGAGTGATTCAGCAGATGTCTAATGCAAAGTGCCCAAGTACACGAACCCTGCCCATGAGCCCTGTCCCATAGTTGCGGTAAACCGCGCTCTCGCCTGAATGCCTCACACGCCCAGCATCACTTTGCCGACCTAGGAGGATTGGGTGGACGAGAGGCTGTGGTTTGTAGAGGTTCTGGAGGAGAAATACAGATACTCCGATGAAGCCGAGAAGAACGGTAAGATCGTCTGTGACCAGGTAGTCTGAGATGGTCATGGTGTATTACTGACCGAGACTGACAGCACTGATGACTACCAGTTGACTACTAGAATAAATTGGGACGGAAGAGGGTACAGGCCTAGAGACGCTTACAAGCCGACGTGTCAGCTCCTACGTATTACTTACGCTATGCTGCTGGCATCATCAATCACTTCGACACGACTTCTCTCCATTACAAATCTTAGAATCTCACGCAACTAACGCATGCTAGGTGATCAATGCATGACTAGACTAGTTAGCGCTTTAGCTACTAGCCAAGCAGCTAATGCCATGGCTTGTAAGCCATGCTTGGGTCTGCTTGGCCATTGCTTGGCCGCATTCATGATAAGAATCGCTGCCCGCGCAGATTCAATCCTTCGATGCGCTGCGTATATCTTCAACTTTACCCCTGCAATGATTTCTGTTCACTAAATAAAACGACTGCGCGTTATCTATCTATCGATCTCTAACAATAGGTGACTCGGACCACTTTACCAGGTTTTGGGCTTTGCGTATGAATGTTTTTGCGACGGGGCGAGTATAATATGATCGATCTTCTACAGCCTCAGGGTGCGTGTCTGAAGTGGGTCAGTGCACCTCGACCGTGCACGACATTGATCGTCACGTGACGTATCTCATAACTTCATTTCCCCTCTTCAACCATTCCTTTCCCTTCACCTGCGTGTATTTTTAAGCAGTATACTCAGTCACAGTCTAATTTTGCATTCGCCACTCGTAGCTAGCAATGTGCGCTACTTCGAAGAAGTTCTCGACCAAGGCCGCCGAGCCTGGGCCTGGCGCTAAATCTGCCCGGGAAGCGACAGTTTCCAAGTCGCATCATACAACTCATCCCCCTTGGATTGACATGATTACCGTGGGTCACCATCATTCTAAATACTCCACATATTCTATCTGGATGATGTGCGCTTATCTGAGTTGTGTGAAAATAACCCCTGTCCACAGGAATGTATCACCACGACACCCGATGGAACCCGCCACGGCGTATCACGCCCAACGATCAAGAAAGTAAGCACACGACCTCCATTATAGCCTCCTGCATAGTTACGCCTGATGTCCTGTAGTTCGTCGACTCAAAGTATCACCTGGAAATGAATCCTTTAGCGTCCAGCCAGCTTAACCGAGCAATCCATCACGGCGCTGATAAGGGGACATTTGTCCTGCCAAAAGGCGAGCCTCCCTTTATCGCGGAGTCTGTTATCTTATTATTTACGCGATTCCAATTAGGTCCTTCCGGCAAAGTCAAACTTGCACCCCGGCAGCACATTGAGGCAGCTAAAGAAGTGCGTCACCCTGCCGCCAGTTGCCACTTCACCTTAACTAAACACTCACTTTGCAGAACGCAAAGCCAGCTTTAAAACGCTCCACTGCTGCTAAAGAAAGTCACGTCATCCCAATCAAGGCAGCTACTAAAACTGCAGTGAAGAAGACGTCTCGTGCCGCGAAGCCGGCGGCTACCACCGCACCCGCCGCACCGCCGAAGTCAAGAATTGAAAGAAATATCACTCCACTGCAAAGAAGGCTAGGACGATTGGTTCCTCCACTCGCAGGACGGTCGGAAGAAAGGCCGCCACTGCACGGGTCACAGCTAAGAAGGTATATATACTATCAGTAATATTAATATGAGCGCTAATCTTTGACACGTGGCCGTTGCTCAGACTGCCACAGGAAGGTCAACTCCATCAAAGATTGGCAAGCGGGGGGCAACTTCCTCGAAGAGGACTACGAGGGCAGCAGCTTCGAAGCAGAGGGTCCGGAAGACTTCTCGCAAGTAACGCATGTTATTCATGGTAGGATCGGATTCTATATTTATGTCACTGATGCTCACCTGGTATGGTCACATTGACAGATTTCACGCTCTTTCTGGCGAATCGTGGCTAACGTCTTGATATCTCCTCAGAAACACGGTTTTTCTTCACTGCTTTTCGTCACATGTTCCAGTCTGTTTTTCATTCATCTTGCTGTTTTTACGTCTTGGATGTATCTCCGTGACGTCCCACTCATGCTTTCCTACGAGTTTTACTTCTGACGAACTTATGTCCATGTCATTCTATGCCCTATCTTATCGTACGCTATCTACTGTCAGTTGCCCTGGTCTCTCCACATTCAGTTGTACGTATCCTCTCTTACAATCTGGAACAACAAATATCAGTTCCTCAGGGACATTGAGTTGTGTGAAAGCTGGCCTGACGTTAAAACTTTATACTCGGAATGTGGAGTTTTCGAAAGCTATGACAAGTCGAAGCTCGTCTGTGACATACAAGCATATCCAGATTCCATATTAGATTCATTCATTTTTTAGAAAGTCATATATTGTATTGGATCAACTACTATACCCGAGACTATGTAGTACTGCTGTAGCCGTGACATTTAAATTTACTTCCGAATCCAATTACAATAACTGAAGCTGTTTCGTGATCGAAAGTGCTACGTCGGCAGCCTTGCACAAAGCTGCCAAGGCACCCTGTACATGTTTTTATTGTATAACGCTGCATGATACAGGATGACAACTGGGCAAGCACAATTGTAGCTGTGATTTTGATCCCGCGGATGTCTGTGGCGGTGCTGAATTTCCCATCTGAATAAGGTTTCGGAACGCGTTTTGTTTATCAACAAACAACAAACGCGCCCACACGTGACCGAACGCGTTTTGGGTATAAATGTGGATGACTTAACTTGATTGCCTACTCCATCTTTTGTCACCTCCACGCCCGAATTCTGTGAATTCTGTATTTCATCGTTGCACATCTGTTTTACTCGGCCTATTAGACTATACTCAATAGTAACAATGTCTTCCAACACTTCAGTTTCTCCACCCCCTATCGAGACTCTCCCGGCCTCTTCGTCCAAAGCCAAGAAGACAGCAACAAAGAAGCCCGCATCGAAGAAGGCCCCCGCAAAAGTTGCTCCAAAGGTTGCCTCCCATCCTTCTTGGAAGGACATCATCAAGGTTAGTCAGTGCAATCGGACCAACATAGTTTTATAACTCTGTCATCAGGCATGCATCACTGCTCACAAGGAGGACGCTCGCAGTGGCGTGTCAAGAGCAACTATTAAGAAGGTGCGTATGCATTCTACGTCGTTTGCACTGATTAATGTTGGCTGATGACCCACAGTTTGCCGAGGAAAAATACCGCCTCGAGGTCTCTGGTACAAACTTGTACCAGCTCAATCGTGCTATCACATCTGGCGTCACGGCGGAAATCTTTGCCTTGCCCAAAGGCCCTTCTGGCAAGGTCAAACTCGCACCCAAAAAGAAGGCATCTGATGATGAGGTATGTGGCAGTACTGACGATTTGGTTTTATAGCGCTCATGCACATGTCTCAGAATTCAAAGCCTGTACCTGTAAAGAAGGCGGCCGTAAAGCCTGCCGCAAAGAAGGCTCCTACTCCAGCCAAGAAGGTTGATGTTCCAGCCAAGAAGACTGCCACAAAGAAGCCAACTATCGCATCTAGGGCAAAGAAGCCTGCCGCACCGAAAACCACCGCAGCTGCCGCCAAGAAATCTACCACCGCAGCAGCACCGAAGAAAGCTGCCCCGAAGAAGACTACTGCCGGTGCTCCTACCAAGAAGCCTGTGGCTAAATCAGCAGCACCCGCTAACAAGGCATCCACCGCGAAGACGGCAGAGAGAAGAAGGTAAGCTAGCGAGTTGAGTCTACATTAATCAACTTCACGCTTCACACAGGTCGCAGCCAAGGCTGCAGCTACCAAGGCCGCCAAGAAGCCTACTTCGAAAGCAAAGCCAGCTTCGTCACGAACTAGAAAGGTATGCTCTTGTGCCCGTTTGTTTGCTTATCAGAATTCATATCTTTTCTTTTCCAGGTTTCTGCTTAACGATACCCTGTACCACATCGCCTGAATCCGGTTTCTCTTCTATCTGGTGTGACATTAGCGTGCTCCTTGTATTTTTGATACTACTTTATTCGTGTACAATTACTAGTATTGCATATCATTTCACTGAGAATTTAGTGACAGCTCCTTGGGTTACGATTTCCGTGCAAAGCCAGACCGAGGATTCACTAGCACTGGCGACCAGTGATAGTCAGATAATAGCCGGGCTTACAGCGTATGCCCCTGATGTGATCTGTGGCCTTAGTATGGCAGTCAATCAAAACTGTTCATTGTTCATCAAGTGTTGACAGATGCATCAGTAGTGTACGAGTGCCTCTGTCACAGGTTGCCGTTCTTTCTCCCTGACAGACTAGATGAATGTTAGAACTTGTAGTGCCCATCATGTGAGCCACCCCAGGTGCCGCATGCCTTCAGCGTGGCTTTGCGTTTCCTTGCTGTAACTCCGAGTCGCCCTATGATAGCAAGTAACCTCGGTTCGAAATTCTTCTTTCGGCGAAAGCTAAAATCGAAATGTGAGAACCAGGTATCATGTCAATGGAAGAAGTGGAAGTGCCCCGACAACTACTACTCCACGGCACTCCACGCTGGAAAGTTCCGGCGATAGGAACGACAATCTGGACCTGTAAAAACGGACTTCCTGCCAAAGATTCGAGCTTCACTAAGATAATCCGGAACTCGTGATAGGACACTTACTACCTCAAGCAGCCTCTACTTGAATAAAATTCTGTCTTTACTTCAGTTCCACGAAAACGAAGTTTCGATGAAGACCGCGACTACCACCCAATCATGACCTCATGTCGCTTTCAAATTATCGCAATGCGGCCAAATAAACCGACTGAAGTTTTTGTCTTGTAAATCATTTGTCCTTGCTGGTTGGTGATGGCAGGCCGATGCTAACGTCTTCAGTCGAGAAGTGAACCTAACCATGGGGGTGTCTGTAGTTTACCTGACTGCGCACATGTCTTGACCTATTAAAGGATGGGGTCTAGCAGGGAGCTCTGTCACCGTCGTGACTGTGGATATCGCACTACATCTGGCTGGGCCAAGACGTCTAAGTAGCGATGCTCGTATTCAGAAAACATTATGCGTACATGCACACCTTTCTCAAGGAGTCCGAACTTTTGCAAAGGCGAGTTGCTTGTGATAGTAAGGGTAATGCTAGCCAGGAACTATCCAAGAAGAAGCAAGGCACAGGTCCGAGTCGCCAAACTTACATCTAGGTTCTGAAATTCTCAGTTAGGGTCGCTGCGGTCAACGAGCTGCCTATAATTATAAACCATCACTGCGGTCAGTCGAGCTTGGCTGTGCGACAAGAAAGTATGGTTCAGGTCCTATTTTTCCGCGAATGAAACATCCTAACCTTCAGTTATAGCATGTTGGTAGTACCAGGTCCGGACATAGTCATGTATCAGTCGGTAAGAAATTGGTTTGGTGCCAGGTGATCTGCCGGAATGTCCCAGTAACCTGCTTTCGGATTTCGCTTCCTATATTTTATTTGTCTTTCATCCACGACGTCGAGTTCGTCGCACCTCGCGTTTCCTTACTCGTACGTATACCTACAGTCTTTCTTGATACCCAGACATCACTCCCTTTTAATCGAACATTCTTATACCATGCTGTGTCAATGCAGGACTCGAAGAGTCATTCGATCATATCGAATGACTCTTCGACACCCCGAGCTAACACTCGGTCCAGCCCAGCCTATCAAATCATATCAGCGACTCGCGATCTAGACCAAGCTGGGATGTACTTTGTCTCGCATAGTATCGGAACTGGCCGTTTTAGCAAAGATTCTGAGAACACACTTCCTTTTTTCAAATCTCAGGGGCTAGAAAGCTAATTCACTTCTACTCCAGCACACATGGTACCAATACTTAAGATTAAAGTTACGACTCGAGGTGACCGCTCAAACTTACCATCGTTGGCCGAAGGAAGATTGATTCATATAGCTATTTCATATCACTACACCCTCCGGAGTGTGCGGATAAGAACAAGCCTACCGCCCAGACTTGGCTAGAGCATATTTCATCATCTTACTGCAGACCGTAAGTATCAGTACTTGTAAGAAAAGCTACTTATCATAAAGGGTATCGATCATAACGCAGCACCCAAGCGCCTCAACTCTATTTCTTGGACCACCCCAGGCTGAGGCTGCGGCACTTCTAGAGGCCTCTTCAAGGGCGTTTCTGAATGGCAGTGAAATGGCCGGTTTGGGTGCAAGTCGGCAGACTCCAGGTCTACGTCTGGGTACAAGTGGCGATGATCTGACTGAATTTGAAGACACCGGCACCCCCCGAGTATGGGTGACCATTCACACTCGCCTTTCCCGCCAGTCACATCGTGCCTCCACCCGCCGCCGCCGCCAGGCGCTGCATACCAACGCATGGGCCGTGGACATTACGTCCTAACTCCACTCGACCTCAGCAACTCGCGGAACCGAGCACATAGCCCCAGAAATATCAGCGAGCATCGATATCGCACAAATGAATGAATGTGCACAACGACCGAGAGAGCTTGCCGCGTTTGCAGTGAGTACCTGGATGGCTGAACTCCTATTCAGCAATCATGTTCATAGTTATTTTGTGTACTGCTCATGTTGTTACTCTATGCACGTCCTAGCAATATAAATATTTATTATCATGTACTGCAAGCTCACCACTAAGCACCCGAGGAATAAGCTCTAAACATGTGTTCATCATCGAGCGCAGTGAGCGCATGGGCGGAAGCCGGCCTCGAGCCTCCCGAGGGTTACACAGACTTCGCAACCGAAAGCAGACCTCTGCGCAGACTTGTGCGCAGACCGGCCAGAACTGACATTTACCCTCCTTCTTTGTCCTTTCTGAGTTTCTCGACGTAGATGAACGTCATGATAACAATATCCATCATATGAGCCACTTCAGGTGATACTTCCAGCGTGGCTTTACGCCTCCTTCCTACAATTCCAAGAGTCGCTCTACGAAAGCGAGCGACCTCTGTTCGAGATTCATCGTCCTGTGAGAGCTAAAATTTGACTCGTGAGAAACAGTATCAGCATTAACATTGAAGTGGAAGCGTACTCACAACTACCACTCTGGACTGGAGATCCCAGCGATAAGGACGGCCATCTGGCCCTACAAAGACGCGCTCCCTGCCAGAATTTTATGATGATGGCCCGGATTTCCTAGAAGGGCCCCATGTACTCACCGACCCAATAGGCCTCTCCTCGGAATGAACTCCTTTGTCTCTACTACAGTTCCACCATAACGAAACTTTGAAGGAGCAAATGCATGCCACTCGATCTCTCCCAAGACATCGAACTGGTCTTGCATATGATACTGGTCATCATTTGGCTTGATTTTCAGAATGGTCGTAGTACGGACGCCAGCTAGTTCGAACGGAGTCTCTGTCTTGTAAATAACTTGACCTTGCTCGTTGGTGATAACGGTATTGCGAACGTGTTCAGTGGAAAGAGTGAGCAAAATCATTGCGGGTATATACTGCGCACTGTTGAGTGCTTCACACGCTGCATTTAAACACTGGATGTAGCTCTGTTGTGTGGCTGTTGAATATTCCCAGTAAGAACTTTCTGTGACAGGAGAGGGCACATCAGGCGTGCTCAATTCTTACGATGTCTAGTTCGAGGTGTGTCAAGTCCCACCGTGCCTTAAGCCAAACAACATAGCCGACCGGCGAGACTCCATTTGGGTTGCCGAAGCCAAGCTTACTCCGTTTTATCACCCCGCCATCGCACAACACGCTGTCCTGGTTATGCAGCGAAAACGAGAGTTCTGTGAGCTCTTAACTGTCCTTTCTGCCTCATCGTCTATGTTGGGCATCTCAAAATGCACTCACCTTGCACTCGAGCACTTCATTTTTCCTGATAGTGACAATGATGACCGCAGTCACCATACTGCTGTATCTCTCACAAGAACAAGTGCAGCACTTCAAGTATTTGCAAGTATGCTGTCTGGTATCTCATGTGGCCCATATAATCAATGGAGAAAGTGTTTTGAATTCTTCAAGATTTCTCTGAGCTGGCCAGACTGAGATTTTTGACATGAATACAGGTATATTTTCTATTGGATCATCAGTGCTATCTTCACTAACATCTTTCAGGGTTGGATGGCCCACCTTTGACCATCTTGACCATCTGCTTGAACAAAACCCCATCTTCCAATTAATTGGCAAGAGATAACAGTGTGCAGTCTGATATCAACTGGCATGCTTTCTCATTTGGTATGGCTCATGAGGCATGAATCCACTCCAAGCTGCCCACAAACTTGCAATTGGATTTGGAACAGTGTTCCTGTACTGCTGGCAAGTAGTGTGGGCATTGTGGGAGTTGGGTATATGAGTTGTTGCATGGGGAGATGATGAGCACCACCAGGAGACATCTGAGTATATTATGAATGTATACAGATTTCTGGATTGTGTTGGGATATTAGATGGGACACTCATTTGGCTAATACAGATGCCTGATGAGAATGGCTTCAGTTTCATATGTCACCAAAATTTTTCTGCAGTAAGAGCCTGTTCAGCAATGATGTTTGAACAAGATTTTGGTTTATGTACATGTTTGTGTTGGAGTGGTGTCACAATCATCCTGGCTCCAGCATTGTATGATCCTATTCCTATCTACATGACAGGCCACCCAAGACATGTCTTACCCTCAGTATCACTACTCTGATGGCTGGTCCCATCCACTCTATCCATGGCTGACATATCCATACTGGTCTGGTCACCCATCCTACACCTGGTCATCCTCCCATGTCCTGCCCATGTCCACCTAGCTCCATTGGTGCATTATTAGTCTATCCTTGTCATTACTGAAAGAGAAAATGGGTGTTATTGTTACAGTCATTGTACAGCCCCTATATCATTCCTTTTCTCTTACATTGTATTACATCATGTGCTGCTTACTGCCACTGCTAGACTTCTCATTCTTGACTATTCTCCTCAGTTCTATTTTGCTTACATGTCACTTCTCCTTTTATGTCTTCTTGAAACCTGTTGTACTTATATTGCTTATGCATCTCTGTCTGGTCCATGTGCACATATGACCTATTTAAGCACATAGTTAACACTGTGTTCTGTACTTTAATCTTACTGGGTTTTATTTGGAATCTCCTTCACTGAATGTCTTGCATACATGAGACATACTTAACTCTCACTAGACATCCCAACTCTAGTTGAGTTGCCTAGTGTTAGAACTATACCAGTTCATAACAGTTATTACATGTATTCTCATGGCTGTAGCACTTGCAAGTCTTATTACATACTAACCATACACTCCATTATCTTACTACTATCCTCACCTAGGTGACTCCAGACAGTTCACACAGTAGAATAAAAGGACACTCTGAACATACTCATACTTGACTTTTCTTTTCCTTGGACTTGCCTACTACTATTAGAAGTCACCTTAGTTAGCCCTTGATATACTTGCCTTAACCAGACATACCTAGCACATCCCTTTCACAACCTAGCATTACTGCTCCTACCTTCAGGACTCCTAACCTGTTCTTGGCCATATACCTTTGGGTTAATAAAATAACCCATACCTATACCCATACCCACATACTTACTCATACCTGCACACTTACCTGTACCCATACCCATACCCATACCCATACAGTCGCCTGTACCTGTTTCCTGCATCATACCTTTTATTTGAACATTTTGAGTAGTATCACCAAGATACAAATTAGCAGTTCAAATCAAGCACTTAACCTTTCAATAACCCTTTATTTTTCTTCATGTATATGCAAAACACATGCACAAATATGCCATGCAAACTTCATTTACATCTATGTATCCAAGGCATTGGTACCAAACAAGTTGGCAATACAAATAAACAACTTTGGATTAGTAACCAAAGCACAGCCAGTAGGCAGTGCTAGGTACCTGAAACCCAGTGAAAACTGACTGTTATGGGAATGTGCAGCATATGATGAGATGTGAATTTCTATTTTCATACTATGCCAGAATATGCTTCCTTCTGATAAATAATACAATCTTCATACAACTTGATCACAATGCATAACCTCTGCATCACACCCCTTTGTTTATATCAACAAACTTGTGTTGCATTCTGAAAACATTATATTACATCTTGTAAACACTGAATGAACTTTGTACCACTAAGGTACATTGTCACATTATTATGCAACTTGCAAGGTATGATAGTATCAATTGAATTCAGATTAACTAAGTATCATACTTGTTCTATTGAGATGTTTCTGATTCCAAGTGTGGAGCAGCTCAATGATACTGGTTGTCATATCCCACAATCTGGACCCACATTCCATCATGTTCCCATGCCTTCCAAGCCTACATCTGGACCCCACCTCATATCCAACTCATTCCCAGTTCTCCCTCCACTGTCTGCCCTATACCTCAGCAGGATCAGCTCCACTGCAGAATTACAACTGAGCTCTGGACCATTGGATCTCCACTGCTAGCCTGATCTGTACCCCCCTATCCTGTCCACCCTATGCACACTCCATCCAGCAAGACATCCAGACTTCACCCTATTCTGGACTACAGTGGCTCAAAAAAGTGTCTCAATGTTTGTGACTTTTTGTGTAATTCCTATTAAGGATCTTGATAGACTGCAAGTGATATCTTGAGCAATTACCAGGGCTGTACAATAGAGTTGAGGTCTGAGGACAGGACTTGCCATGATAGAACACTGATATCATAGTTTTCAAACCATTTCATGGTCAACTTGAAGTATGCTTAGGGACATTGTCTTGTTAGAAGGTAATGTCTTCTTCATTAATTCTTGATTCTTGCATGCTTCTGAGCAGATAGTTTCCAAAATTAAAATGTGCTGCTCTGCATTCATCCTCCCCCCCACCTCACAGAGAATTCCTACTCCATTCCACCTCATACAACACCATACCATCAAGTTTCCTACTTCATACTTTAGTGTGTTCTTGACTTTTCTTTCTTCTAGTAGTTCTTCTGCCTTTGATCACATATATTCCTAGCCATATGACCTCATCCTATTAATTCTTGTCTCATCTGACCAGGTAGCCCTATTCCAGTCCTCAACAATCCAATATTGAGGCTTTAAAGCCAAGGCTAGTCTCCTCCCTTTATAGCCTGAAGACAGGAAAGGCTTTTTCTGCCTGTTTACAGCTTTAAGATTGGCTGCCTTAGGAGTATTCCTGACTATTTGAGTGGAGAGAGCAGTGTAGATGATGTAATTGATAAATTTGGTAGCTTGAGTTGCATTGGCAGCCTGCCTAGTTGGAATATTATGAACAAGAGATTTTTTGTTATATGGTGTAAGCTTGAAAAGACAATCTAGTTTGATATTTTTCTTACCTGGAATGACTTATTTATGATCTTAATGATAGTAACCCTGCTCAGACCAGTTTTAGTAGCAGTCTGCTTGGTATACAGATTAGAAGAGCTGAGGATAATAATAGGGCTATTTCAGCTGTGGGAGAGAGTTGCAGCAGAGTGGGGCAAGATTGTTGATGAGGAATGCCTCAAATTGATTGATAGTGTGCATAGAATAGTGGGAGAAGTAATTAGAGCAACAGGAGGAAGCACCAAGTACTAGAATTATAGAGATTGTGTTGGTCAAACTGAAAGTCAAAAAAGTGTCTCAATGAGTCACCAAATTAAATTAACCATATCTTCCCTTGATGACATAATATTTCCACGCTATAGGGATCAAACATAAAGCTTAGAAGCAGATACTTCCCACACCTCCCTATGGCTTAGTCATATTCTCAAACCCTGGCTCATAATAAAGCAATTACACAAAAAGTCACAAACATTGAGACACTTTTTTGAGCCACTGTATATCCACCTCCTCATATCCTGGTCCTGTATCCACCTCATCTTCCAGATCCCCAGATCTCTGGACCTCTGGATATTAACTCTGGACCTATTCCCATCTTCTGTCCAACATCCTGTGCCTATCTCCATTTAGATATCTCTGGCTTTCCGGCTTTCAGTTACCTCTTGTTCTGTCTTGCTTATTGATCCTTGTATGAGTCTTCATCTCTGAGTTCATTTACTTATGTTCCATCTTACTTACTAATGTGTTTCCACATGCTTGTACATAGCCTTGCTCCTGTGCTTACTGAACCCCCCAGATATTCTCCAGTATATAACCCTGTACATACTCCTGTAGTTTCCTCAGTTTGAATATCAACTTAGACTTGCCCAATCTTCTCTTGGACTTTGGTCCACCTAAGTTGTCCTATCCATCAGGCCTAGGGATTGGTTCCCTAGGCCAGAGCTTTGCCTTTCTGGCACTTACCCTCTTTCCAGACTTAGGTCCAATCCCTGTCTCTCTGACTCTACCTTAGGGTAGTCTACCTCTGTTTGTTTCTATATCAGACTCCATCTGATGTAGCCCCTATTCCTTCTGTACCTTTGGATGTCCCACCCTTCCATCCTGTTTCCTGTAGAAGTATTACTTTGCAGTGGGAATTCTCCTGAGCACTTCCTGCATTCCTCCAGAACTCTCCCATGCTCCTCCGGATGTTTCCCATGCTCCTCTGGAAGTCCTCTAGCACTCCACCAGAGTAGCCAGCCTCTGGAAGTCCTCTGGACTTCATCTGAAATGAAGGGCACATACTCAGGTAAGGGGCACAGTGTATGAGCTGAGGCCAAACCCCTCAGAATCAGTCCCTCTCTCCACTTTGAGCAAACTGGTTCTTAACACTGGTCAATATATGTGTGTGTTATGAACTAGGATAGTTGCAACAACAGCTACTTGATAAGAGCAACAGCTGAAGTTGAATCAAGACCTCTACAAATGTAAAGGTTGTAAGACAAAGCAAAGAGAGTGTCTTTGCTTTGAATATCTGTCTCTTAGACGACTTAGGATTGGGGGTCCTAAGCGAAAGAATGTTCTGGTGAAGACCTAGTAAGATTAAAGTGAAGATCTACTAAGTACATGACCAGGTATATATAGTAAGTCAGTACTTTAGGGCAAGTACAATGAGTCAGAGATAAGCGATGAGTCATCTAACGATGGCGGTGGTGATTGCAATGTAATACAAGTATAGAAATGAATGAGTCAATGATGGTGCAGTCATGATGTAATACAAATGTAAGCAAGGAAAAATGAATAGGGGCAGGCATAACTGTAACATTACCCCTCATTTAGGAACGAAGTCACCGACTTCAGTTATCCTGATTAGCCCAGTAGATAGGGTCGGCATCATAGTTTGAGTCCAACAAATCATTTTGTTCCTCAGTAATAGGAAGCGACCTGTCAGCTAGTTCAGCAGCGTGATAAATGGCATCCTGCTCAATCTCCCAATGAGCAAGGGCTTCATAGAAACCAGGGTCAGTCCAAACCAGTGGAATGACTGCTTCTCCTTTAAGATCTTTACAGAAGACCAATAGGTGTCCAGGTGCATACTCCTTGCAAACCTGACAGTAGTACACTGGGCAGTTCTTGTGGTGATGTCTGGCAGTGTGGCAGTTACGGCATATGACATTATCAATTGTTGCTGTTTTCACTGTGGTGATGGTGGTCGACTGTTCTGGGGG